ATTAATAATTTAAAGGATAGTTTATATATATATTTAAGTCTTTTATAATATATATATATAGCTTATTAATAAAGGCTATAACTTATTAAATTATTCTTTACTTAATTATTATATTAATATTATTAATTAAATATTTAATTAAAAGATATATAATATCTTTTTTATTTAAATAATAAAACTTTTAATTTTTATATATTAGTATTTAGTATTACTAAAATACTATTAGTAAATACTAAATACTAATTAGTATTGAAAATCTAATATTAAATACTAATTAGTATTAAAAATCCAATATTAAATATTAATTAATATTAAAAACCTAATACTAAATACTAATTAGTATTAAAATTTCAATACTAAATATTAATTAATATATACTAAGATTAACTAGTATTAATACTAATAGTATTTTTCCCAACCCTGCCGGTAGGCAGGGCGATACCTACCTCGTTACATAAGAACATCTACGGTTCAAAGATCTATGTAGACAGTATTCCTGAGTAACACCAGCCGCTATCTACGACTGGATTCCTCATCAAACTCAGATATTCGTTGCCTTTCTCTTGAATCACTCTCCTCGCTCTAACGCTAGTCAATTTCCTCATTAATAATGTCTACCACCGCCCTCCCAGCCTATAGAACTCTGCTCCGTGCAGCCCGTCTCGCCTTCCAAGGTACGTTTGCGCAATTTCGCCCCTCCATTCATTCTCTCTCTTTAACACAAATATCACACCAGGTGATGGGACGACATTAGCCGCTGCCCGCTCTTCAATACGTCAAGGCTTCCTCGCAAACGCCTCCCTCGAGCCCACGAGCCCGGAATATCCCACCGCCATCAAACACGCCGAAGAAGTCGCCACGATATTACGGCAGAATGTCGTGCAAGGGAAACGAGAAGGCGAGACATACAGTTCGTACTAGTCATGCTGCTATTCTCACGCCAATGTGCTAACAGACGCTCTCAACCAGAATTACGCATACACGAGGAGACAGAACGAGGCGACAATGAGAGCATCAAATTCGCCGGCACAAATCTCGGCGCAAGCGGCGGCAAGTGCTGCAGTAGTTGATGAGGAACGGCATCAAGTGCCTAATGAAGAAAAAACAAATCTGTATTATATATCATGATACCCCAGTGTACCAATAAAGCATGACCATGACTCTCTTTTCTCTCAAAATTCATATCGAGTCGCTACGCAGAGAAAAAAAACACCCCAGATGCTATGAACAGGACTGCATATCGCCATGTAATGTTCCCGTTGACCCTGACCCCGGACGCCATCAATGCATAGTATGTATGTATCTTTCAGGTCATACCCGTTAGTCACCAGCCAAGCTGGCATAGTTGACGTCGCTGGCGCCCGGGGGTGCGGCGATGGCACTCAGCTTCGTCACCTCCTGCCGTGGCGCTCCCGAATCGCCTTGCGCCTCTCCTTCGATAGCCCGCCTGCCCCCTGGACCGCGTCGTTGATCGGCGAATGCGGATCGTCCATCTCTGATCATCTCAGCTCTTTCTTCCCGGTTCATGGTACCGATCGGCTTGGGTTGGGACCATCGGACTCGAAGTGGGCACCCTGCAATGACAGCTCGTCCCTTGCAAGCGTCAGCTGCTCTCTCGGCCGCTTCTCTCGTTTCGTAGTTGATGAAGGCGCAATGTGACATGTGACTGCAGATCAGAGATTTGATCTTGCCGTGTTCCTTGAAGAAATCCCGGATCTTGTATTCTGGCAGATCATCCTCGACACCCGTCACAAACAGACTTGTGATGGACTTGTCATCGGGGGGTAGGTAGTCTTTCGGCCCGGGTGGTAATTGCGACGCGCTCGGGAATGGTCTTCGCCCGGGTCGAGCACCGGCAGCGGCAGCAGCTCTAGAGTCGCGTGTCCTTATTGGACCAGGTCCTCCTACGCCAGCGCCGACGGCGACATTACCACCAGGCGCATTTCCCGTAGCTGTCGACGATGCGCCACCATCCTCGATGGCCCGTCCCTTTCTAAAATACGGCTTACTAGTCGCCAGCCGTCTCAGGAGCTCTCGAGCTTTCTCGTCCGCCTTGTCGTATTCTTCGAGGCCCTTGCCTTCTTCCAAGGCCTTCTCGTTGTTTTGGGCGTAGTATTCGCGATTGACCTCGCTCGATGGGCCGGGCGCGACCATCTTGAGGGCGGCATCGCGAAGCTGGATGGGGAGGCCGAACTGCAAGTCAAGCATACAGCACTGGCAGCAGTTCTTCATGCGCGCGCAGGTGAGGCAGATGTTGGTGCGTTTCTTGCGGCCGTGGGCGCGATCGCCGGCCCACGAAAAGACAGTAAAGGGCCGCGTACAGATCTTGCATTCGGCGCCATAGTCCTCCTTGAGCATCTTGACGTAAGGGTTCGGCGGCAGGCAGTTCTCACAGACGGAGGGGAAGTCAGTCGACTCCCAGCCGGAGCGATTCAGGTCTTGCTTGATCTGGGGCGGCATGGTGGTGAGCTCGTCGCGCTGGGGAACTGGCGCGAAGGCAGGCGACTATGAACAGAAGACGTAAGAGGACTGTTTGTCTTTGTCAGGTATCGTCCACTGATAAGATCAATAGGCGGCGAAGTTTTTGGGGATGGGGGTGGTGTGGCTGATAGCGAATGGAGACAAGCCGGGCCCCTGGACATTTTGGACTGTTAGGTAAGTGTGAATGCATATGATAAAGTAGAGATATCGATGATATCCTTCTATCAAGGCTTTACACCCAGCTACCTAGGTACCAGGGTAATCAGATGAGTCCTCGTTACAGTGCATCCTCCGTTAGATACTGTGATTCTACTGTGCCTCAAAGGTCCCCAAATAGGCAATAACAGGCAGCATGATAACCTCTCGGGGTGCGTTGACATATCCATTTCCAACACAACTTTCTTGTCTCGGGCAAAGCGACTCGCATTCTACAGTATTCTTGACTTCCGATATACCCTTCCTGATTTCAGGCTGGCATGCATGCGGATAATCATTATAGAAATGTCTTCTGCCCCAAATACACGCCACGTAGCTGTCGATGTTGGTCCTGTTCATCACATCGGGCCATGACCACCTGTGGCTCGTTTTACACTGCTAGTCAGCTCTTTTATGCTTTTGGTAATGCTGACTCTATGTCATGGCCCGCTCGTGTAAGCTTTTCCATGGCCCGGGGGCTAGCCTTGCCCCTTATCGTGAACCTACAGTAGACAGCCGTGGCATAGACGAGGTCATAAGACATGGCCTGGACCTTTTTCGATCGGGTTAGAGTTCGCGAGAACGATAGAGTCGTGTGTCCATCTTTTTCCTTGGGGGATCAAGACACACCTGTGTTCTTTATCTTCATCCTCGCTTGATTCTAATGTTTCCATGCCTCTAGTGTCGGTATTTGCTCGCAGCCTTGTTCAAAACTCATAGGGGCTACTTGTCGTATACAAGTAGGGCGTCGTCTAATTTCACGATGCCTCGAAGGGTTCTTCATGGCTAAGTCTCTGCATTGTCCGTCCAGACGCGGGGTTAGTTCAAGCATGATAGAAACTCTAAAGAGTACTTAACCCTGTTCTAGGCTCTGTTCGCTGACCAGGTTATCCGGGCATGTAAGGTTTTATCGTCTTCTACATGCCCTTTTCGATGCCCAATAGTGCTTTAAAAACTGTATTTTCCCCTCCTTTCGTGCTTCATAGAATTTCTGGGGAAATCTTGCCTTTCCCTTTGCCCTCTGCTCTCCCGGCTCTCCCACTACCCCCGCACAAAGCTAATCACAGCATCACTACCATGGCACGCTTAGAGCTGATACCGGACTCCTCTTCACCATTAAAAGGAGCGGGGAGTGTTAGTCGTATAGAAATGACTGCCGTCGTTCCTGATGATGATGATTTGACGACTGTGGCCACTCCCCCGGGGCACGAGGAGCGGCGCGGAGTTGAGAATGAGCCAAAGGATCTGATCACTGAACTCACTAATCCCGAGATTCTAGCCTCGGCACTTCCGACTTACAAGAAATGGGTGATTCTCACCGTCATTTTCCTCGTCCAGACCTCCATGAATTTCAACACCTCCCTATATGCGAATGGGCAGTCCGGAATGGCCAAGGCCTTCAACGTCAGTCGTCAAACTACTGTCACTGGCGCTGCCGTCTTTCTCATTACTTATGCTTTTGGCTGCGAATTGTTAGTGAACCTAGATTACTTTCGAGCTATTTTTGCTAATCAACATCGTCAGGTGGGCGCCCTGGTCTGAGGAAATCGGACGAAAGATTGTTCTTCAGTGTTCACTCTTTCTTGTCAATGTTTGCTGCTTGCCAGTAGCTCTAGCTCCTCAGGGTATGACTTCGATTATCGTCGGCCGCGCATTTGGTGGGTTATTTTCTGCTGGAGGCAGCGTCACCCTAGGCATGGTAGCGGATATGTTCTCTCCTGACACGCAGGAATATCCCCTTGCGTTCATTGTCTTATCTTCTGTTGGGGGATCCATCATTGGACCTATAATTGGTGGATTTGTTGAAACATATCTGGCGTGGCAGTGGACAATTTGGCTCCAGCTGGCTTTCGGGTTGGTTGTCCAATTTTTACATCTTATTTTAGTTCCGGAGACACGCTCTACTGTGCGTCTTGACGCCTACGCCAAGTCGTTACGCAAGGATAGAATATTGCCCAATGCCTCCGGCCCAACTGAGCACAAGACATGGAGGCAGTACGTCATGCCTCGAGAAATCTTGACAATCTGGATTCGCCCTTTTCACATGTTCATCACAGAACCCATAGTGTCGGTGTTATCAGCGCTATCAGGGTTTAGCGATGCTCTGATCTTTATGCAGATCCAATCCTTCGGTTTAGTGTTCAAGCTGTTCAACTTTACGGTTATCCAGACTGGACTCGTAAGCCTCCCGCAATTCATAAGACCTTTTTGATCATTCTTTAACTAGATGCTAGGCTTTTATCCCGATCGGTCTCGGATACGTCTTAGCGTATCTTTTTTATATACCTGCCATCCGACAGAACAGACAACTCCGACGAGAGAATCCTATTTCAGAACACGCTCAGTATGAGTCTCGACTTATGCCATTGCTATATACGGCGCCCTGTCTCCCTGTCGGGTTATTCCTATTCGCTTGGACGAGCGACGCCAGTATGCCTTGGGCTTTGCCGATGATTGGTTGTCTGTTCATTGGAATCGCAAACTATACTATCTACATGACGACGATTGATTACATGGCAGCGGCCTATGGACCCTATTCCGCATCCGCCACTGGTGGTAATGGGTTCGCACGCGACTTCTTAGCGGGGCTCTTGACATGGTTTGCAAATCCGTATTACCAAGCCTTCCACGGCAGGTTCGCTCTCCAGATCGCCAACACTGTTCTCGCCGGCGTCAGTCTCTTATTGGTATTGGCGACTGTGGTCATTTATAAAATGGGTCCATCGATGCGCAGGCGGTCGCCTTTTGCACAGTCACTGTCCACCTCCCTGTCGGGGATCCATCTCACGGACTCTCCGGTTCGCACTCTTTGAGCGCAGAGATCTTGGAGTAGAGGAGCATCAGTACTAGGCGATATCAAGTTTAGTCCTCGGTGTCTGGGCTAAGTAAATGAGCCCATCAATTTCTAATGCCGCCTCAGTCATCTGGGCATCAACAAGTAGCTAGCGATACCCTTTAGCTGACAATGATCTGCCTATTTCTATCAACCACTACTATGTCAAAGTTGCCTGGTCCACTTTGAATGGCACTTGATTCGATATACCACTCATTTCTATATTCGAAACTATGTTTGCTTTGTATTATCGCGAAATCACGTGTATGGCGGGCGCGGATGAATCACCCTCACCCGCTCATTCACTCAACCATGCCGCCAGTTATTATACCTCTAGGCCAAATATACTACTGTGCTGGTACTCATTTTAAACTGAGAACCCGGCAGGACAGGTCAAATACCCCCAACACCCTAGTACAAAGGAATATTTCACACAAGAATCGCACACAGCAGACGTGCGAGGAAAATGAGACCGATTTCTAGTCCTCTAGCGGAGCGCTTACGCCAATACCCCATATTCCTTAACCAAAAATCGAACAAACAAATCGTCCGGTCAGAGTACTACGAGACTCACCTTACCAACAAGCTTGCATTATAACTGACTGAGGCACTAAAATGCTACGAATTGCCGAAGATGTGCGGCACGGACGTGTTGCACGCGTACTACAATTCACATAGCTATGCTAGTAGAACTATGATCAATAGCAGGGCGAAGTGGGCACACTAAAGAGTCCTAAGGATCAACTTATTGTGGTATCGCAAATTGGTCGAGAGGAAACCTTCGACGGGCCGTGCTACACAGTTGAAATACACTTGCGGACGTAAACAGAACCACTGTCAATTGAAACCGTGAACGTCACTTCTTTTCCTTCTCCATTGTGGGTCAAATCACCGGCAATACGAGAAGCTAAGTACATAGTTACTAAAAACTTGATATTTGGGACACTTGAAAGTAATCGTCGGCACGCTAAGACACACCTACTCTCTTTTACGTTTGATACACGTATTGTCAGAATTGTTATGAGCAAAGTTTTTTGTTGTCTCTCTATGTTGGCCCAGCGAATCTTAGCTTATACGTATACGAATAAATATGTGGTTTATGAAATTAATTATTACTTGCCGTTGGCGTGACGATAATTGTAGTCGCTTATGTAAAGAGAAAACAGCTAGTTGGAGGAGATTCGCTGATTCGATCGATAGTCATATGTCGAAAGGCCGTTTCTTTCGTCTCAGTAGAAGATGACCAGTTGGCATGAGGGAAAAGGTCTTAGCCAGCTACCTACACATAAGGTTATGAAACATGTATATTACAGAAATAGCAGCGAACGACAATCCAGAAAAAAACGAAAAAGAAGCACATCGAATATGGCTGCAAGTGCCCTTGACACGTGGAATTTGACTGGGCTCCACCGCAGACTTCCTCAACGATTCTCGTTGAGATGTTCAGCTTGTCGTTCCGGCGGATATCGCATAACTACCACCGTAGACTGCTCATGGCAGACTCACATGAGAAGTGTGCACACGTATGCGTATACGCCACCGCTATGGTACAGCAAGTAGCATAAGAAGTTTCTGAAAGAGCCAACCAAGCAGCTGATAATGTGGTACTAGCGCCCAGGATATCTACTTAAGAGCATGAACATGTATGCCTCGACACTATCGCTGTCTAGCCCTGAGAGAAGAGCATCGTCGCGGCCCTTGGAGATGGAGGTGGTTAGTTCCATCGTACACCATCCCAAGAAAGGTAAGATGGTGCTTGTTCCTCCACTAATAGCGCCACCCGCGTCCCAATCAGTCGGCACAACAAGCCCTGGCTTGGACCACGTTGCTCCTCATCGCCTTGGCAGTGAACAAAACTGATGTTAGTTCCTCTGCGTCGGTCCCGGCCAGCCAAACGACCATGTGTCGAAGAGGGGCAGATAGAAATCCGCAAAGGCGTATGGTGGGAGCTTTTTACTACTGCCTTCTGCTTCTGCCACATAAGGGTAAGTGTGATTCATCGAGTTCCAGAACGGTCTATGTTCCTACCCCAGCTGGGGTTGGCCATGGCGCCTGATGGTCAGCTTTGTCATGCCACATTCTCTCTTCGGTGTGCTCGGTCACCTGATATGGGCGAGATGCGGACGCAATGGCTTATCGTTTTTTTCAGCCTTGGGAGATGACCCCTAGCCACGGGTTCGTCTTTTTCTTAGCTTCCTTCCTGTACCGTGTATCGGGCCCTTCTTTTGGTTCCGACTCTACTCTGTCTTCATCAGATTATGAGATATCGAAAAAGACCGGAGCTGAGACGCTTGTGACACTTGCTAAACTAGGATATCCTGGTCGAACAATCATAGATGACCGCAGCACTGGGAAACATTCATCCAAGTCACATAGCTCTCGCCTGTCTCAGCCTCCAACTTCCACCATACTCCGGTTGAAACCTCCGGATTCCAAGCCCAGGCGGATACGGCACTAGCCGAACTCGTTGCCATAGGTAGCTTTATTCTTCGGTTCCCCCTCAAAGCCCACACCCCCTAGAGGGAGAACTTTACCGCGTAGTCGGCCTTCTAACTGAACTCAAACTTGGGGATGCCGAGCGCCGCAGTTATCTTCCTTCCACAGATCTACTAAGGAAAAAACAAACTAAAATCAGGCTAGGCGCGTATGGGTACCCCTTCTTTGAACCCTTCTTTGAAGCGCTTGCCACTCCAGGTCATTACCACCAAAACAGCCTAATTCTACATGGAATATCTTCTCCGGAGGTTCACCTCAGGTGACGATTTATTGGGGTCGTTATTGGAGGACACAAGCGAATAAAAATTGCTCAGCCCTGCGAGCTACCCAGCGCAACGGACGCTACGTAGTTATCCTCAATAGTGTAAAGTCACAACCCAGCCAATGAGTTGGTTACTCTCCACCGCTGACGCTTTCTTAGATCAATGGCTTCACTCGCACTACAGACTTAGACTCCTTGTCTAGCCACTTGTTTGGCTTAGTTCTCGCTTCCACTGCAGTCGCTGCATAGGCTGTACGAGGCTAGAATCTGTGTTCAGCCCCGTCGTCGGTACACTGGCTGTTCGGAGTATGATCCTAATGCAGAAGTGTCTAGTTTCTGTTAGAAATATCACTTCGTGCTCGAGACGTTACTATCTCGCTACTGTTACATCACACTATGGCTCTCTATCATTCCCTAGTTCAGACACGCTTCCAAAAGCTGTGAAACCTCATGAGGTACTCAAAGCTTCGACTTGAGTCGTCTGCAAGTCAGCATTCGAAGTGAACCATGTTGGTCTAAAGCGATAGCTTGCTTCGTTAGGTTCGTAGCACCGGCTCTGGGCTATCAGCCGGACATGCTATGAGCCCACGGTTTGGCCAGTCAAGCATCAAGCTCTTGACGTCCCATCGTCAATGCGGCTCCAACCATCATGGTGTCTACTAGTACGTTAGCGCTCTGACATATACTATGTACGCAGTTTAGCAAGGATGTCCTACGCCCCAATAATGCTCAGTTGCTTGGAATCCATGTCCATCCGCAGCCTATTATTGCGGCTAAAGGTCTAGGTATCGTTAGTAACCGAGGCACCACATGAACTCTGTTAACTCAGGTTTCTATCTCACCGCTAGGTCGTCGCGACTCGGTTTCCAGAGCTGAAAGTTCGGTGTCAGCGATAGTCTGGTGGAGTTTTCAGCAGTGATGGCCATAGGACTCCATTACATGCCATGAGATTGGGTTGGTAGCTGATGCTGGCCTCGATTAGTTCTTCAGAGGCTTCATTGATGGTTAGCCTTGTCTCGTACCCCCCGCCTATGCATGTTAGCCCAGTCCACTAAGCACGTGTCTGTGAGACATCGCAGCTAGACTGATCTGAGTTCGCTTCCAGCTCCTCGGGTCTGGCGGAGAGCGCTCGTCTGGAATGTTATGGCGCGGACGTTGTTCTAGTCTGAGTATATAATGGATGAATGATCCTCTCATGGCTACAATTCATTTAGATCATCAGCAACCTCACCATCATCATCATCATCTCCCCCTTCTTAGGAATCTACCGACACCTTACATCTCTTCCTACCTTCTGCTATATTTTCACAATGAAGTCGAATGCTTTGATCGCCACCACTTTGGTGTCTCTCGCCGGAGCTTCACCACTCCAGCCTCGCCAACAGATCGACTTCGCCTTGCTTGATTCAGCTCCGCAGCCGACAATTGGCTCCGCTTCGGTCGGCGAGCAGCCGCATACCGTCGAGTTCGACTTGCCCGCCGCAACTGCGGCTGCTACCGCTACTCCTCTTCCTGTGGTAGCTGTGGGGAAGCGTGACCTAGAAGGTAGAACTTCTGATGCCTGTACACCTGTTTCTCCCAGGGGCAAGGGTCCCATCTCCGACCCTGATGATGCCACAGCATTCGCTGAAAATCCTGTTTACGGGGCTTACGCGAATACTGCCCCTGTACCTACCGGCTATCAGAGGACTTTCCAGAACCTCCAGGCTTCTAGCAGTGCCTATGGCTACTCCGGCTTCAGCTACCTAGATTCTTATGATACCAATGAGTGCGCTCGTCAGTGTAACAACATCGACAGCTGCAGCGGGTTCAACCTCTACTTTGAGAGAAACCCGGTGGTCGTCCCCGGCGACGACTGCCTAAATCCCGCCTCTATGACTCAGATCAAGTGTGTCTTCTGGGGTGGCTACCTTTCAGCTGATAACGCCGGTAACAACGGCCAGTACATAAGAGACTTCCAAGTCCTCATCGCTGGCTCCAACGGGTACATGAAGACCCGGGTGCCCGACGTTCCTGGCTACGCCGGAGTTGCTCTTGGCAACGTGGCAATCAACGCACCTTTGAACTGCAGAAACCAGGATACCTACATGGGTTCTAAGATCTTCACCACCAGCTACTACGACCCCAGCCTATGTGCTGCGGCATGCAAGTCACAAAACGAGTACAACACTGCTCACCCGCCCCAGGAAGGCGAGCCTAAGATCTGCAAATTCTTCGTGACATACCTTGCTGAAAGGAACGGTGCTCCCGAAGGCCAGATGTGTGTCATGTACACACAGCAATGGGATACCAGCTACGCCACAAACGATGTGAGTATTTGTCTCTTTGCATCATAACTGAGTCTACTAACATAATCCAGGGACAATGGCGCGGCAATGATCACTACACTAACGACTATGCCTTTGCCTACACCAATACGCTTGACAACGGCCTTCCTGTCTGCACTGAGCAGCACCCATAATGATATACGACTTAATTATTGGATTTAGTAGCGGAGCGTGGGTAGTCTTGGGTGGAATCTTTTCTTAATGCAGCTAGCTAGGTAGCTTTTCATTTACTAATATATATTTTATCAATTGCAATCGCTTCAATTGCAGCTACGTTCTCCCCTTAGTGGTCATACTCCTAAACATGAGACATGGAAGCTATTGACAACCGTGATACTGCTAACCATAATCTGTCATGGCCTGCAAGAAAGTCCGACAACATAGATTGTCAGGACCTGGTATACTGGCTAATGACTTCTATTGTTGCGCAAGGGTCCCCCCAACCTTCTTGCGGGCAAAGCTGACGCTATATACAGGAGGGGGTTTCATTGTTACAGCCTTGTAGGTGTCTTGTAGCCTCGTGACATATATACTACTTGATTAAGATATAATCAAATGCATAATTATTCACTTCTAGAGCAATATGCCTGATAGAACATTTTGATTTTGGATTTCAGGGATTACACGTAATCAAGGCTAACCTAACCCAAGGTGTCCTAGTGATATTGCATAACAGATAGGGGCTTCGGCTTAGTGTCCAGCTTCTGACGTATGAGACTATTGCTAAAACGAGGGTAATTCCCAAGCAGAGTATCAGCTGAAGACTAACAGTTGCCTGAAGTCACGAACTACAGTCCTATTTGTCAGAAATGGCGTTGGTAAGACATTTAAGGTGGTGGATGCCACTAACAAGCTACCGAGGTCTACCAACAAGTCTCAGACCTCGGACAGCGCCTTAGTGTGCGTGTGATACCGGTTACCTGGAGTGGCCTAATAAATAGAGTGTGCATTGAACCTCTTTGTATGACGACCATGCATCCTTCAACTCAATCACACAGCATTCAACAACCAACCTAGTGGACGAGACCTCAATCGACATGCCTTCGCCAAACCCGGACTGGGTCAAAGCTCTAAAGCCCTCAGGGCCGCAAGGATCGGAGCTCCTCCAACAAGAGAGAGACCGGTCAGCTCTCAATGTCGATCAGCTCGCGACATTCATGTTTACCAGCGAGGTGCTGGAGAGGAATGCGAAGATCTTAGAGATTCTTCAATCCCATGATGTATTTGATAAATCGCAGAATTACTTTCGGGGTAGACGGGAAAGGCTTGAAGCCGCTTTGGCCAGAGCAAAGGCACTGAGACAGCTCAGTGTCAAGCATGGATGGAGCCAGGAAGAGTATAATGCCGCCAATGAACTCATCAGCGAGCCGACACCGTACGGTCTACATGCCTCTATGTTTCTGAAGACGTTAGAGGAACAAGGAACACCAGAACAGCACAAGCTCTTCCTGGAGCCAGCACGGCGCTACGATATCATTGGCTGTTATGCACAGACTGAGCTTGGCCACGGGTCTAATGTCCGAGGTTTGGAGACAACCGCGACATGGAACGCCGCAGACAAGACATTCACGCTGCACTCTCCTCACCTTACTGCCTCGAAGTGGTGGATTGGATCCCTAGGACTAGCTGCGAACCACGCGGTAGTAGTGGCACAACTCATCTTGAATGGAAAGTCCTACGGTCCCCACCCTTTCGTTGTTCAGATCCGAGATCTCCGGACACATGAGCCTCTTCCTAACGTCCACGTCGGCGACATTGGTCCAAAGTTTGGTTACAATACCATGGACAATGGCTTCCTGCTCTTTAACGACGTCAAAGTCCCCCACGTCAATATGCTGAGTCGATTTTCAGCGGTAGACCCTGCGACTGGGAAATATGTTCGGCCGGCGAACCCGGCGCTCATCTACGGCACATTGACGTTCATCCGATCTATGATCGTCCTTCAGTCCGGTAGTACTCTTGCTCGAGGAGTGACTATTGCTACCCGTTATTGTGCGGTTCGACGCCAGTTCCAGGACCGTGATACACCTGAGGGCACGGTCGGAGAGAACCAAGTTCTCGACTACACGATGGTGCAGTACCGCATACTGCCGTTGCTGGCAGCTTCGTATGCCTTACACTTCACAGGTCGCATCATGGTGAACCTCTACAACGCAAATCAGAAACGTATGAGCCAGGGGCAGAATGTCCGTCCTGGCGCGGATGCAAAGCGGAGTCCCGGCCCAGAGCAGCTCAACTCTACCAGCGATCTTCTGGCAGATCTTCATGCCGTTTCATGTGCCCTTAAAGCCTTTGCTTCGACCACAGCTGCCGAAGGTCTGGAGGTATGCCGTCGCGCCTGTGGCGGACACGGGTATTCGGCATTCTCGGGCATAGGCAGCTGGTATGCTGATTATTTACCCACGGTGACATGGGAAGGTGATAACTATATGCTGACACAGCAAGTTGCTCGCTATCTCCTCAAGACTGCCCGCACCGTACTCTCGGGCAAATCTACTGACACCAACGGCATAACCGGTGTCTTCAAAAACTTTGTCCGCAGGCAAGACATTGGGGCAGCCTTCGACGTACTCGATAACGATCAGGATCTCGTTGACGCATTTGCTTGGCGCGTTGCGTTCTTGACTTTCGAAGCTCTTAAGCACAGAGACGAAGAGAAGCAGTCTTGGAACAGCCTTCTCATTGACTTCTGGCGTCTCTCCACTGCCTACGCGCAATACCTAGCAGTCAAAAATTTCTATGACGCCCTTCAAGACGAAAATACAACGGCATCGCTCGATTCAACCACAGTGGAGCTGCTCCATAAGTTGTTCCAGCTGTTCGCTTTCTATCACTTAACATCGAATGCTTCCGAGTTCTTTGCTAGTGCCGCCACGACAGTACGCCAGATCCAGCTGGCACGCACAAAACGAACGCTCTCTCTCCTCCAGGACATCAGACCCCATGCCGTAAGACTCGTGGACGCATGGAAATTCCCGGATTGGCAGCTAGATAGTGCATTGGGACGTTACGATGGCAAGGTCTATGAAGATATTTTCCACCGAGCTTCCCAAGTGAACCCAATCAACAACGAGATCATCGACCCGTACCCAGATTCTCCCGTATTATTCCGAGCGGACAAGACGAAGGCGAAACTGTGAGCCCGGTCTCATAACGCGTCCAATACCCGCGGATATCTTCGACGTCCCAGTCTGGATGAATCGCCACTGTATAACGTCGCCGGATGCAATGATCTAATGATGGAAGGACAGTCCCTCCGAACGCCGTCCAATTTCGCATCATCGGCCCCGAATAGGAACATCATTATATCATCTTTCTGCGTCATTCGTATATGTACAAGCAAACGCACATTTCGCATTGTCTCTAAGTTTATACGACGCCGCTCCCGCCTTCGGGATCAACCACCCGATATGCCATACGTGGATGGCTCTTGAATATGAAGCCGGCTCAAGTGCTGAGGATCCGAGCTCACATAAGACGAAGCATCTCCGCCAAGATACGAAAGGTTCACAGTTTCTATTAAAGGTATCCCGGCACTGCAACTAACCGCCTGGGACTTTCCGCTCAAAGATCCCCGGGTGGCTCTGCTGTTCCGATGCTGCAGTGTCAAGGTCCAACACGCATACGGAAGCTTGGCCCTCCGCTTGAATCCACTCATTTGATGATATGGCTCAGCTTACAGATGCAATAAACTAGTCTGCATGTAGAAGATCCCGTTATAAGACGCACAAATATCTACGTAGAGCGCATATGGGCGAAGGACGTCACGAGGTGCTGGAATCTCGATTTAGTGATCCTCGGGGTCTTACACGCGCAGAGCACGCGTCTTGGAAATTCTGTTTGTTGCGTCTGATGGCCTATATGGGGCAGGTTATCCTTCATTCTATGTTAATATTAACGCCCTTGACCGATCTTAGTGTTATATTTCGAATCCTTCGTGGCATCAGATAGCTAGAGGATTGCGCGTCTCGAGCTTGTGAATATCATGGGTTAGCACGCGTAACAGGGCAACATAGGCGATATCTTGCGAGATTTAAGTGAGTTCACGGAGTATACAGTGGCCAGATTAGGCATGTTTCAAGGGCATAGAATAATAGAGGTCTAGGGTATAGATTAATTCCTTTCATCTTTTAATCTCGAGGTGGTTAACGGCCGGGCCACTGAGTATTCATGTTTGGTATGCTTTAAACCGAGTACGTAGTTCTTGTCTCCCATTCGTTGAGTTTACGGTACTGTAGTGAGAGCGAGTGCCGCTAAGCGCGAAGCCGATGTCCCGAGGTGGGTTCGGGGTGAGGTGAAGGCTTATCCCCCTAATCCGGGGTTAGACTATTTATTCTCTCACCTTGCCCAATCTGTGTGCGTACATTCATAACATCGTAGACATGCTTCCCCCTGGTGCTGCCATGATAGGTATTTTAGTCTCCTAGAGTGGTGGGGCTGCTTCGGTGATCTTTGCGCCAAGCTTTATGACATGGATGCAGGTTTGGAACCTCACTCTAGTGTAGTCAGCAGTTGGGTCTGAGCCACCGTCGATGCATATACATCGAGAGCTTAAGCTTAGCAATCGTAAAAGCCGACATTTTAACTCCTGGGATCCGCATAGGTAGATGACGCAAAAGCTGGTCATGGAAACTTCAATCATCTTATAGCTAGATCGGCCAGTCCATAGACTCATCTTGGCCATGTGCGCTTGAGAGTTTGATGATAGGAAAGCTGCTGTAATCAAACCGCTGTCCGTCCCTTCGTTATTTTGTTAGTTTTAATACCTAGTAGACCCAAGTGTTACGTGTACTAAGAGAGGGGGTACAGTACCGGTAGGTATACCTATCGTATAAAGCACCCCAGATAATGGTTAAACGTCGGGTTTTTTGCTTGCTCAATGTTAACAAGCCAAGCCGTCACATTGTCTGAGTGATCTTTAGCGTACGGCATGTGTTGTGGCTTAGGCCAACCATCCCACGTAATCGTATAAGCCCCCTAAACTGGCCACAAGGAAATGCTATACTAGTGACGTCTAACTTGGGGGTCCACCATTTTGAATTCAGCTTCCGCAGCCACTGTTTATGGCGAATTAACAGGACTCATTCAGCGTAGTGAGAGACCAAAAGACGAGGTTGAATTATTCTTGAGATCCCTGCGTTTTCGATTTAGGCTACTGCTTCAATATTCCCAAAAATTGCCGTGAAAAGAATTTGCAAGGCTTAGAGGGGCAGAAGATGGTCGATAAATATGGGAGCCTAGCCAATGTAGATTCTCTTTATAGCCAGGCTAGGGGGGCTGCTATCCTAGGCTAGCATGTTATTAAGACTGTGAACCAACATAAGGAACGAATCAGAGAATTGCGAGGGGCCTGTTGCTACACTCCACAGGACAGGCAACGCTTATGCAGCAACCAGAGTGCAGGTTTCATTAACGCCGAGAATGCTGGGGGTAGTTGTAGCTCTCAAACGATATAAGGGACTAATGTCATCACAGACACGCTGCGTCAATATTTTGTCGTCATCAGTAGTCCGGGCTTCTACCAGAACCATCATCTGAACTTGACCGAAAACTTCAACTAATCTAGTGCGGACAACAGCTATAACCCATGATGGCTTCGGTCGGGATGTCGAGTTGGCCTAGCTCTAGGGCCGTACGGACTTGTACCGAGTGTAAGCAGTCTAAAGTGTGTTGGCTTGATTCAACGTATGACGGCTGGACGTGATGCTAAAAAACCGCGATAGTTGCGGTGCGATTCTCGGGAGCGATTCCCGAACCCATGCACCCGATGCCAGTCAAGAGATTTGCAATGCGTCGTGGATCCTTCCTTCAGAAGAATGCCGACTAGAAAGTATGATGTCAAATTTCCGACCCCTTTATAAGCCAAGACTAACCTGAGCCGTGTTACGGCCTAAAGGCGAATAGAGGCCATGTCCAAAGAACTTAACGAGCTTCGGAGCCAAAGCCTTAAGCCAGGAGCCACTAGCATGGACAGCACCAGCTTATCACCCAACATCGCAGGAAGCTTGCCATCCAACACACCCGCGGATGATTTCAGCCTGCCTCTTGAAGCCGTGAGCATTGGTCACGTTATTATTAGCGCTGAAGTTGCGATTGAAGCATTCAAGATGTAGGTTACTCGATGTCATGCTGTCGGCAGGCGTTTTGAAAGGACTCATTAACACGGGTCTTAGATTTGCAAGCCTATTTCATCCCAGGCTTCCTATAATAGTGTCGATAAACGTATACGCCACTTATCAGTCCTCCCAGCTCCTATTCTGGACTATCATAACTATCGTTGCTTCACGCCTCACGATCCCTTCATGTGAAGGGCTTTACTACCAAGTAATAGAGCCATTCCAAGACATGGTAAAGACGGAAGCTCTACAAGCGCCGCTTCCTCTGCAAAGTATATTGGCCTTATCAATCTTATGCGTATGGCCATTACCGGTGGACAGACAGGTTAGTGTTCTAGAAATCCCTACTTTCCAACTGGGGGCAGGGGTTGCCCCCTTGATATAGGATCGGTGACTGGTAGAGTCTAAAGTCGTTAGCTAATACACTACTGCCGCGCAGATCAAAGATCCAAGCTGGATATACTCTGGAATCGCTACGAATTCAGCCTTCTATCTAGGCTTGCACCGAATCAACTCACAACCTTACAGTAGCAAGTTTAACTGCCCAGCCAACTCCCTTGAGAAGATCACGGCCTGGCTAGGATGCTTCTACGTGAGTAGCTGGTATGTCCACAATCCTCTACTATGAGCTATTTACGCTTCAAGGTATCCTGACTCGGGTTCTCTAGCTTGAGCATGAACTTGGGCCTTCGAGTCATGTTGGATAGCTCCTCGGAACTAGGAAGAATCACAGCCTACTTGGAAGAATTCCCTATACCACGCGAGTTTGCGAGCGAGATTAAATTGCAGGCCATCATCGCCGACTTTAAGAATGTATTGTCCCACACCTGCCATGATGGCACGATCGACTCTTCTATCCTCCACCTTCTCGATCGGGAGCTCGACAACTTGAGATCATCATATCCTGACCAGTGGCCGCGTATGTTGGAGTATAACACTCTGATTGCCAAGCTACACATGTATGTGGTAGTAATTGCAAGAGATAATAAGAGTAATAATACAGCCCGGGATGTCCTTCTCAAGCTGTGCTTCTCGACGGCTCTTCGCATTGTCCATCTCGCCAACCTGCGACGGACTGAAGACCTGCCAGAATGCCACGGACTGTCGGCTGCACAGCAACAACGTGCACTTCCCAAGTCATACTTTCACGGCCTGTGTTTCACAGCTGTGTTTTTGATTAGGTACTTCAGTCTTAACCCTATGGCCCCAGCCGAGGAGCAACAATTAGCAGCAAACCACGTAGCCATATGCCACGCTATATTCAAATCATATCCTAGTCCTACCCATGAGTTCGCTAGGGTTGCGAAAACCATTGAGGACCTGTGTCAACTTCCTCCGACCACAATCGACCCAGGGGTTGTAGCCGGGGATAAAGCAGGCGTGTGGGTTCTTTTACAAGCACTGCAAGCGGCCAAGAAGAAAAGCGCTCAGACTACAGCAGAGCGCGAAGCCCTCGCTACGCCACTAGAGCATCCAACTTCAATAAGCCCCAGCCTGTCAACATCATATCAAACTTTAGATTTGTCGGTCATAGATATGATGTTCCCAGACCAGTATTGGAATGATCCTACTTGGGAACCTTTCATGGAACTGCAATACCCTGTAGGCCACAACGGTTGACCACCCAACAGCAACCTCAGGTATATATTCACTTGGAATGAACAAGAAGGATGAATATCAACCACCCTTTGATAACAGGAAGGGCTAAGAAATCAGCCCTTACTTTTTGTCTGCCTCCAAGCAAGTCGCTGGTCCTTGGATATGATTGCGACGTCTACCAACCGTTAGCCTCTCGTCATTTCCCCTGATTTTGGCGACTAAGTCTTTGTCTGAGGCAGCTTCACGTTCAGTGAAACACTATTACGCAGCGTGGATAATCGCCCTCTCTCCCCTCCCTTGAACTGCAAACTGTGGTAATTTAGGGCACTTTGTGAGTCGGATCACGCGCAAATAATAGGCGCTAGCTGCAACCAATCGCATAGCTCGTGACCTACCCCCAATCCACGCCTGCCTTGCGTAGGGAATTCGGGCTACACTATCGGCCATGTTGGTTGACAAGAGACTCGTAACACTTACACGATTCTCAGGACTAGAAAGGACACTTACGCCAGTTCTGAGTAGAAGACCTCCTCAGCAGTCTAGGGACTCAAGGATCCTTATCAGTGGCTATACTATGATTATCAAAGCGGGAGTAAAGGGGAAAGGGCTAGAAGGAAGAAGTCATAGTCCCGAGGAGAGGGGAGGAAAACGGGCCTCTTAATGTCGTCCTCTACTCTGTAGATGTAAGAGTCCATAGCTACGGCTAGGGATTTGTCAAGAAATAAAAATCACACACGTACACGAAATCTTGAAGCTAGCAATTTGTTGAAATTTTGCCTATGTTCCAGAACATAGCCAGCCAATCTATTGATGACCATACCAAGTCTACATACCCACATCAGAGCTCTTACATGGCGAGGGATTTGCACTTACCGCAACGAGAATGAAGACACTTTTGGCACTCCATTTCGCCAGCGTGCGTCCGGGCAGGAGAACCGCAACGGTGGCATAACCACTTCATAACGGGGCCCCTCGGAACACACGCTTCCATGCAGTGGTTACAGAATGATGCACCGAGTGCTGCCTTAGCACAACGGTGCTTTGGGCAGCGGCACGGCTCCCACACTTGAACCTCGCTGTCGCGGAGCGTGTTACAGTCTGCACAGCGCCAGGCAAGTTGCTTCCTTGAACTGCCGCACTTGTTGCACTTGTACGGTTTGGTGAGGCAAGTCGATCCGCAAGAGTCTTGTAGATCGGGGTTCTCGTACATCCTCACGCTCTTGTCGCAGGAAAGCTCGTGTTTTCCAGGCCATAGTATATTCACAGCCTTTGATTTGTTGCAAATATCCCATCGCGACTTGATGTGCCCGCATGGGTACCGGGAGACGTACTGTATACACATGATAGCATCGAATTTGAATATAGAGATTCGATCGAGACGTTTTCTAGCGGAGAAGGCAGATTGTTTTTATTTAATAAATGGGTCTTACACCTCAGGAGAATAGTAGACCTCAGATTGCCGGGCTCTGGATGCGCTTTATATACTAATTAGCATCCCTCAAAGGGAAGAATGCCTTTGTTGTCCAGGGCCCTTTAAAGAAAGACAGCCAAAACAAGCAAAGACTGTCTTGTAACGATCATACCAACGGCTTCTAGATAAAGATAAAGATATCTAATAATGAGGTAATTGTCAAGACGAATAAAGGGTTGTACTAGTAGCAACCTGATATTACTAATCTAGCTTTCAAATTTCTTGATGCTGCTCAAACAATCCGCGATGCTATTTTCCAACGTAGCCCAACTGCGGCCGCCAAGCGCCCGCAATAAGCTTTCCGCCCTCTGGTTGGGCACGTCTGTCTGATCCCACCTATCGTCCTTCGCCAGCAATATCTTCGTCTCAGGCTCGAGCTTCTGCAGAATTTCCCCGACCTTTGAGAAGCTGTACTTGTTCCCAAAGGCAAAAAGGCGTTCGCCATCCACACCCGGTGTGGTGAGAGCTGCTAGATACAGTAACCCAAGATCTTGTGTGTCGATGAACCTCTGAGCAGGTATGCTAGCTAGCAGATCCAAGTTGACACCATCGCGGAGCCATTTGACCATGCCGCAAGTACTCTGTATACCCTGGTTCTCTGGACTTAAAGTCGTACCGAAGACCGTATCCGGGAGGATCGTGTTAAACGTGTATGAGGGCTTCTCTGTGCGAATCCAGTCCCAGATCTTTTGTTCGAGCAGCGATTTGAAGGCCATATACCCCAAAATGCCAATTTTCTCCCCGGGTTTGCTATTTTGCACAATACGTACCGCTTCATCGTTGTACGACCATTCGTGCAGTACCGCCTTCTTGTCCGGGTCTGGTGTCCACGCAGCCCACGCAGAACTTGTGAAGACGACGGTTTTGACGCTAGGCTCGTTCTTGGCGGCACCCAGAAGCCCGGTCACTGCGCAAATAGAAGAACTGTTAGTCGTTATTTATATCTCCAGTGTCATATATCCTGCTAGATCATGAAGGCCCGACTTAGGGCCGTTAACGGGAGGTTGTTATACGTACCAAACGGAAACTCTAGTTGTAGAGCAGCGTCAATATCCACGAGATCTACACCGGCCTGTCCAGCGACGCCCGCGACGCTAGCGACTCCCCTAACTGCTTCATCCCACGCCCCTGGAGCGCTAAAATCCGATACCTCTATGAGCTCGAACCGGCCTGAACCATGGCGATCGGTGAAAAAGGGCTCCATCCAAGCGCATCGTGAGATACTACGTACAGTTCCGCGCACCCGGTATCCCGCCTCAAGAAACTTGTCGGCGACCCAAGACCCGATGAGTCCATTGACGCCGGTGACGAGGACAACAGAGCCCAACGGAATGATCGGGTTGTTAAGCGTCAGTTTTCCCATATTGCTGTCTGGCGTGGAGTTCTGATAATCAGATGTCGAGGCTAATCAAACCTTGAAGAGGCGTCGTGGAGTGAAATAGACACTTCAAACTGCAGATGGAGATGGAGATTGAGAGCCCTAAAAGGTAACCGCATCACTCTTTTGGCGCCATTATATGGTACGACGTTCGTATATGACTTGGCACCGCATCATTGGTGTCTCTTTGGTGTTCCCTTGGCGTGGTTTCAAGACGCACTGTAAATGCTAACTCGCGCCGTCTTCCTGCCATGACAAATGCTGTCGGCCATATACAGAATTAATCATCCTCATCACCCACTCATATGCATACTCTTGATTGCAGCACAGACTCCATTCTCAGATTATCCCCTACAACGCAGTTGCTTTCGAGAGCCGCCATGTTCCGTCAACGAGCATGGCACCATTCGTGTCATTCGTGTTATACCAGTGAAACAGACCGCATCATCAATCTGGCCTATTATCTTCCCTAATTCTCTATTAGAGGACAATGACGGCACCATAACATAGCGTGAAGGACAGACAGATATACGCTTCGCGACGACAGCGTGGTGGTGCAAGTCTCGTGTCCTTCGCATGACACAACACGGGGGGCCCCTCGGAGTTTACTGGTCAAGCCACGGCTGCGCCTAAAAGCGAGGTCCAGCCACCGCGAGCCTGGAAGTCTTCCATTATACATTATATCCGGTTGAGCGAGCTTGGGCGAGCTTGGGCGAGCTCCCCCAAGTCCGTGGCTGTCTTAGCAAACATGCCCCGCGACGCGCCGGATTTAGGATTCGGAGACCGCGAGGCCAATGAACAAGCCCTGTGATCCCTACATGATATCATTTATGCTGGGATATCTAAACCTATTGAGCTACGTTGATACTTAATGGGGCTAGCTACTCGCCGTGTTTCCCGGCGATAGTTGTACCGCTCGTCTGAGCTCTCAGACACTACATTTCGGTCTCGGAGTTAATCAGCGATGAATCGCATGTTCTACAACAAGCTGAGACTTTTTGCAAAATGGACGACAACTTCTCTGTTGATCTAACAAGGGCGGTTGGCGAACTAGTGAATAGTGTCAACTTTTTTGCGTAACTTTCGTTGTTTGCCCGCGTCATCGTTTGCCAGAATGTCTTACACAATGCCCCACGTGCGATATCTGCTCGCGAGCAGCAGAGTACAAAAGGTCGCTCGACCTCTCGCTCGCTTTGGGGCCAATGAGCGGTATCTCAGCGTTCGTCAAGCACCAGTCCGATCTATTCGACTATATTCTTCGCAAAAGCCAATCGCATCCTCCGCAATGGCGACCGACAAGAAGATTCTGCTGATCACCGGTGGTCAGTAGCATCCATTTGACGAATGGAGGGGCTGGGATTGACACTTGATATAGGAAACACTGGTCTCGGTTTTGAGGCCATCAAAGCTCTCAGCCAGAGCCAGACAGCCTACGAGATCATATTAGGATGCCGCACAATCTCGAAGGGCGAGAGTGCCAGTGAGTGATGTCCCAAACTTCATTCCACCTCTCTTCCACTCCCTCCATTACCTGATAATCCCACAATTGTCCAGCATTAAGAAGGGATGGCCCTAAGGGAGAAAGGATTTGTCCATGCTGTCGAAATATCCGCCACGTTACTCCAAAGAACGAGCACTAATTCAAAGGTTCTAGTCGCCGCGGTGAAGAAGCAATTCCCAGAGACGAAGTCGACTTACAGCACAGTACAAGTAGATCTCGAATCCGACGAGTCGCTCGAGAAAGCCGTGGAGGAGCTCAAGTCAAGACACGGACGTCTCGACGTGCTGATCAACAACGGCGGCGCCGCTTATGACTATGAGGTCCAGGATGGGAAAATGACGATGCGGGAGGGGTGGAATAAGTCGTGGAACGTCAACGTCACCGGCACCCACATCCTGACGACGCTAGCTGTTCCACTGCTGCTCAAGTCATCCGACGCGCGCTTGATCTTTGTCACGAGCGGTACCTCGTCGCTCACCGAGACTGAGTCGAACGACACGCCTGCTCTGCAACGCCTGAACACGCCTCCCGCCGCGGGCTGGCCGAAGCAGATGATCGGCATATCGACCATGTCGTACCGTAGTTCCAAGACAGGTCTCAACATGGTCATGCGTGAGTGGCGCAGAACACTCCTAAACGATGGCGTGAAGGTGTGGGCCGTCTCTCCGGGCTTCTTGGCCACCGGTTTGGCGGGCATCGGCGAGGAGAAGTTGAAGCAGGTGAGTGCTAAAAGCGAGTAGAAATACCAGAAAAAACTTCATGCTAACATGGCCATAGATGGGTGCGCTCGACCCGGCTATTGGTGGGCATTTCCTTAAGGATGTTGTTGAGGGCAAGCGGGATCATGACGAGGGGAAGATCATTCGAAGGGACATGATCCAGCCGTATTAAACAAGGCGGGTGATCTGGCCATGATAGGTCATGCAATTCTCAACAGGTACTAGCAATAAAGATAAAGGAGATAGAAAATAGATGTCAGTTAGATTAGCCATATTGCAATTGGTAAAGTCATATGAAAAGGGGTGCTTTCCATGCTTAACAGTATACACATTATTCAATATATTGTTCGCCTATGGGAGGTTGTCCTCCTTGATAACGATACAATACAGAAACTTAATATCGTGACAATTACCGATGTTCGTCACACACACACATTGCTGGTCCATACCGGGTAGAATCGCTCGAACGGGGATGACAACCATATATCACATTTATATTAGAGAGCGGGTATGAATAAGCTCTGGGTAAGGCCCCTATGTAAGAAGAGGAAAGTCATTTAGACTTCTAGCAGTAGCCTTTTCGACTATGGCATATGGACTAACGTTGATCTGTATACAGTAGGTCTATGTAATAGGTATGAACGTGACACCATCTTAGGGTCGAGAAGCCGAGACCTAAGAGCAACTCATCGAAGACGCCTTGCAACTTTATGGCCAGGTCGAAGAGGCTTCCAGCCGTTCTCTGTCAACACCACACAGTCTAACATCTAACTTCCAGAGCCAGACTTCTGCTGCCTTAGCATGAACACAGCTGACGAAGACTGTAATCAGTAATACAGTAGCTGGCGGCAGACAGGCTTGATGGCCGAGCAATTATACAAGTTAGCTTACTTGATATAAGTCTACACAGATGATACTTACAGAAAGTACTACGTCAACGGATAGTAGCTAGTCCGGCATGCAGCAATGTAATGATATCGCTGTTAGTGTTCTCAACAGATAGCCATACAAGTTATCATTACTCTTCTCGACTTCGTCGGTACTGTCTATTTGGAGTCTGTACGGCCATTGTCGCCTCTGCAGTACTGTACAGGCCTTTAATGTTTCGTAACGCCGCGGTTACTAGTCTCGTCGCACCCATATCCGTTATGTATGCGCTCCAGAGTGGTTCCGTGCAAGGCCAGTCGGAAAGGAGCCTCAGGGATATTCATATGACGCGTGGCCGACGACAGATTTTGCGCACGCTATACACGGAACCTGGGCTTGTAGGTCATAGTAGAAGCATGTTTCAAGTACGGTTTGATGACGGCGGTATGCCGATGCTAATATGTCACACCACAGATCCATTGATGACCAGTTCATGATCAGACCGCGTAGCGCAAGCGGACTTTCCTTCCCCCGTTGCCCCAACCCGTGATCGTTTCGCCAGTAACGCGACGACTCATCGTCTCGGTCAGGCCATGGTTGGGGTATTGCTCACAAATACGCCGATCATCTGGCGTACGTATACTCAGGGCCAACGACGTGCAGAGACGTGGATTGTGTTTTTCTTTAGTGCAGTTGGAGCAACGATACGGAGATAGGGCGCCGGAGCTCATTATTGGAATCCGCTGGGGTTGCGCCCTCGGCGGAATCGCGAATATCACCGCAATATCCCCTGGGTACTCATTCACCTTAACAGGAAGATAGAAGAGAAGGCACTAACCTTCTACCGGGTTCGTTGGTCCCTAGGACCAAACTCTAGCGACGATCTTTAAGGTGCACGGTCCGCTAATTACGCCGGATGTTGCAATTACCAACGGCGGTGTTGCGATCCCATCCAATCTTCCGTGCTTGCAAAAAGAAGCCGTCCCATATCCTAAACGACGATGTCAATCTAGCTATCTCCTTCTCCGCATGAGCCCACCGGATTATCTCCTGTTGTAGTGATAGATATGTGATAGGGCATAGACAGGCATTTCACGTTAACAACTCTTCATTGGAATCCGTTAAATCCGTAGGACCTGAGTGGTCGGTGAAGAGTACCTAGCATAATGACGATGACGAGCGTCCAATGAAACTTAAACAGCCATGAACAGCCTAACCAACAACCGGGGTCGTGGCGGTCGATCGAACAGCACGGGGGCAGTTGACAATAAATTGACAATAGGGGAGGGATTACGCGGCTTGGCTCACCGTGGCTTAAGTCCCTCCGCCAACGTCGGGCGATTGACAGGATTGACAGGAAAATGATATATTATTAATTGACACTGCGCGCGCGTACGTACTGCAAGTGGCTTGACAGGAATGTCATTGTTGAGGCTGGCAATTCCTACATGCAGGACATCACCATCCTGGTTGCGTACTTACTAGTGTAAGTGTATTCCTGTATCTATGGTAGGCAAGGGCATGCTCAACACTGCCGCTTTTCGGGTCTTGGCAATGAAATATTTCTTACTGCATTGATTATCTATGCGTAAACTCTGTCTGTATGTGCTGAGAAGGTATCTTACCGGGTTACTTGTGAGTACCACGCGCATCCATTCTGTATCGCTATCGCTATCGCTATCGCAGAATCGAGTCAGCCAAAGGGCTCTGTAGATACCTGTGCGAGGGCGTGGCACGAACAGTGGTTACACCCAATTGTTACTAGGTTTTAACGAAGAAAGGGATTTCTATATGAACGGTTAGGCACTGTGCCAGAACTAGCCGGGACTCGAGCGAGGATCTTCTTAACTCAATAGACCGCTAACGGCTTGATAAACTTCTCTGCTAAATAATGGCTGCGGTATCACTTGAGTGTAAGTATGTACTAGGATTAGCATGTATGCGCGAGGCTGTGTGTATATAGAGTAGGAGTACTGGTAGGAGTAGGAAGGATACAGTACGTGTACTTCCCGTGACATTTCAGCGAAACGCAACGGAAGCAAAACAAGTGGAGAGAGGAACATCAACAAACGCCGATAAGTCAGTATTTAATATAAATGGTGCGTGCTAAGTCTCTAGGTTGAGATGTATCTTATTCAGATAGTACAGTAACGGCACCAATAGGATCCAAATCCTGACCTCTAGGCCTTGCTCCGGGAGCTAACCCTCCACAACTAACGGGAACGCCAAGCAGTTGGGTCCGATTTTCAACTTACCAGGAACGCGTTTGCATGTTGCAAGCAGAAGTGAGAATAACAACTTTGGTTGAGACTAGTGTGCTTGGTTCCATGGCGGTCGTCACTCCACCTGCAAGTTATCCTGTTTGGTGTCGATATGAGAAGGCTAAAGGGGGGTAGGTTCTTGACCGAAGACTTGGCTTTATCCTTTGTTGTTACATACATACTCGAAAACTAGGTCCACACCACTTGCTCGCATCATGTTCCGAGAACCCAGCAACACTACGAAATCCATCCTGGCGAGTTTGGCCTTGAAGCTGAGAGCCACAATCACGAAGAATATCTTGAAACAATCCCACAGTAGGATTCGAACGTGTTTCTCGATGTTTGATTGATCGAGAGACTGGCTACACCGTAACAGAATCAGTGCCCAGGACACGGTTCGATCCTGTGCACACAAAATGATGTAGCACAAGTAGTGTACGTAAGTAGTGTGGACACTAAGAAATATCGCCGCCCGAACATGAATTGGCATGGCTATCAGGGATGGGGGCTGTCTTTCGACTGGGAATACTTTGGTCCTCATAACCCTCTTCTATACCACTCCTCCTATATCGTCCGTCCTTCCCAACTCATCTGTATATTTTTTGCTCCTTTTCTTCTTACATATATATTCGTTGATCTTCGTATCAACCGCCACTCGTTAACGACCTGCGAGAAGCTCTTTTCATATATATATACCCGAATATCTGTAATAGACTTCCATTTAGTATATAGTTATTCTCGAGCTCCCCTTCGCGTATATACCCGTCTTCCCGAGATACCATTCTTGAACGAAGCTTGAACTCAGTTGCTCTTATCGAGATTATTTCTTCACCTTCAGCTCGTTTTCTGTCCCAACGTTGTCTCCTTGGAATTCGCCCAGTATGGCGTATGCCGATAGATACACTAAGAAGCCCGTCACGGACTTCTTCACGAGCGACACGGACTTCGACCGCCGGCAATGTACCCGAACAGTACCCATGAGAGCTCTCCTCCTGGCACCTGGGCGCACAGGAACTGCCTGTATGTGAATAATTCCAATCGCATCTACACGTTGCTATTCTCAAGCCAGCTACGTTCATCTACTAACACGATTTGCGATCATTACACAGCTATGAGAGCTGCAATGAAACAATTAGGATATCTTGATACCTACCACATGATGAACTGTTCTATAGAGAATCCGCCGGACGCACTGCTCTGGATGGACGCGCTGCGAGCCAAGTATGATGGTGTCGGCGAATTTACTCGAAAGGACTGGGACAAGCTGCTTGGCGGGTCCCAAGCGGTCTGCGACTGGCCCGCCTGTGCCTTCGCCAAGGAGCTCATCGAGGCGTACCCTGAGGCCAAGGTGGTCATGACGACGCGCGACGTCGACTCCTGGCACGCCTCGACGATGAAGACGGTCTACTGGCGAGCGACTGACCCTGAGCTGCGCATGCTGTCGCATTTCAGCTGGGCGGCCAAGATGTACTACCCTATGCTCAAGAAGTTCTTCGACACCTTCTTCGAGGGCGACTTTCCGAACCGCGGCAAGGACATTTTCACGAAACACTACGAGGAGGTCAAGAAGCTGGTGCCGCCCGAACGACTGCTCGAATACCGCGTCCAGGAGGGTTGGGAGCCGCTGTGCAAGTTCCTCGACTGCCCCGTGCCCAAGGACGTGCCGTTCCCTAATGTTAACGATAACTCGGATTTCGTCACACGATCGCAGCGACGGAACCGCGCCCAGATGTACAACGTGATCGCGCAAGGATTAGAGATCCTCGGACTCGCGCTCCTAGTACTGTATCTAGTCTTTTACGTTCAGAACTCGATGTTCTCATGATTTCTACGAATTGGGTTTTTCGACGCATAGAAAATGACATATCTAGACGAAGATTGCGCTTGGCTCCGGCGTCACGGCAAATGGGTAGGAACTTGATTCCGTTTTGTTTTTTTCTTGGGACAGGGGCTGGAGCTGCATACCATCGGATACCGGTCTTGTTGGGGATACAGGATCCTAGATTGCGGTCCTATTTCGCGAGCGTTCATCTTGGCATGCACTAATAAAATTCATCATACGGAGTATATATGCTTGATTACGCAACTGAAGCATCATGTCGTGGATAATGTCGTGTATCTGGTCGCTGCTGTGCCTATGTTCGCTTTCCACGGGACAACGTGGTTTCGATAACTGTGACGATTCGTGGAGTTCCCCATGTGATTCCTCGAAGCGGCTATCCCAGGTAGCTAGTGACTTGTCTTGCCGAGTAGCGCGATGCAACGATGACATACTACATTCGGTAGGATCCCTGTCGATCCATGTACATAAGTAAGTGATTCCACTGACAGCTCCCCCTGTCACGCGCCGCTCGGAACAAAGTACGGCACAGTAATCTGCGTCGTACTTCGTAGATCCTGTTGCGGGTAAAAGTCCTGAGTGGAGGTACTCTCTACTTTGTGTGGCTACTCGCGCATTAATTAAAGCCGTTGTTGTGGGCCAACTGTTTGCGATCTATGGGAAAGCAGTTGGGAGCCTCCTTGCAAAGATCGTCGCAGCAGTTATACGATATTCATCGCGATCTGATTATACATACGCATTCAATAGGTCGATTTTATCCCATCGTTGGAAGAGACGGCGGGAGAGCGGGAGAGCGGAGTGGCAGAGGGGATCAGGGGTCTGATATCAGCTAGAGCGCGGGTCATGCGGCGCTGCTACGATTCCTCAAGGTAGGCAATCTACACGATGCCGACGGCCGGGGATTAGGTATCACGCTATCATGCCGCAGCAGTTATCCTCGAAATCCTACGTCATCTCTACTCAGCATGTGGTGAAACTGCAGTGAGAGTGAGCCGTAAGTGAAAAGTTTTAGGCTTGCAGCTTGGCGTGAAAGGACTTGTTCATCAATCTATCACAGCCTGACAAGTTGATCGGCAGCCTTGACGGGGCGATCGGATGCCCCCGTTCTTACTCGTGGCAGTAGTTAAGCAGCCTCGATAGCAAGAATCGCTGAGTGCACAATATATAATCACGGATTGGCGTCGAAGTTTATTCTATACAATATCCCAGGTGTCGAGTGATCACTGCCATGCCAAGTGCAGTCGGGCAATTGGGGGCGTATCAGTGAGTTGTGCAACTCTCTTCGGAAGATCAGACAGATAATTTCCGTCTTGCATAGTTATCCTCTCAAGTGTAGTCTACCTATGATCGTCATGCTTGTGCGAATGGTTGGCCAGGGTTAGAGCGAAGGCCGTTAACCCATAGCCAATGGCCACCGAGAGCCGTATCGTCGGTAGTCGGAATTAGCGCTGATAACACTTCTTACTTAAGTATATAGACTATGTAGACCATGCAGCCAAATGATAGGACAGGCGTTGGATTTCGAGTTTTCGGGTGGATTGCGCAACACTCGCCAATCTCAATGTCCACTTTCCCCTTTTACGCTTCACATGAGTTGAGGCCTCCCTAATCCAGCGAACATATTCATCTCCTGAAATGCGCTGTAAGCATACCAAGTTTTCAGAATTAGAGCACCGGGCAGGTCTTGCTGTGAGTCGCTAAATGATGTTGCAATATCGGACAGACATTGCCTTTATGGTTGACGATCTTAGTCCACACAGATGCTTGCTTTAATATCAACTCAGAAAAGGAGTTGAATATCAAATAGCTGCGGTTTACAACTTTATAGGGCGAACAAGGAACAACGTAGCTGTAGCTTGATTGGCCTCATCACTTGTTATGTATACGAGTCAAGCGTTCGACAACGTGACTATAACTTACTTGAAAAACAGTAAACTAGAAACCAATCGTTCCTGCTGCGCATCGTTGCACAACAGCGTAACAACGGACATAGTAGTCGCATTGTTGTTCATTCAACGTCTTCCTAGGTTGTCGGTTGGCGGACCAGGCTGTATGAGTAGTGAGTGGGACGTAAATAGGCCGCAATAAGTTAGTTAGACAACGTGGGAGATTACCAGCCAGGGATATTAGCCGACGCCTCGGCTAACCCTGCAGCTGGTTTCGAGTCCATCCAGAACGCTACAAAGTACTTACTTACGTGGAAGTCGACGTCGGACTGTGGCTGGGCGGATTTGACGACCCTCGCCCATTGAAAGTCCGTGCCGACGGATGACCCAATTCCCTTATTCATATGGCCATGTACCTACTATGGACGGTTGAACCAGGGCAGAAATAGCCATGAGTACTGACTACATAGTACGCGGCGAATCCATTTTAATGCGGAGCCGGGGCCTGGGTAGCATTTGGCTCTCGAGACTCTCAAGTTCGGCCATTAGCGTTGCCAATGCAAAGTTCGTCGGCTCAGGACGCGCGATTCTAAGCAAGTAGTGTAAGGATGGTGTATGTACTATCACATAACTATCTTCTTGATCGAACCAAAGTCCCTTGGCTCTCACATTCATCAACGTGACTATAGTACGACCCAGGCAAGTTACCTCGACTATGTTTTAGTATTTTGCAGAGCATTCAACCAAGATTCGGTGCCTTGGAGGGCGTGTTCCTTCATTCTGTTGGGTCCTTTCTGTGCCTCCTGATCAACTAACTCGTGCCAACAACTCGTGCGTCATTCCTGTCATGAACAATTGCTGCGCCATCAGCTTACTACGCCCCTCACACCCTATAGCTACTCTAAACATTGTAGTATATTTATCATCTTGTGTTTCATATGCATAGGTAGATACTTGCCTAATCCTGATTCGTCCTCCCGCCACGAGCGCGCGCGCGCCATCTCATCGTCTTGCCTATCATGGCCAGGACCTCATCAATGCCGCACACAAAAAGGCACTCGAGGTCAACCTCTCTCCAGATACACAACAATGAGCAGCCATTTCCATCGTCAGAGGACTTCGAGCCGATGGCCGTAACAAATCAAGATGTCGAGGTCCAGACACCTCGTCCAATGTCTCCGAAGAAAAGGGACGGCCCGGTGACGTGGGTGTCTCTGCCCAGGAAAGACCAGCTGGCGATCTTGTTTCTTTCACGACTTGTCGACTTCTTACAAGTTGCGTCGTTGCAGGCCTATGTTTTCTACCAGCTCAAGAGTTTCGACAACACCCTTACTGATTCGCAGATATCGAGTCAGGCCGGGCTTTTGCAGGGTGCATTTACAGGAGCGCAGGTTTTGACGGCGTTCCTTTGGGGGAAGGCGGCCGACGCTAGCTGGTGCGGTCGGAAGAACGTGCTCGTCATTGGACTTTTCGGTACCGCCATATCATGCATAGGGTTTGGTTTTGCGACCAGTTTCTGGTCGGCTGCCTTTTGGCGGGCAGCGGGTGGTGGCATCAATGGTACAGTTGGGATAATGTGAGTATAGTCTGTCTACCTATTTTATCATTTTGGATAGAAAATGACTCAACGTCATCGTCAGACGAACTATGATTGCCGAGATCACGGTCGAGAGGAAATACCAATCCAGAGCCTTCTTGATCTTACCTATTAGCTTCAGCGTAGCTAACACGCTGGGACCCTGTGAGTATCGCTTGCTACGGATGGCTGTCCAAGCGAATATGAACTCTAATTAAACTCTAGTGATGGGTGGTATATTGGCTGACCCTGCATTGACATTGCCTGCGTTCTTCGGCGAGGGCGCTATCTGGGGATTCGACTGGGTCTTCCGGTACCCCTATGCCCTCCCTGCTTTGATCAACACGGTGACATTGACTATTACGGGCCTTATCGTGTTCCTTGCGCTGGAAGAGGTGTGTATCCATTCATGCGCAAAACACAGCCCGTCACTAACAAGCAGTAGACATCAAGCAAGAGGCGGAACATGCCCGATATTGGTTTGGACCTTAGTCGCCGACTCAAGGGGCTCATCACGCGCAAGCCAGTCAACAATGGATACTATATGCTAGAGACCCTCAACAGGTCCGACTCCCCATCTATGAACGGCCATGAGGAGAAGATCCCCGTCGCAACACCAGTACCGAAGCGACCATTACGGACCCTCCCATTCAGCCGCGTTTGGACCCGAAACGTGATCTTCACGCTCGTCACCGAGGCCCTGTTCGATTTTCAGCTAGGCGCATTTACCAATCTTTGGACGCTCTTCCTCTCCAGCCCGCGATCAAAGCCCAAAGAGACTGCCGTGCGCGCCCTGCCTTGGGTCTTCACAGGTGGTCTAGGCATGCCCGCCGCAACCGTTGGCTTCGCGACCTCGCTCCTGGGCGTGCTTGGCATGGCTCTCCAAATCTTCGCATACCCGCCTGTCCACGCGCGTCTGGGAACCCTGCGCGGCTTCCGATATTTCATGGCCTTGTTCCCCGTGGCATACTTCCTCGCACCGTACCTCGCGGTCCTTCCCTCGGCCACTGAGGCCCCGGAGCCTGCCTCCGGCATTATCATCTGGATGTTCATGACCGTGGTGCAGGTCTTCCAGGTCATGGCGCGCACCGTCACGTTGCCCGCCAGCATCATTCTACTCAATAATTGCAGCCCGCACCCGAGTGTGCTCGGACTGGTACACGGCCTGGGCCAGAGCGTCTCCGCGGGGTTCCGCACTGTCGGCCCTGTCGTGGGCGGTTGGTGGTATGGTGCTAGTCTAGAAGCTGGTGTTGTCGGCGCTAGTTGGTGGGCAGTCGCTGGTGTTGCGGCTTTGGGGTGCGCCTCATCCTTCTTGATTTACGAAGGGAGTGGTCACGAGATCGTTTTGGAAGGAGAGGAAGATGAGAAGCTTATAAGCTAGATCTAGACCATAGACAGCTTTAATCTTTGTATATATCCGGCATATAGAGTTAGATACTTAGACATGAGAAGTCTGATTCACACACTCTCAAAAGTCACGGATGCAGATCTGTGTGATATATATATTATTTGATTTGTAACTCTACACCAGATAAGACAAAATCATTCATACGCCTGTGATCGCTCGAGCCGCTAAAGAAGACTCCGGAACAGTTTCTCTCATATTTCTCATGCGCCAATAACCATAACCAAGCAGACGCGATACTCGGCGAGAAGTGCGGAGCGGGTGTGCGATACAGAACACAACATAGATGGCCACAGCCCTTACGCGTCTACTCGCAAAGACCAAGGCGAGGGCTGTAACACCTACAGAGATCGATACTACTTCATTGTCAGCCCTGGCAGCTGAGAATAACGATAATATATATTATTTTGACTTACAGATAAGCTTTAACTGATCAGCCACCTTCCACTGGTTATTGCCGAACTCAGCATTGTTCATACCGAATATACTCGAAAGGAACGAGAGAGGAGACTAGGATACAGTTCAGTAAAGATTCATAACATCTCGCGACGCGTTAATATTGCAGAGTAAAAAGCAAAAGGGATAGATAGCCTGTTTGGAAACTCACGAATATGATGGTCACAATGGTGAAAACCATGACAGTTCGTCCCTGGTCCATCGAGTCTAGCGACAGCTTTACAGACTGTAGCGCCTGGACAACGCTATCCTGTTGCTGGCGCAATTGTGACAAGTCCTTAACCTAAATGCAGTGAGAACCAGCTAATATTTCACCACGATACTCGGGGCAAAATCTTACCAGATCAGCCGCACTAGAAGCATCCTTAAGCAATGACTCCAAATGCCTAATTCGTTCCTCGACCTTGACTAGTAACCTCGGCCCAAACCATAGTGCTTCGCCGTCAGAACACCAATAGCCACTGGATCGGTCCTCCAGGAACCTAGAAGCGTGCTGGATGAACTTCTTGTACACATCGAATTGCGTCTTGGTTAACGAGATCATAATCTCCAACTCCTCGACGATATCCTGGATCTCCTGCTCGAGATTGCCTTCAGTGTTCATCGTCCAAGGCAGGGTGCCTATGGTCTGGTGTGGTTCCTGCTGTCGATTAATCCGCCTCGCGCGGTCAATCCAGTCCCAAAGACGGCGGGTCTCTAGCGTTTGCTTCCGGGACTGTTGGCCGTCTTAGTGAGGCCTTCCTGAGATGGAAGTAGGGTATGCATGACGCAGGAGAGGGGATGAAACAGTGCATTATAACATACCACGTCCTGAATAGCCTCGGAGAATAGATCCAGCACAGGGGGCTGTTCACTGAAGTCTTTCATCCTCCGAAATAACGTATCGGAGCATTCGTCAAGGATGGTCTGCGCAATTGCAAAGACAGAACGAATGGGCCTGTCCCGGATCAGGCGTTTTTGAACTGCCTCGAACACACCAGAAGGATCAGGGCCGCGTAGTCCGTATCTTTTAGGGAAGCAGGTGATTACTACCTGTGGACTTAAAACCCACATCCAGAGCTGGTCAACCATCACCACGCTGGAGACTTTTCGCACGTTCTCGCGGCATATATCGCATCCTTCAGATGGAATATCACTACGAGGGCATGTCCATAGGCCGGTCGAGCTATCAAATTGATGGCTTTTCGATTTAGCTGGCGTCGTCGCTCGGTAGAGTACTTGGGTTCGGTTCCTTGCCCGAGTGCTCCGGACCGTTGTGCTTTTAAAACGAGGATTATCAGCTTCGTTTGAACAAAACTAATAAGTGTTTCTAGGCGGATACACAAGCTAGTATACTTCTTGTTTGCCCAAAAAATAAAATAAAATAAATACTGCGTCTACCCCCGTATGAAAGAGATGTGAAGGCATGATTCTGGGTTCAACTTACTAATATCCCTGATCCAAAGTCCGTCGCGGATGAAGGGGGGGATTGGCAAAGAGATATCTTTGAATCAAAGAGGTATCCTCGTAGTTGCGTACCTCCTCGTATAACCGTGCCATGCCAAGGAGATATTGGCCTAAAGGATGTTTACTTTGAAATCGTGTACGCCGAGGCTCAGCATACCTGAGCCCCTCTCTCTCCGGCTCTGCAAACGTGAGTTTCCTAGAAAACGGCCACAGTGAAGGGAGGTTAGGCATCTTAAGGCCTTCCCTGTCTTTCATTCTCCTTCGTTTCTCGGAGTCCGCCGCGCGCCGCTGGTTATATGTATATTCAGCCATACTCTCTTCGGTTTTGCGTGTAATGAAGTTCAGCTGTCTTGAAGTTTCCCAGTGGAGATATGGCGCCTAGTAATGTCAACTTTTCGATTGATAGAATGTATTAAGGCATTTCCCGTGAGATGGGCACTTACATATAAAACGACTTTCTCGGCTTCTGAATCCATGTGACGACGACCTTCATCGGACTTGTCAACTCCTGTCCACTCCACCTGGGCAATCTAGATATCTTACTCGGCGCAATGAATTCGGAGAATGGACGCATGAAATGTGAGCTTGGTTTCGTTGAATCTCCATACTCTTGCCCCCTCCAAAAGTAGTCCCGCAGAAGCCTTGAGGTTCGTGACGCTTCATCACCATCTCGCATCTGTTCTCTTGTTGGTTTTTCTTCTCCATAGTAACGTGCTATGACCTCCTGTCTCGGACTTAGTACCTGAAAGTGCGTATATAAGACCCCGGTGTGACTTACTTCAACCCACTAATACACCAGACCTATTAGGTTATCTTGTCTTTCCGTATACTGCTACTCAAAGACTCACCAGCATGTTGTTTGATGGTATATGGATCCACATCGACTCAGCTCCAGCATTATCAATTCTCTTTTGCTGGAGGAGACTGGATAGTAGTGGTTTTTCGTGTCGGAGTAAGTCATGTACATTCGTGACTTGGTTTGGAAATGTTCCCGTCGCATATTGAGGGTCAAGGTTGCAAGGTAGGCCTTCTTTAAACGCGATAACTTGAACCTTGATGTTGCTATGTGGATTGTACAACTTTCCCGTTTCATTTTTCGGGTATGTAATGGCAGCCCCGTTAGGAAGGCGTCTGTCAGCCCTCCATTTGCGAACCAGTTCAATGCCTAACTCATACTGCCGTGAGGATCGCCATCTTGCTAGACTGCTAGCTAAGTCTGTCAATAAATAAGACTTCTTCTCGTCTGCTGCAAGGGCGCTGAGTATAAGCGACACGCGGTGAAGCTCCTCGGCGCAATGATTTCGATATGCTCCCCGCTGGGCTCTAATTCTCCGTTCGGCATCGGGGCGAAGAATGCCTGAGTCTTTGAGTGTCTTGACTTGTTTGATCCAATATGGTGATGCGGTATCGAAGAAATCGTCACGCTGCCAAGCTTCAAGACATCCGAAGTAATGCAAGACGGGGTCTCTGATATCATCGTGAGGGTCGGCACTCAAGCATGAAGCTCTTTCGCTATAAGTGGCCATCGCCCTATCTCACTGCTCATTCTTACTAGAGTCGCTGGTGAAGCTGGAAATAGATCGAGTTAGAAGTTTAGCATCAATTTGGCTAGCCGCGAATGTACCTACTTGTTAGGCTGACCTTGGAGTAGTTGTGGCTTAGATAGGTCTTGGCTGCATGGCATGGCGCCTTAGGTATGTAGAGCTCATCAACCTTGCGAATCAATTACCATGTATAGTCAATTAAGTTCTTTTTTATTATTTGATGATATTGGAGACATTGCATTGGCGAGGGTAAAGCTTGGGATTTGTTGTTAGACCTTTTCACGTTTGTAGCGCCATTTTATGTCAATAGTATTATCGCTGCCTAGCCAGATCACAAATGGTATAAAATCAAGGGACTCAGTTTCCTAAATCAGCAGGTAACCGAGCGGCTTACTTAAAGCATACTGGAAAACAACGGGGTAGGCATCTAGACCGGAGGAGAGTAGCCTTGCAAGCTCGTTACTCTAGTCTTATCTTTCAAACCAAGGTATTTCAACAATCTCGCCATTAGGTTGATAAAGTGAAATAGTGAGGCTCAATCTCATCAGGATGCGAACTTCGGCGCTGTCTGGTCTTACCACCGCGCTCATAGCTGCACTCTGGGCGAGCGAGATTATTGCCGCCAGCGCCTCGGATAAAACACCCCAGATTCATACTCTGCCGCCTCTACAAGAACAAGCTGATATCGTCAACTCATGGACCGAGGAACGTAAAGCGCTGATCCCGGGTCTCCTCCGCAAATATGGCATAGACGCATGGCTAGTTAGTAACCCCTCTCAACCGAGAATTCAACCCGCATTGACACGGTGCCATGCATAGATGAGCCAACGCGAATATGCCGAAGACACGGTATTCTGGGCACTAAAAGACGCCGTGCAGTTCTCGGCGCGACGACGGACGACGCATCTCTTTCTCGCCTCGCCCAAGAATGGCGCTAAGAACGCGTACTCGTGGATTGACAACACGGCGGGTGTTTGGGAGGACCTACGCAATCTCTTTGCCGAGCAACAGGTCAGTAATCAGGGCTTCATCCATCGTTACCTAACATATAAAGAAAAGAAAAGAGTACCAATTGCTTAGTTAAACGCCATGTCTCTTTTCTGCTCTCCTGCACACTCCCGTTAATCCTTGACCATATGGCAATCACTGACACTAGCTTCCAAAGCCACGAAACATAGCGCTTAACACTCATCCTGAGATCGCTTTCGCATCTGGCCTGCATGCTGGCGAGCTAGACACAATCTCGTCAGCGCTCGGCGACGAGTGGGCGGATCGCTTCACCCTCGAGCCTATGCTTCCCGTCGAGGTAGTGGCCACCATGGTACCTAGTAGATTACCCTGGTACCGGCGTATGCAGGAGACCGCATGGGCAATCATCGAGGAGGCCTTTAGCGAGAAGGTGATTGTACCTGGGGAAACGACGGCTCTGGTGAGTTTATATGCTTTGAATCTCTTATACGAACCTCTCATCAGAGTTCGTGAGGGAGCTAAGATTATATTGACGTTTCTCACAGGACCTCGAGTGGTGGATGCGAGAGAAGATTCAGTCTCTCAATTACACGACATGGTTTCAACCTGGCGTCTACATCCTGACAGCAGAGGGCTTCCCCTTGAAAAAAGAGCGGACCGCTTCTCGAAGCGAGTTACGGGCTTCAGCAGACCGACCCATTCAATATGGCGACCTGATCCACACCGACTTCGGTGTGACGGCGCTGGGACTGAATACGGACACGCAGCATCTAGGCTACGTGCTATATCCAGGAGAGACAGAAGCCGATATTCCCAAGGGAATGATCGAGGGTCTGAAGAAGGCGAATCGCCTGCAGGATATAGTCAAAGCGAACATGAAGATTGGATGGAACGGTAACAAGATCCTGAAGGCATCTCTAGCCCAGATGCGCGACGAGGGCATCGAAGGCAAGATCTACTGCCATCCTACAGGTGAATGGGGTCACTCCGCGGGAACAGTAATAGGTGCGTTGATGGTATTTTCCCTAAAAAAGTTATATATATGTCTCACATGTTTCATAACAGGCATGACGAATCTCCAAGATGGCGTCCCGATCCTCGGCGAAATGCCATTACTCAAGGACACCTACTACAGCATCGAGCTCTATGCAGAGCATTTCGTTCCCGAGAGAAACCAGACACTGTTCTTCCCGCAGGAGGAAGATGTCTATTGGGACGCGAATACCGAGTCGTGGGAGTGGGTATATGGGAGACAGGAGAAGTTCCTCCTCATTAGCACGCCGGCCGAGGACGCCTCAAAAAGCCCTAGCGAGCTATGAGATGGATATACTGCGCAACACTACGAATTATTGCTAGTAAACTCAATTGTAATTACTAAATCTCATTTTTTGGGCCAAATGTATCTGCGCAGTCCAACACAATATTGCTATAGTTCCCAGCTCGCACTGCGACGCTTCGTTCAGCTAGGCGTCAATGTCTGACAGTCAACCGTAAGATATCATCTTGAATTGCTTGTTATAAGCTTTCCGAGGAAAAAGCTTATCGCCTATAAATAAGTCTGTTATAATACCTACCTACGTACATATATATGTAGCTAGGTAGCTAGCCGCTCTTACGCAATACCACCGCCACAAATAACAGTGTCGGACACCGGACAGAAAGTGGCAGCACACAAATTTGCATCCCTATTCTCTGTGTCGCGTTTGTCCTGCTCCCTGGTATTATTTTTATCTGTTTTGTCCCGACAACGACAGTCGTATCTGTAGCTCCAGTCCTTTCTTGGAGAGGGGAGCGCGACACTTCAACCCTTACACTCCACGACCGGGATGGCTAGCTTGGTTATGCCAGGGCGATGTTGGGTCTCGGCTATGCTAGGCCGAACTGGTCGGGAGGGGCGCTGCATTGCTTTCGCCAGAAAAGGGAGGGATGTAAGTATGTAATTTGGTGGTGGAGATGGGGTATGATGCAATCGGCATCCTATGACTGCGCCTATCCATCCGTTCCATCTACCTAACTGTATCCTGTCGTCGCCTGTTTGCTTTCTGTAAATAGAATAGAACCGAGTCAAGGACGTACCTAGTAGGTAGAGCGGGTGGCGTGTTGTCGGGCCACCTGCGACATGTTTGATGCAGTTTTTTTTTTTTTTTTTTCCGTTGCTTCCCTTGGTTCTTTCAGCATTTTCCCCCTAATGCACGCTGTCGAAGGAGGAGTCCCGCAGCTGCAGAATGTCGTCACCTTTGAGACATTTTGCTAGATATCTCGCTACCTACTAAGTACTTACACTACGCCAGCTTGGCTTGTTTCTTGGGCTGTCTCTTGGGCGCGAAGGACACCCTCCAGTGACAAGCCAGATTAACGAGCAAGATCAAGGAGGCTTGTAGACTACTGTATGGTGACTTCGGTATTTTTGCGGGATATTCCGGTTGGCTTGGCACCCACCACTATACTCAATATCTAGATGGCTTTTAGGGTAGTGAGAGACAGGAAACGAAAGCTGAACGCCTCTGACAAGTTGCCTCGCTTGAATGTAGGTAAGCAGCCTGGCAAGTTACCCTCCACACCTTGGCGTAGGTATTACTTCCCGAGAGGTCCATCAGAATTCGCACGCTGGCACAAATGGCTCCTTCGTGCACATCGACGTCACAAGCGACATTCTAGAAATAGGTAGGAGGAGTCACTAGGCAACGTGGACAATGTAACAAGCTGTAGCAGCAGCGACTGATGGGATGGTAGCATCTGGATACCTACCGTATGTAGGTAGCGTACGACGAGGCAGTGTACATACATAGTAGAGTAGGTAGATAAATGTCTCTTTCTACTTTATACCATCATGCCGTTCTCGGATTGCCCAATCAAGACAGACCTACACTACGACGTTAGGTAGGTATGCATGTATGTGTATTTACATGGCGCGGGGTTGCATCGTGGGCGAGAGAGACTTTGAACATCTGCTCTGCCTCGACGCAGATTGTCTGTCTGATTGGCAGGTCGCGCTCATTCACACAACTTTTGTCAATAGGAGGCGGCATGTCGCTTAACCGAGATTATAAACTAGATGGACTTGTACTGTACGCAGATGAGCTTGGATCAAGCAACTCCTCAAGGTCGGATTATAGCGCGCGGTAATTTTGGAGTTGTCGCAGCATTGTTGTCGCGGTCTCTACATACGTATATGAATTTCAACTGTCGTGGACTGCTTATGTTATTGACCTTGACCTTGACATCTCTGACGTCGGTGACATGTGAACTGCCATGGCAGGGGCTTGAAAGGGGTAACCTGACCTCAACATTTCCGCCTCGAGCATTCATGATTCATTCAGTTTGGTGACATGTCTGCTTTCGCCCTTGTCTTGAATTTACCGACCTGTGAATCTCAAAAATCCATGCATTGCAGCATCCGCGGGCCATACATATACATGTATACTACCTTGATGTCCTTGTAAGTTTCCGACGTTGCTCTTGACTGGTATCTATGCAGCATCCAGGGTTTATCTGTTTATTATCTGACAATACTCGACTAGGTGCCTCATGGATCGTCTTGTTTTACCTAAGTACCTGTAGAGCTATGGGTGGTATCTAGTGCTAGAACTATCGTATACACAGCTATGTAAGTAGGAGTGAGGCGCAAACGAGATTGAAGCAATATAAAGACTAATAGTAGGGCTTATCAATCGTGGGCGGGTACACAAAAGGCGGGAGACGCAGGCCATGAGCATCGACCTATCACGAGGCTCGGCCACTCCACGAGCGTATTATGTAAATCCCTATCTAACTCGATCAGACTCGATGTAACTCATGGAGCCGCCGTGACGCGGGTTGCGGAGGGGGGCCGAGGGGGCCTTATCATAGCTACACTAGATCCCGGGAGGGTCGAGGTGAAGGTGGTTTCGACATTTCTTTCCCGTCTGGCTAGTCTCATCATCATCATTATCATCATTACCATCACCAGTCGAGGCTGAGGTCATTGTCGTCGCCTCTGCTGCCATTAGCCCCGTTTCTCCCACGCCAGGCATAACATGGATAAGCTGTAATTACAAGTAATTTGGAGATTTCTCATTGCTTATGTTTTTTCCCCTCTGGCTTGTAGGTCAAGTTTAATTCATTTTCCATGTCATAGGCTGCTTTTTTTAATTAGCAGTTTCTACAAGGTTGTCCAGATTGCCACCTCTTCGTTATCACTCTTGTCACTATCATCTGTCAGGATCACGAGCATCATCTTGCTTGCTCCCTTGTTGTGACTCGCGCACTACACTACACTAGGTACCTCCCTAGGTACAGTCAATGGAAGAAAGGCAGGGTTGCATCGCTAGTATCAGCCTCCATCTGATGATCGAACTGTTACATTGACCCAAACCCACCAAAATTCCCCGTCCATAAGGTTGTCTTTATCGTGTCAAGCAAGCAAGCACTGCGATTACATTGTTCTTCTTGCATGTGCATACACCTATAGGGATGATATCTATGCATATGTAGGTAGGCATGCTTGCTACTCGGCCTACCTAGTTATACATCACGACCATTGTACACCTGCAGGAGACAAGCTCATTGTCTTCACACCACCCGGCACATTGCTTCCCCCCCCCCCCTACAGCAAGCCGTCTTCGGTTGTTGCGCCGCCGTGACCACCACAACGACTACCGACGACCCGTAGACGGCCTGGCTAGGTCTAGATAGAGTACTTATAATAGATGCCGGTGTTGGCCTCGCGCACCGTCCTGGCACCCTACCCTCGACCCGGTCGTGCTTCGTAGATATTGAGTCGGTGGACGATGACGCGAGACTACCTATACTAAGCAGGAGAGCAACAGTCAGGATCCAATGCCATAGTATAGCGCCGAATCCTATCCAGAGCTACCGTATTCAACCTCGCGAAAGCTGTTATCCACTTTTCGGCCTTGACTAGGTATTTGCATTCTCCCTAGAGTCGCCGCTGGGCTGTGCTCCATTGCCAGTCCCATTCACCACACGTACGCACCCACACACACAACACACACACACAACAACGCCACCGACAGACAGAGAGAGAGAGAGAGAGAGAGAGAGAGAGAGAGACATACTCTACTAGACATGTGTAGCTAGACACGACAAGACGACTAGACGACAAGACGACAACACTGTGTTGTACCTACTTTTGCGACCGATACAGAACGCCGTGGCCCCGTTCGCCTCGACGGCGCATTGTATTACCCTTACACATTAGAGCGAAGAACCGCCCCCGCGTTGCGTCCCTGCAAAACCGATCGTTTGGTGGCACAAACGAACCCCAGCCACCCTTTCGTCTTCCCGTCGCGCTAGTTTCGAGTTTCGAGTTTCGGATCTCGAGCTTCGAGTCTCGATTCTAACACAAATCTCGCGCGTGTCACCGCTTCTCTCCTCAAAAGCTCCTGCTCAACCACGACGAGGGGCGACTAAAGAGAACCCCCCCCTGCCCCCAGAGTCCTCCCCAATTGGGTTCCATCCGGCGCAACACTGCAAAGATGAATAATAGCACAAGAGACGCGACAAACTCTAGCTCTGCGTCGGCGCCTGCGACCATTACAGTGCCGAAATCCGCACCGACAGCCGACGCCGACGCCATCAACGCTGCTGCTGCTGCTGCTGCTGCCATACCGCCGGCTGCGCAACAGACTTCTGTGCCCCTGATGGCCGGCGCCAACGGTACCGGCACCAGCCCGGCTTCGGCAACCTCTAACAGCAAGAAGAGGAAGAAGGAAGGGCTGAAGCCTATCATCACAACAGAAGGGCCAGTTCCAGCGTAAGTGAGCTTTTTCTCCCGTCTCGTCGGTTTTGGTTACATTTTCCCCCGTCGTCTCTCGGCCCACGCGTAAGCGCGCGCAAGCTGTGTTCATAACCCGCCCTTCCCCAGTTTCCTTGTTTGTCTCGCTAGGAGCCCTGGTAGCCGCGCAGCTGTGGGAATTCAAGAAAGCTGGGGATCGCAAGAAATGCAAGATCACGTATCATCTGATATAACCCGTGCCCCCGCGATTCCAGTCGGTACCAAGCCATTGACGCAATTCGTTTGCGCTCCCGCTCGGCGTTCCGGATTGCACTGGTCGCCAAATCTTGGATTGGCGGGGTCAAGTGGCCACCCCTGACTAGATTTCCCTGAAGAGGCGCCAAGACAAGACAAACCCAGCAAAGTCCCTGGCACGACGTCGACCTTTTCGACGGGAGGGAGAGCGGGGAGACCGGCGGGGGTTACTTACAGTACTTCGTAGAAAGACGACTCAAGGGTCGAGGAAGTGAGAAGCATCTATCTACCTGCAGTACCACCAACACTGCGTTGATTTCCTGGTATCTATGCCTACCAACCTACATACCTACCTGAGATACCCAGCCGTGCTATGTTGAAAAAGCAGAGCGGCCTCAAGTGCTTCCCCTCTCTTCTTTCGTTCAAGGGTGTTTGACTGTAGAAACCCCCCCACGACCACAAGCCCCTGCATAGCTGTGGTAACAAAAGCTCTGTTCTGGGACGGGGGTTGAAGGCCAAAAAAAGACAAGAGACAAGAGACAAGAGACAAGAGACACAGAAAAAGACAAGACAAGACTCGACTCGAAAGCCATTACAAGGCTTCTCGAATGATCCAAACAAGTGCAGAGGACCACAACTGCAAGTCAGATCCAGAACCAAGGGGCTGGGCAAGACAGCAATGAGACAAAGCGGTGTCGCATCGCCACGGGCTTGTCTTGCTGTCGTTCGCTCAGAGGGCTTTTGCTTTGCAGCAGTGCTGTCGCTTCCCACCACGAGAGGGGCTGCGCTGGCCATCTGATGTGCACTTCACTTCCCATATTCACAAGGTTTCTACTCAGTATATTCACATCCCGATAGTATAAGGCATTGGTAGCTAGTTAGCTAGCTGGTCTGGCTCTGTGAACCGATGCATCTCAAAGTACCTACCGATTCCTTCGAGATCAGATGGATGCTGCTGCTGCTGCTGCTTCTTCTTCCATCCAGTCCCTCCATTTGGTCCCTGTATATGTGAAGTACTTATTAGATAGCGCACAGCTGTACCCAGTCAGCGCCCAGCACCCAGCACCCAGCATCCCCCTCTACTTACAACCCCCAGTAACCCAGCACCCTACCTAGGTAGGTACCTAGCATCCCGCTAAAGGTACCTACCTAACCCCCCCAGTGCAGACCTGTCCCATTCCATGTCCATGTCCTCGTTCACCATTTGACTCCCGTCCACTCTCCTCGTCCTCATCCTCGTCCTCATTGTCACTCTTCCCACACACTCCTCCTCGATCGGCCTTGTCTTGCTGTGTTCTTCTTATCTTGTATTCTTTTCCTCCATTTCCCCCTTCCTCTCTATATACGGGCCTGCTGGTATCCCACCAGCTCGTCGGCCGCCGCCTCTCTTTCTCTCGCCCTCTCTCCCCACCACCATGGCCACCACTATGGCGAAGAAAAGGTGATTGATCCCCCCCCCCCCCCCCCCAGTTCTCGCCAATGACATGGCTGCTCTTCGTGTGAAATGCCCCTCCAAAAAAACCACAACTCCCGCTTCCCAAGCGCGCACCGCTGAGACCACCACTGGCACGCACCGCCAGAAACCCCCCTCCCGCCTGCTGTGTTCCCGCCCCCACCGTTTTGCCAGAAGAGGCGCACACAATGAGAATCACCTGGCTGGCCCACTGCCTGAGCTTGCTTGCTGGTCTTTGGGTGTCATTTCCCATATTGTATCTTGTTTCGGGCTGCCATACCCTCGGCCTACCTGGCCTAGGGCTGCCAGTTTGCCGCCAGCTTGCCGCCAGCCAATTTGCTGTTGCTACTGTTGCTCCTGCTACTACTGCTACTACTGTTGCCGCTGTCGCTGCTACTGCTTCTTTCTTTTTTGCGCTCATTGCCCCGTGCTTACTTGTCCGCCTCCCTGGCTACCTGGCTACCTACCTACCTATCTACCTATCTATCTGCTTGCGCTGTGTCCAGGTCATTTGTTTCTTATTTTGGTAGATGTATTGTGCAGATTTCGGACTCAACTTCTCTGTGTCGCCCATCTGTCTCTATGCGATTACCTTTGCGCCTACTGACACAGAGCTGACGTTCTTGTGATACAGACCGCCACATCTTGCCACCAACATGAACCAGCATTCTCCGACATCGTCGTCTGGGCCCGAGGACGCTGCCGAAAACACGGCCGATGAAGAAGATTCTGAAGACTACTGCAAGGGTGGTTACCATCCTGTCCAGATAGGGGAGAAGTTCAAAGACGGCAAGTATACGGTCGTGAGGAAGTTGGGCTGGGGCCATTTCTCTACCGTGTGGCTGTCGCGGGATAATACCAATGGCAAACATGTCGCCCTCAAAGTGGTCCGGTCCGCCAGCCACTACACCGAGACCGCTATAGATGAGGTCAAATTACTCCAGAAGATTGTCCAGGCGAATCCTAACCACCCCGGCCGGAAATACGTTGTCAGTCTCCTCGATTCATTCGAGCATAAGGGCCCGAACGGTGTACACGTATGCATGGTATTCGAGGTGCTGGGTGAGAACCTCCTGGGTCTTATCAAGAAATGGCAGCACAGAGGCATACCTCGAGAGCTCGTCATGCAAATAACGAAGCAAGTGTTGATGGGGTTGGATTATCTGCACCGAGAGTGTGGCATCATTCACACAGATCTCAAACCAGAAAATGTCTTAATAGAGATCGGCGACGTGGAACAAGTTGTACAGAAAGTGGTCAAGAATGAGAGCGCGGATAAGGAGAACAATCGCAATGGACGCCGTCGGCGAAGGACCCTCATCACCGGTAGCCAACCGCTCCCTTCACCACTTAATGCAACTTTTAACCGCGACAACCTCTTCCCATCGCCTAAATCGCATTCAAGTCTGAACGCTCTTTTACATGAGAGTGAGTGAAACCTTTGGTCATTGCAAATTATTCTACTAGTGCTCAACGTTGGATGCGAGGCATGATTCGGTCATCACTATCATGGCTAGTAGTAACCTCTCAACCAAGATACTGACTATACTCAGATATTACTCCAGCGGCAACACCGGGCGAGAAACAGGGGCAGAGGGAGAAAACAGCGTAAGCACTCAAGCACATAGGTTGGACTACCAATGTTTCTCCCATACTAACGAAAATTGGTTTGTCTGTAGTGATATCTTGACGAAGGAAGTATCGGGTATCTCCCTCGACAAATCCAATAGCCCCGGGGCCACAACTACCGATAAGAAGAAGAGGAAGAGGAGTGGCCCAATCATCAATGTCAAGATTGCTGATTTGGGAAATGCCTGTTGGGTCTCCCACCACTTCACAAACGACATTCAGACTCGCCAATACCGCTCACCTGAGGTGATCCTAGGCGCCAAATGGGGAGCCAGCACTGATGTCTGGAGTATGGCCGCCATGGTATGTCTGGTTCCTTTGCTGTGCTTCTCGTAGTGTTTCCAGTCGCCAGAACCCTACCGTTTCTCAATAAGGCGAAATGCTAACTAATGTATGATCAAGGTGTTTGAGCTAATCACGGGCGATTATTTGTTCGACCCCCAGTCGGGCACGAAGTATGGTAAAGATGATGATCATATTGCGCAAATTATAGAACTTCTCGGCCCCTTTCCTAAAGAGCTGTGGAAAACAGGACGCTGGTCTCAAGAGATTTTCAATAAGAGAGGTGAACTACGCAACATTCACCGCCTACGCCACTGGGCACTACCCGATGTGCTCCGAGAGAAGTACCATTTCAAAGATACGAAAGACCCCAAAGAGCTTACACCAAAAGAACGGGAGGAGAAGGAAAAAGCCGCGAGGGACCGGGCAGAGGCCAAGGTAAGGGCCAAGATGGAGGCCCGAAAGGCTGGCCAAGACGAAGATGCTGTCGAAGAGTTATTCGCCGAGGAAGAGCCGCCACTGGAGTACCATCCCACTGAAGTTTCTAATTTCCTGACACCTATGCTCGAATTGCTGCCTGAGAAGCGAGCGAATGCGGGCGGAATGGCCAATCATCCTTGGCTCGACAACACGCCGGGCATGGAGAACGTCAAACTCGACAGCCTAGTACCTGGGTCTAAGGGCGAAGGGATAGACGGTTGGGCCACGGAGATTAAGAAGCGGTAGTACTGGGGGGTTGGCCAGCGGGTGGTAAGGTGAAAGAAGGGCGAATTTAAGCAAGCTCTCTCTGTTTACGAGATTCAAATTTCATCCCTTGTCTAGAGAAGAAGAAGAAGACGAAGAGCACTTTGTTGTTAAGCGAATGCCGGGCGGTTTGGGTGTATGTGATTATATTCTGGAAAACGGGATTGATTTGATGACTGCAGGAGGAAAGATCGAAAGAAAGAAAGGAAGAGAGAGAGAGAGAAAGAAGACGCAAGATATATGTATTCACGAGTCCACACACACCGTGAAACGAACCCAAGCAGTTTGGATTCGGGTCTCGCATATCTGTATTTTGTCTTGTCTTGTCTTGTCTTGTCTCTGATCTGATCTGCTCATATACCCGAGACGACACCACACCCACCCCAAACTCTACTGCCACCATACCTGAGACTTTCATCCTCATCCTCCTCATCGTCATCGTCATCGTCATTATCATCATCTACATCAACAGCATCATATCAATATGGATTGTCATAGCCGTTGTCATTGTCACCATCATCATCACCATCATCGTCATTATTAGTATAATGGAAATTAAACTAGCGGGAAGGGGCCAGGGCGATGAAATGCAAAGCAAAGCATGGCGTTGTTTATAATCTCGATCTTGACTTTGATTTTTTTTTTTTGATTTTCTTTTAAATTGTATTTGCTGTGAAGAAAGATATGTGGTGTGGTGATTTAATCATTAGCCTGATTTGATTTGATTTGATTTCGCGTGCTTTACTTTTACGTGCTTTGGTTTGTTTGTGCGGGATAGATGAGATGAGATGAAATAGATGAGATAGAAGATACTGCATATATGTATTTGCTTGTATGGCCGTATGGTAGTATGCCTCAGGCTTAGAGAATAGATAGATATCTACCGACCTACTTAATATAGATATTTTAGATATGCGGAGAGGTATTGGGGGTATATGAGATGTGCGATATATGATATCAGAGACATGTTGGATATATATATATATATATATATATGTGTGTGTGTGTGTGTGTGTGTGTGTTATTTTCAAGAATAACTCATCTTGCGCTGGATCGTGCCGACTGACTGATCGATCGTGTACAGGTGAGATTTGTTATAGTGTATCGGTATATAAAGAAGTACCAAGAAATTATATAATATATGGTACCTATGACGCTGTATATCTATTCTGATTACTTTATTAATTGAAGAAGCCTAGAATAAGTAGGTAGGTGTTCAAGGCCTTGAAACATGAATAACTGGTACTTCTTCCACAGAAACCTGTGTCGTATATGTAGGTTTTGCACAACCTTTCTCATTTTAACTAAGACATGTATATAATCCATATGCAATTCATCTCGATACGAAATAACATGTTTCAAAAGTTCCTGTGATAGGATTGTTATGTGCTTTGATCACGAAGGCAAATTGTTATTGTCGGGATACGGAGAATCCGAATCATCTCTCATGAGAGGCAGTTACTAATATTTCCCGTACCACTATCTCAAGCGGGACATAGCACTATCGTACAGAGGCAACGGGAGCGTTCCCTTTATTTTTAGCTTATTGATGTTTGGATAAAAGGGGCGGTACAATAGCATATATCCCCCCCAACGTGCCCTGCCCTCAACAATGGCGGGAATATTACGCCGAAACGCCGTCATGGATACCTAACCTAAAGTGATTCAACTCCCCACGACTACAGTTCACAGAGAATTCCATGCCAGAGGATGAAAATGCCTCCACGCAACGAAGGGTTCACAGGTAAATAGTCTCTTACTTCTTTTTCTTGTTGCCAACGATCTTCTTGAATGCGTCAAATCCACTGGCGCCAATGGGTTTAAACTCTGGGCCCACGCCCTGTGATGGGTTGAAGGTACTGCGCGGCGCAATGGTGTAAGCCTGTGGGAGGCCAGGTAGACGGGCCCGGTTGCTTTGGTTGGCAGGGGCCAGTGCGCGCTCGCGCTCGGCCTCTCGTTGACTAGACGCAGCTGGGCGTTGAGGGAGGGCTCTTTGACTGTCTTGAGCCTGGCGACGTTTAGCTGCCCTGTTGTTTTGTGTCAGCATATATGAACTCTAATAGAAGCAGAATAAATCAGAATCGGAGACAACGTACTCGTAATCGTAGTCACGCGTCTCCACGAAACGCTTCTTGTAATCATGTGTGCGGTTGAGAATAGGTCTGCTCCATTCACCCAAGAGCCTCTCAGCCATACGCTTGATTCCAATCTCGGGTCTCTTGGACTTGGTGTAGAACAGAATGATCTTGCCAATCCCGCTCATGCGCAACGACTCCTTCTCGATAGGCAGGTTGAGTAAAGCCTGGAAAATATCTCGTTGGATATTGTAGGCGGGAAGAGAACCATCGTTGAGTGGCTCCAGAAAGAATCTGATATGCTGGAGGAAGTTCGTGTCCGGGTCGACAACAATATTTTGCATTGCTCTGCTGGTCAATAACGATGTGACCTCGGGCAGGAGTTTGAGTTTGTGGAGAGCAGGTTGACCAGTCTCTCGAGCAGTGTTGTCCGCTTCGCAGGCTTTTTCCATACGAACTTTCAAATCGGCAATCTTCTCGTCCATCTCATCTTCCAGGTCCTAAAGTACGAATACTGTCATTAGCCATATGACACCGCTAAAACATATCTTGTTAAATGAATAGCGAGCAACACGTACATCCTCGTCCTTCCTCTTACGCCTCTTGACCTTAGGCTTCTCTTTGGCAGCAGCGCGCTCGATAGCCCTTCGCCGTCTCTCCTCGGGTGTTAGGTTCTCTTCATTCTCAGGCTCAGGGCTCTCCTTCCGACTCTCGCTGGCGCCCGTCTTCCGCACTCGCTTTGTAGTAAGAACTTCACCGTCGGCCTCGTCATCACGATCGCGCGCGCGTTTCTTCTCGCGTCGACCTTCCTTGGGCTTCTTGGTGGCTGTGCCCTTTCGCCTTCCGGCCTTCAAGGTCCGCGCCACATCTTCATCAATCTCCACAGGCTTCTCTTCAATACGGACCTTGTCAGGATCGTATTCTTCGAACTGATCGTCATCGATTTCGGATAGCGCGTCTGAATCTCGGTCTGAGTCACCTGCCGCAGCTCCATCGTAATCGCCTAGATCCTTGGGTGATGCATCGTCGTTTGGTGCTTCTTCGTGCAGGGTCTCTCCTCTCGCAGGAGAGCCCGCAGGCGACTCAGCATCTGACATGGTTGCTGATGAGGGATGATGGATGGAACGGAGGTGGTTAGAGTGTAGACAAGTCTACAAAGATGATGGAAAACCAAGGGTGCACAATCCAGGACGACAGTGACCAGACGAGGACCCTAGGTTTTGGGGTGTTGCTGCAGAAGCAAACTTATGCCAGGAAGTCGGATATTAACATGCGAAATTATTTCCGGTTTGGAAGTATATCTCCTTCCTCTTGTTCAAGCGCGTAGATGGCCGTAGATGGCAGTCGACTTGGGGGATTCGAGAATGGATTAATAGAAAGGAAGATGTCTCTGTTTGAGAAGGGTGGAAGCTTTTGATTGTAGAAGCAGCCAACACCAAAAGTACCTAACCCTGGTAGCACCTGCAGTAGGTACTACTACGTACCTACCTAGTACATTTGAAGGCTGGACTCTGAATGTGCTCACCAGCCACACATTCAGACACCCGTCCCCACACATTGAACTGATTGATGTGGCTGCACATGTGGCTAGGGACAACCCCAGTCTTCTCAAGGAGCTATGCCATATAGAGTTAGTACACGAGAGCCTTCAGCTCCGTGGTGGGGCACTATAGTGGGGCCATGCAAGTGACTTTCTGTGTCTGGGTGCAGTGGATTTGTTTACTTTTGCGACCACAAGAGGAGCTTCCAGATAACCATCACAACACATTGTACCTACAGCTCACATACGCCATACCTTACGATAGCTTCCGCTACTGCACAACTACACTCGTTAATTCTAGAGGAATCCTTTCTCCATTTCCTTCCATCTCTCGCTCCCCCTACATACCACTATAGTAACGGCCAGGTGGCCTAGCGCCGACCCCTCTGGCTACCAGTCGGATTCACTGTCATCTAGAAGCTAGAATCTAGAATTGATCATGGATAGGCGGACTTATGAATCTCCCATGGACTGGGAATATCAAAACACGGCTCCCATGGATCCTTCCAGTCCCTTTGCTCAATCCACAAGACCCGCGCCAGAACGAAGTGAGCCCACCCATCACCCATGTACTCTTCGCCTGATGATATCCGACTGACCGCAAAAACCGAGACGATCACAAGTGCTAATCTATCGACTTAGACCCCTTTGGCGGCTCTTCGAGCTTTGCCGCATATAGCCAGAGCGGATTCGGCCGCGCGCCTATGACTCCCTCGAAGCCACTCCCTCCTACCCCCAACCATCAACAATCGCCCTCGATATTCGCCAGTGCGAGGTCACAGGCGCAGAGATCAACCACAGCGTCATCCTTCCGCAACCCCGCCTTCACCACACCACGCAAACCTTTCGATCCAGATGCGCTATCTGAGATATCCGCGAGTCCAGCTGCTACTGACGGCGGTTCCGATTTCCCAGAGACACCAGATCACGACCAGTCCATCGACATGGCCCAAATGACCCTCACACCGGCATCTGTCAGTAAGCACAGGTCCTTTTCTCCCAAGAAGGCGAGTGGCAGAGGTGAAATAGCCAAACCTATGTTCCCAACCCGCGACAAGGTCCGCAAGCGCAAGCGGTACAACGGCGACAAGGATATAAGCGGATATCGGCTGCCCTACAAACAGGCGGATGAAGGCGACTCAGACTATGAATCTGACGACAGCACATTCCAACCGAACAAGCCGCAGCATAATCAGAAGAGGCCGAAGAGCGGATGGTTTGGGAACTTTCTCTCCGCCCTCCAGCAGAATCCAACCGCGCCAAGAGTCCTCGGTCTATGGCTCAACTTTGGCTTCAGTCTTTTCTGCATGTCCGGGACCGTATGGATTATATGGGCTATCGTATCCGGTCTGCGCGCAGATTTCACTAGCGCCCGTGCCGTCGTTCGCGATAGCATCGTCAATGAAATGAGTATATGCCAAACCCACTACCAAGAAAATAAATGTTTCCCCGTGGAGGCTCGGTTGCCGGGATTGCGCAAAGCATGCGATGAGTGGGAGGCGTGCATGAATCAAGATCCATCCCGTGTCAAGAACGTCCAGCTGGGTGCCAAGAGCATCGTCGAGGTTATCAATGAGATTGTCGACACCATGTCATACAAGACGATCGTGCGTGCTTCAACACATTCTCCCCCCTCCCCAATCCTTTCAAAACTAATTACTGACCCTTCTCCCGCAGATTCTATTACTATTCTTGTTCGCGATATTCGTCTTCAGCGGGCGATCGCTCTACAAAACAGCACACGACTTCCCGGATTTCGCAGCATCTGCGCCGCCAACCTACGGCCAACCACCACCAGCGCTACAGCAGGTGCACTGGCAGGCGCTAGAGCCACAAACTCCTTCGCGTCGTACGTGGCGCCACTTACCGTCGAACGAGGAGACGCCCGAGACAGATGGATCGCCTCCTAGGTTCAAAAAGCTCACAGCGCCTGAGACGCCTTATGGATCTCGGAGCCCTACGAAGACGGAAAGGGGGAGGAGTCCGGCTAAAAGTATGAGTCCGACGAAACGGCGCTGATGAGAAATGAAATTGAGAATGCATAAATGGTGGTGGAAAAGGTGTATAATTAAGTAGGCATACTCAGGCACTTAAGGCCAAAATGGGAACGGGCGTCGGGATGGGATGGGATGGGATGGGTATTGGGTATTTTGGTGCGGTGTGAGATGAGATTAAAGGCGAGCATGTTTTATAATGGAATAAAATGTAATTATCTCCATTTGAGCGCCCAGTTTGCATGACTTGCGTTTATCGTAGCTTTGAAGTTGTATATCTAGGGTATTTGTTGTATGTTGTATGCTCTCTGTGTAAGTCGGGAACCTCGCGCTGAGTGAACGGATTGCGAGTATTACTTGGGTAAGTAAGTAGTTGCTATAACTATATAGGTTGGTAGCTATAAGTTCATCCTTCATCTCCTTTGCACGAGCCGTAGTTAGATTTCTCTCTCTCTCGGCTATTTAGTAACAAGCTCACACAAGGCTATTTAGTAACAAGCTCACACAAGGCTATCTAGTTTAAGGGAAACCGAGCCACAGCTTAATTCTGTCAACTTAAGTGTACCGGGATACTGTTTTTACCTAAGTATAGCTCACACTCTCAATAAGCTCTACCAAAATTGATGAATCGAGTATGTGATAGCGAGTCCGATATTAGGCGAATTCAAGCAGCCCGATAGAATAAATGAAAATATGGGAGGTAAGTAAGTAAGGACTATTGAGGCAGGCACCCACTTTACGCTCAACATATCAGTTCTCGAGAGCTAGATCCCTTACTCCTACTTATACTTCCAGCCGCAAAGACTCTTAAGAAAGTCAGCAATTTTCCGTACCTAACTATTTCCCGAATGCCCGGTAGCGCTATTGTTAGGTGCATGTTGTATGTCCCTGGCGAGGGTTTGTGATCTCGACTTCTTGAGGTGGGATGTTACTGTGAAGAAGTCATATACTTGAGAGTGAGTTCTGGTGGCCAGTCCCTCTTGCTCCCGTTCGCACGTTCAAACGACTCCTCCTTCTAATGTTGGTTCAAAGAAACTTTTGGCTGCTGAGCAATTACCTTGAATCGGGCTCATTGGCATTTGTTTTAGGTACTGCACGGGCGGAACGCGTGGACTCGGCGATAAGAACACTCACTGTTTGAAGCTGAAGAGGCTCTATGTGAAAGCGGTTAATAAAAAGTAGGCTGTTATTGATGTCGAGGTGGATATTCACGGGGTATTGAATAGCCTAGGTACTTTCTACTACGGAGCCTCAATTGCTGATAGCCTCTTCCTCATGTCCATTGAATGAGTATAGGGATATCTATCTTGACGTGGTATACTCGTATGCTATTATCTCTATCTATTAGTTGGTACCTATCGAGGCCTATGTTCTGACTATGTACCTCAAGCATGATCTGTAATATCAATACGACACTATAACCAACTCTAGTCTAGTACCCATACTAGCATGACAAACTATGCCAACCATGAAAAAGCTCTGGCCTTGGCGGGTAGCTACCTAACGCAGAGGATCGGATTTATCCTTTGACATCGACATTCCCAGGTGGGGTTTATGGGAAATAAGTAAAATACCTAGTTACCTACCTACCTTTCCACCTACCCAGTAGGTAAGTACAATGTAGCCGTGCTGTGAGAGATGTACCGGTAAGCTATGAACTTCTACTCACCTATCCTATCCCCTCAACTTCCAGCTCAACTTCGTGACACTTTTAATCGGGTTTTAAGTATCTTTTAACTTTGCTAATAGATCTACATGTAAAAGCTTAAAACTACTTAGCTTTTACCGATGATATATACGTATTTAGTGTAGCGATAGGTATTTTCGATATTAAAGCCACTATAGTATATATCTTAATTGGCTATGTCGAATTTTAGCAGGTTGCGGAGTTGAGCTGGAAGTTTAAGTCATACATTTACTTTGTAACTCTTCATTCCTCGTAACCAAACCTTGGTATTCGACGTGACTGGTCTCGTCGGAGCCAAGTCCGTAGATGAGCTCTTTGCTGGGGCAGATAGATTCTGAGCACGGCGCGCTCCACGCGAAAACTGCACCAACTACGCCGGGCAGTATGGAGGCATAACCCCCACTATGAGGTAATGGTGACATCCGTACTACGGCATTTTAGCGGCGTATACGAAACGAGATCAGGCCATAAGAGCACCTGGTCATTGAGAAAGAAGTAATACCAATTGCGATATGGTTGGCGGGCGACGAAAACTCTTTGAAATGGAAACCGTCTTCGCTGTCGTTGTAGAAATAGTTCAGAGTTTGGACTTGGATAGCTTTGGTAAGCGAAGTTGATCAAATCAAGTCTCGGTTGATGGGAGCTTTCGCTCCTACAGCCCCACGCAACGTATACTTACCTACCTACCAATTGAAACCCAATGACTGGCGGTAAACGAATAAAGTACCTATATATGTATTTGTATTATGTATGGGTATGTATGTGTATGTATGCAGGTGTAGCCCTGTAGGTACCGTAGGGTTTCTAGATCTGGTACTGCTAACAAACACTGCTCTCTTGTTCAGATCTTCGGGTTCGAGGTGTCTTTCCATAACCGGCGTCACCGCCGTTGTGGACTGCATTAGACGGCATGGAAACCTACCTTACCTTACCTTACCTTACCTAAGGTTGTATTCACATTAACATACCTGAGGTTATGGGTGTCTGTATACCTTAATTCAGAGCATAGACGTTATGTAGGCCGAGAAGTAGGGCAGCTAAGGCGAGAACAAGGGAAAAGCATCGACCGAGAAGAAAAGGAAAAGAGCCGCTTTAGATACGGTACCTAGAAGCTGTCTGCATGTAGGGACGGGCTTCAAATATAAAAATAAAATAAAATAAAATAAAATCTCACCTTCATAAGTATAGGTCTAGGTAGGTAGTAAGCTAACCAAAAGTACCTACCTACGATACACCACCTCGACCACCACCACCAAAATCCACCCCCCACCCCCTTCCCTCAAGCTACCATACCGGGGTTGGGGGGGTAGGGAATAGAATTGTAGCTAGTATTTTTCCGGGTGAAAATAGTATTCGTAGGAAAGACACGCAATTTTCACTTACATTGGTAAGCCTATTAGTTAGAAAACAATTTTTCAATTTAAAAATAATCTTCTATTAAAAAATAGTCTCTGTTTTGAAATTGACTTATATTTGAAAATGGTTTTCAACTTTGAAAATGCTTTGAAAATGACTTTCGTCTGAAAATGACTTTCATTTGAAAATGGTATGCAAATAAGCTATATAGAATTAGGGCTACAGGAATAGCAATAGCGCTATAGGGGCTATAGGTCTTTAGGGGGGCTACCTATAACCCCTATAGCCCCTACAACCCCTACAATCCCTACAGCCCCTACAGCCCCTACAGCCACTACAACCCATAGCCCCTACAGCCACTGTAGCCCTTCGCAGTACAGACCTAGCCATACAGACCTAGCCATACAGACCTAGCCATACAGACCTAGCCATACAGACCTAGCCATACAGACCTAGCCATACAGACCTACTTAGCCATACAGACCTAGCCCAGCCAATCCAATCCATCGCCAGCTTCAAGGATAATCGCTGCAAGGATCAATCCAATCCAACCCAATCAATCCAATCCACCACCACCACCACCACCACCCTGAAGGCTAGGAAACCTATCGCAATCGCTTCGCAGTTCAGAACTTTAACGGAACGTTTTGTAGCCTTCGTGAAATATCGCTAGTAGCCTTAAGCTATAATTATTTATTCAACTAAAACACTCGTACGTTTGAAAATAGATTGCATTTGAAAATGAATTACATTTAAAAATGGATTTCGTTTGAAAATGGATCTAGGTATAAAAGGTACGCCAGTAATATAAGGGTTTTGTATGTATAATACTTGTACCTATTATGTTTCGCAGCGGCCAGTCTTTCGTACGGCTGCCAGACATGCAAAATTCTGCTAACACTACAACCCTCGCAGCTATCATTGTCTAGACCCCCCCAAACCCGCTATGGTACCCACTTTTGCCCACATCATCTCTGTCCACCACCTAAACCTTCAGACAAAGCATCATTCTGAGATGCTTCTAAGCTTGCTCTCTCTTCGCCTTCTTTTGTGAGACCTTTTGAGTCTAAATACGTTGTCAATTGGGAACCAGTCCTCTTTCCATCCTCTCTCATCGGAACCATGTGTTCGTCCCTGCAGGTGAGTGATGCAACCAAGCAGCCCGAGTCGTTTGGACACTTTTGTACCTGAAGATATTCATCATAATGGTCGAGCTCACTACATTGCGCGCATCGCGTCTGCTTACCTTCTACCTGTCTATGTCCTTGTCCATGTCCTTGTCCATATCCCTCACATGGCGCCCAAGCTCTCCTTCTCTTTGACCGCCACTGTCGCAGCTGTTGATCTGGGTACTAACGTCGAATCCAAGTGATCTCCTAGGTATTGCGTAACCGTCCGCTCGCGCGTGCGCGCGTGCACCTCTCGAACCTCGAATTTCATATCCACACTCTTGGCAGAGCCGCAACCTCTTTTCCTGCCAACATATCCAGGCTCAATCTGTACTCCGCTCCCTGATGGGCACAAAGTCGCCGCACATTCTGTGTTCCTCTAGTGGCTGTGTATTAGCACGCCCTGCGCTTGCCTCCCAGGCCATCGCATCTTGGCTTCCTCTCTTACCTGGTACACACATGTACAGTGCGCTTATCACGCTCTCATCGCACCGCTCGACCCTTTCTGCTTTGTATATATCGACTGCGGAGTGAGTATCGCAGTATTCATCTCCATCGAGCATGCGCTACCAATCTTAAAAGATTATAAGCATGGAGGAGGAACAGGGGCGCGGGGCATCGGTAGAGCGAACCTCCACCTCGTCCAAGTCCCAGAAGAATGAGACACGTCCAGCTTCTGTCGCCGCCGGGCCCTCTAGTGCCCAATCTTCAAAGCGCAGACGGGGCTTAGGCATTGTCACGCCCAATGCTTGTACCGAGTGTAGGAAAAAGCGCGCCAAAGTATGTGAGCCTATACTGCTGTTGTTGAAGAGTCTATTGTTACATGGTTATATACCAATATATGTCCACCCATTACCGCCACACCCTACAATCTCAATCAACACGCAGAGCACGTCGCAAATGTGAGAAAAATTTATTAATAATATCATGCGCTTAGTGCGACGGACAAAAACCCTGCGGTCGATGTAGGTCTCAGAAAGATACTGAGTGTATCTATGAGATACCAGTACGTCAATCCAAGGAGAACCTTCGCCATGAAATCGAGAATCTGCGAAAACAGCAGCGGCAGAGTGAAAATGTCATCTCTGCCCTCGTACGACCTGAGTTATGGGAAGATGTTCTTCAGAGACTGCGGAATGGCCAGTCTATCGAGGTCATATCCGACTGGTTAGGCAGCAATCTGCCCCATGGCACGGGTGGCTTACCTGGCTATGCACAACCAGGTGAGCTCACATCAGGCATGTCACTACCGCCACCGCTTTCAACTTACAGCATGACGGGCCCAGGCGGTTACGGGGCTGGTTCAATGAGCCATGCCGCACTCCCCGGTCCTGTCTTGAAGCAGGATTTTGATGCCAATAGCCCATGGAACTTCTCGTCGCAGAGTCAATCTCTGTCGCAGCCTAGTACACATCCCGATGAGATGCAATGGACCTCAGAAGGCCCGCCGCGATCCCGAGTAGGTTCCTGGCTTCAGGAGCAGGACCAGGCAGGGGAAAGCATCCGATATCGAGGGGTGGACCAAGTGCTAGCGCCCCTAGAGCCCCCGGAAACAATTGTGCCTCCTAGCACATGGACGAGCATTACCAACGACTCGGGTCTTGTTCAGCACTTACTTGCATTATATTTCTGCTGGGAATATCCTACATTTGCTTCGCTGAGCAAGGAACACTTCATGAAGGATTACGTACACGGCCGGCACCGGTATTGCTCCCCAATTTTAATTAATGCCTTGTTAGCGCTGGGTTGCCGTTTCTCAACCCAACCTGAATCACGAGCGAATCCCAATGACGCAAGAACTTCTGGTGATCATTTCTTCAAGGAAGCTCTGCGGCTGCTATCGAGAGAGACGAACAGCCATACTCTGACCACAATTCAAGCTCTTGGGATAATGTCCATCCGAGAGGCAAGTTGTGGACGGGATTCTGAGGCTTGGTATTATGCCGGGCAGAGTATACGACTCGCTATTGAAATGGGTTTGCATCGCCTCAATGATGATGGAGACGAGGATGAGCTTGCTGTGCAAGCAGCAACCTTTTGGGGTGCCTTTGCTCTTGACCAGTTAGTCCTTATCACAATAATCTCATACCTTTTCCCTTCTAATGTAGCTAATATTGATCAAGTGCGTGGTCGCTCGCGACTGGTTCCCTACCGCAATGCTCATGGTTCCTCCAATTGCCACCGAAGCCTGCCATCATTGACGGCATCGAGGCTTCGCTGTGGGTACCATATACCGATGATGGTAAGTCAAATACTATCAGTGGATAGCAACAACTACGATATTCCACAGTATATTAACTAACCTACACTCAAGGTGCTCCGCTTCAACGGTCTTGTGAGCAGCCATCTAACGTGCGGTCTGTGTACAAGTGTTTTTGCGAACTCAGTGAGCTAGTGCACCAATCGCTTTACGTTTTACACTCTCCGGGAAGACCACTGTCGAGTCGAGACCTGCTTAGCATATACACGCAGTATCTAAACTGGTATGACACCATCCCGGAAGTCTTGCGGCTTGGTCATAACTTCACCCCGGCCGTTCTCTTTGCTCAGTGAGTAACTAGCCATTCTACTCATGTCAACCCTTGACAACTGGCATTCGACACTAACTGATCCCAGCATGTATTACCACTTCGCCATATTACTCCTATTTAGGCCACTCATAAAGCTTCGAATCATTGGCTCCGGGATACTTCCCCGAGACGTCTGCTCGCAGGCTGCCGATGCCATCCAAGGACTCCTGCGTTCCTATTCCCAACTCTACACCCTTCGCCGTACGCCGTCGTTCGTGCCATACTTTCTCCTAACATCATCTATAATGCATCTAGCGATTGGCGCTGTCGCCCCTGAAACGTCATCATCTCCAACTACCCATTCAACTACATCCACCGCTAGGCCGAGTCATCATCATCAATCTGGCGCGGGCCACTCATCATCTTCACCATTGGCAAGTGGCGGCGAGGAGCCAACGTCATCGCCTTTAAGTTCCGCAACGGCGAAACTGAATCCAAAGGTTACTGCTGCGATCAAGCAGGGAATTGCCGACATGGCCGAAATGGCGCCGTGTCACCATTTTGCAGAGCAAGCCCTCAACATATTGCGTTTCTTGGCCAAGAAATGGAATATGGACGTCGACGTGCCTCATCAAGCGTCTCAAGATGAGGTTGATAAACTGGTCCGGCCGTCTACCAACAGCCTCAATTTTTTTGTACCCAATATCTCGGCTGAGGACTTTAGGTGCAACTGGCCGGAACGGAGGAGGGCGGCGCGCGCCGCCCCGAGACCCCCATATGAACAGGGCAGTAGTATGGAAGGCATGGAGGGAGTTCTTCTAGGAGACCAAGGCAGCACGGAGACTCAGGCTGGCCCATCGGCAGACATGGGGGATCCTATACCTTCTAGTTATATGGCTGAGAACCCACTGTTCTGGCCGTTCCCCATGCAGGGGCGGCCAATGCTTCCAGAAGGCCCCGAGCTCGAAGAAGCCGGGTTTGCCCTCCTATAATTGGGGGAAGATCAGGTGCTGTCAACGTGGCCATGACGCTTGGCTTTTAGCCCAAAACCTGGGTGGGCAGAACTCGAGAACATGGGATCCACGTTTATCGATTTTTGCTCGTTATTTTCAAATTTTGTATAGGTAGAGACGGCATTGAGATGATACCCCCTTGAGATAGTTAACAGTAGAGCAACGACTTTAATTAAAAAGTAGATGCTACAAGGCATCCCGCTATCTACAGACAGATAGTTAGGTCCTGTCTTCTCTCTTTTACACACACACACGCGCGCGCGCGCAACAACTTGGGAAATGCCGAACAGTAGTACATTACAAATGACATAATCAACATGAGAAAACCCCCACATGCAGGGGGATATCTTGGATACATAGCTCTTCACTAACCCGAACCCGAGAGGACTTGGCTGCATCGACAAAGACTCGACGCCGATACCTCCTAGCATGCCGGACTCATGGATGGACTACCTACTGTAAGTCACGCTAGACTTGTGCGAATGGACACAGATTTGTCCATCTTAGTGTCTATTTTAGATGGAGGCTAGCACAAGCCTCAGCACGCCTCGAAATTGCCGCTATATTCAGCCGTTGGATTACGGGCTTGCCTCGTGAGAATAAAGATGTCATAATGGGTTTGTAATTCATGTACTTACTTACTTACCTGTCTAGGTACCTAAGTACTGATGTACGGCAGAAAACCACCTAATTGGAGCAATTCTATCGCAGACACAAGTTGTAACATAGACATAGATACTCTACCAGAAGGGTATACCACAGCCGGTATATATTTACATGTGCTCAGCTTTTGTAAGTAAATCCAGGACATGCCTGGCGGAATATCCCTAGCGCCATGGGGGTTTGAAATGGGGTAGAGTAGGCAGACAGGCAGGCCAACAAAAGCCAATCCATTTCGTCCAGGCATCATCGTCGTTCGTTTTTGTCGTTGTGTCAAAGACGCGCCTGGCCAATGGCGATTGCAGCGGGACGAGGGGCCCTCCCTTGTTTGAAACAAGATGGGCAGATGTGGGCGACAAAAGCCTTGTCAGCATTTGCCTGCTTACTTACTTACACACGGTACATGGTAGTTAGTACATGTAAGAAACAACGAGAACGGGGCTTACTTAGAGGAGAGAGATGGATCGATTAGATAGATAGATAGAATGTCTGACATTAAGCGCGAAGGAAAGCGGATGCCGGGAAACCTTGCTTAACTTACCTGTAGGTAACTAATCTAGGTTAGCTACTTACATACTAAAGCAGGTAAATCGGAATCACAATCGGGGAAAATTAAAATAAAATAAACTACCTAAATAGACTATGTACATAGTAAAGCAAATCGAAATCGATCGCTACAGCAAAGATGGTCATTGGCGGGTTACCTCCCCTCCTGTAAGTATGTACAACCCCCCTCTCTGCCCTCCGTCAAGTTCACACCCCAAGGCCAGCCAGGCAGGGCTCAGCAGCGCGCGTTTGGCTTGGCCGTGCCATCGGGCGTGTTTCGAAACGGGCCCCAAGCGGACCATCGATGGTTGGTTGGCTGGTTGCGTAGCGTTGCGCGGCGATCTCCTGGAGTCGTGTTGTTTCAGGTTGAGCCCACACACCACACCACACCTTTTCCGTGCTCACGGCGATACGCTAAGCCCTTTTGTTCTTTCGATCGCTCGACTTTTTTTTTTCTTTGGGGGAGGGTGCTGCGCCGACTACTTACTTAGAGTACCTAGAGTAGATAGCCCTCCATTGTCAACCCCCTGCGCGGATAGGATGGGTCTGGATGGGGGAGGGGATCTGATTGCTGAAGGCAGGGAAGAGAAGAGAAGGAAGATCACGTCACGTCACGGCCGGCGGGATACGAGAGATCTACTGTAAGGATCATGGATGGGCGGGCGGACACACTGCGATATATGTAGGTAGTACAATACTTGCAATATACCGGAATGAGTATTGTGTATTGTGCTAGGTTAGGTCCTTGTCAACTGCCTACCTACCTACCTACTTAGTGTTGCGGACGTAGATGGAAGCTGCCGGAGTGCGGAGAGAGGAGGGATGAGAGAGATGATATCAACTCGTGCCATACCATACCATGCCGTACCATGCTGTGCTGCGCTGCGCTGCATCGTCGTGTTGTTATTATGTCGTGCTTTTTTTTAATCTGTGTTGCGGCTGGCCGGTCATTCAGGGGTCCTTGTCTCTGTCTCACTCCCCCCTCTCTCTACCTACCTACGATATCCTCACTTACTTCGTACTACTGTTATGTTGCTAGGTAAAAGAGGGTACATACATTGCAGATACCTAAGCCACAGCCCAGACCTCAAGGGAGGTGAGATGAGAACACGACGAGGCGAAACGAACCAAGCCGAACGGTTGCAGCCAATTAGACAACAGGGACAGAGACAAGCCCATTGTCTGTCGTTCGGCCCATGCAGCAGCAAGCACACGATTCCATTGCAGTCTACGCATAGAATATGTATATGCAGTGCGTGACTCCGTATGTACGTGTGTATGTATGTATGTATGTATGTACATGTGCATATGATGTAGGTCAGTAGTGTAAGTAAGTAAGTAGTCAAAGAGGTGAAGAAAACTCCATACTTACACTATCAAGAAAAGAACAAGACGAAGAACAAGAAGAAGACGAAGAAGAAGCCTATCCCCAAATCTGAATAGACAATTGATCAGATCCAAATTACATTGGAGGATCGTAGATATTACTGTTACCCTTTTTTTCCCTCTTGCCGAGAAGTAGTGTAGTCTACTTAGCGTGCTAGGTCGGAGGAGCTGAATGAAGGCGTTGGTGTAGTGCCACTTAACCTTAGTTTAGTTACCTAGATCTCTCTACTTTACGTAGTTAGTTCGTTACAAAGTTAGTAAGATATATGTAAGTACATGTGCCATAGAGTAGGGTGACCCGGGACATCTGGAGCTAGATAGATAGATGCAGCCAAAATTGCCGGAAGGGTTACTGTAGTTAGTAAGGTAAAGAAGGGTTGTACCTACATCTCGGGAGAAAGACGTTGGCATTGGCGTTTGTTGGTTGCGTTAGTGGAGAGCTAGTACCTCGATGGTGACGGTGTTGGGTGTTTCAATCTACGATGGTAGTTTGGTTTTTGCGATCTTTTTTCCTTCCCCTTGCCTTGGCCCTGGATTTACCTACTTACATACCCTCGCTCCTCTCTACCCTTACCCCCCCGGTCCGAAAAGAACAGAAACGAAACATGGCAGTAAGTAAGTACTAAAGCAAGCAAGATATGTAGCTAGTTTCTTAGTTTACCTCGTAAAGAAGAGGAGGAGGATGATGGTGATGATGATGGTGATGATGAAATGGCGACCGAGTTGATTCAGCTCTACGCACCCAGCCATTTTATTTAATTTGTATCATGATCTTTTAGATGGATGGGAGGAAGTACTCTGCAAGTATTTCCAGTTGTAGATGGGTACCTACACGGATACATGCACTACATACAGTACACCACATGTACCTAGAAATAGCAATGTATCGGGGCCATTGGTGGTGCCAGGCCAGGCCAGGTTAGGTGGTCTAGAGCCTGCCCCGGTTGCACTGCATGTACCTGTAGATACCGTATCCCGTGGTTATCCTCTGCCAGTGCTGTGTACCTGGATCGGACTCTGTTGTTTAGTGTTAGTAATTACCTACCTATTGGTGTCTGTATCTATGTAAGTGAAGTATCAAATTCATCAAAGGTCCCCCCAAATGAACAAGCCGCCTGTCTCTCTGTTTGTCTGTCTGTCTGTCTGTCTACCCTGCGCGCGCTTGGCTTTCGATCCTCCTCCTCCTCCTCCTCCTTCGACCTGGCCTGGCGTGGTATGGTATGGTATGGTATCCATGTATGGTATGGCATGGTATGGTGGTATCTCTACCTACCACTTACTGTATGTACGAAGTAAGTAGGTACATGACCTGTACATGGCTACCTCCCAAGTACGGCCTGCAGACAGACAGACACACACACTCTCATCTCCATGCTATGTACCGTGCCGTGCCGGCTCTCTTCTTCCCTCCCTCTCTCTCTCCCACGCTCTGCTCTGTCTCTGTCTGTCTCTGTCACTTGTCTCCGTCTCTATCTCTGTCTCTCTCTGTCTGTCTGTGTGTGTGTTCATCTGTCGGTCTGTTCTGTCTATTCTGTCTGTTTATTTGCTGATCACATCCAGCGGCCTCCACGCCTAGCAATTTCCTTCTGCTCGCCGTCTCTCGTTTAATCATTGTTGTTACCACATCGTCACCCTTCCACCCATTTTTCCTCTTCTTTCTTTTGCTTTTATCCTCTGCCAAACCCTCACCTTCCCCTCTCAACAACATACTACACCCTTGCTCCGGCCCTCCGCCTCCCCTACGTCGATCCCCTATTTCGATCTCCCACTTCGAATGAGAATCCCCGAAAGCTCTTGATTTTTCCTGGACTCGAAATACATGCGACCCGGACAGACCAGATGGACGATCCGTCGAGGATATTAGCCCAGGCAAGGGCGCAACTCGAGGCCTTGAAGCAGGCCGGTCTAAGTAAACATGACTTATTAGCTCTGCTCGAGGAAGAGCCACAGCAACAACAACAACAGCAACAGCGATCACCAGTACCACTACCACAATCACAACCACAACAACAGCAGCAGCAGCAGCAGCAGCAACAACAACCACCGCAACAGCACCTGTCACCCGTGTCACCCGATGGTACGAGCTTCTCTATGCCCAATGACGGCGATAGCACGCGCGTTGACCATTTCCAACCAGCCCCTGCCCTGCAGAACTTCAGCTATCAAGACCTCAATGCCTCGTTCCGACCACCGCCTCAGTACCGGGCATCCATATCTACGGTATCGAGCAGCTCGAGCGGCGACAGCTGCTTCTCGGCCGCCTCGGTGCGCAGTTCCATCTCCTCTTCGTCCAACGCCTCGAGCGAGTCCAAGTTCTGGTGCACATCTTGCAACAAGACGTTCAAGCGCAAGTTCGATTGGAAGCGACACGAGGAAGAATTTCACGACCGTTCGCGCAAGTATCCCTGCGATAGCTGTAACCAGAGCTTCTGGGGCCCCAACACCTTCAATCAACACCACAAATCCGCTCACGGCTGCCAGACGTGCCCTCATGCCGAGATGGTCATGAAACCCATGAAGAAGAGAAGAGCTTACGGTTGTGGGTTTTGTGCGGCGCTGCACGGTCAATTCGAGCGCCACATCGACCACGTGGCGACGCATTTCGAGAGTGGCATGACGAAACAAGATTGGTCGCATTCCAACGTCATCTACGGCTTACTTCATCAGCACGGAATTATTGAGACCTGGAAGGCGCTAATGGCGAGCAAGCACAGTCAGTTCAACGACCGCCAGCCCATGTTTGGCTGGTCGCCGGAATCGACAGGTAGGGCGCACGGGTTTGTCGAGAACGAAAACCCCGGCCAACTACAGGACCTCCTCGAATTCTTCGACGGCTCCAAAGAGAGCGCCAAAAAGATAGTGCAGTTGGCTGAGACATGCGTGCATGTCGTCTTCCGGCCCAAGTCGCAATCGTCGAGCCCGGTCACAGCTAATGATTCTATCCCTCCGCCATCGGTGACAAGCAGCGGTCCGCTCCGACACTCCGTGTCGCGTAGCTCATTGCGCGAACCTCGACGGACCGCGTCCACGTCAGCCATGATGAAAGCGAACAAGGCCATTCGGCGGACAGTATCCAGTGCTACGGCCCCAGCACTCACACCCGTCCCATCCATGACTTTGCATTCGTCAACACAACCACAGCATCAATTAGGTTCTACGAACAACGTATATCCTAGTTACATGCATAGTTCGGACTCAGCCGTCCATCCCCAGGCACAGCTCACGTCTATACCAGCACATCCGAGTGCCTATACCGATAAGGCCTTGCCTCCTCCGCCCTTGGATCCTGTCTCCCCAATGGCGGTAGACTTTCCCCAATTTACCGAGCCGCCTCACATGGGCGCCCCCCCACAAACGCAGGGGTTCCTCCCGGAGGTTGACTTCTCTACCGATTGGCATAGTTTCACGAGTACGCTTGTGGGCGGAATGGGTGACGAGCAACAGCAACAGCAGCAGCTCCAACACCCCCATCCACACCCTCATCCACATCAGCATCCACACCCGCAGCAACAACAACAAGCGATGACGCCTTTCGCGGCGACACAGGGATTTCCTATGAGCTGGAATGATTTAGGACATTACACCGGCGCACCAGGACCCTAACACAAAAATATAAAATGGGGAGGGTGAATAGATAGGGCGAGGTCAACTGCTTTTGTGCAAGTACTTAATAATGATGCTATGAATTCAAGGGGGGAACGGGGGATGTGGAAGGCTTTTGGTTCCAATTGTATAAATGGTTTTTTTTTATTCCTCTCATTTTTTTTGGTATTCTTTTCTACGTGAGAGTTGCGTATGTATGTGTTTTCAAACTCAAAAAAGGGATGCTAAGGATATTGTATCTTGGGGAAAGAAGAAGAGATTTAGGAAGGGAGCACTCATCTACACCCACAACCCACAGCTCACACATACGAAGAGAGCGAGAGAGACAGACAGACGCATACATACACACAACACACACTCACATATATGCAACCGAGTGATGATGGGCAAGGCAGGGACGAACACACATCTATCTATTCGAAATACAAAAGAATACTCGGCTGGACATTGCATAATGTTTTATATAGGTATATATAGAGATTGGGGGGAACTGAGATATGGGGATAGGGAGGGGGTTTGTTTGTTTGTTGGCTTTTTGTTTTGTGTGTGTGGTAATATTGAAGAGATGAGATGAGCGAGCGAGGGAATTAGGGATGGAGAAGAGAAGAGAGGAGAAGGGTGGATGGATGAATTACCTAGGAGAACTGAACTGAATATATCCAGAGCGAATTTGCTTTGATTACTTGTTATATTGCATTGTATATGTTTATGCCATTGTTATTGTTGTTGTTGGTGGTAGCAATCGTCGGGTGTATTGTTGAGGTAGGTATGTAGGATATGTATAGTGTGTAGAATAGGGGGGTAGGGAATGAATGTTGGATGTATGTACATTCATACTTATATATATGAGAGAAGATACTTAGATACTTATATATAAATGACTGACTAGATGCGAATTTGCATTTATTTGAAGATATATTTGGTATCTGATTAGGAGTGGCGGTTCTTGATATTTGAGATACGGGGCGCGGGAATACGGATTAGGAATGCAGGACTGGGGAGTGAGGGGTAGGGACGGAGCAGGAAGGAAGAAAGAGGAACGAAGGATAACTATCTACTTCGTAATTGATTTCATTGATGTTCGAATGGATTGGTAGAGGTTAGTTGAGTTGAGTTGAAGTCAAGCTCAAGGTAAGGCGAGTAAGGAAATGTAAGTCACGTCAAATCATGTCAACTACCGCCATATTCACGAGCCATCGATTCCTCGATTTACCTAAGGTACCTACTGTATACACTGGACTGGAAATGCTGTTTCTGCACTCCAATATAGAGGTCGATATATACATATGATGAGCTGATATTTCTTAGGGAAATGTTTATATAGATATTATATATATATGTAACTATACTACTTCCATTACTAAGATCTACGCACATCCCGAGAGTTATAAAAGGAGGGATTTTAGTTTATTGACACACACACACATACATATAGGTATGGAGTGTATTTGGGTATGGTGTACGTTATCTGTTTCTACCTAACCTAGTGGTTCAGAGCTGGGAGTTTGATTGACGTCGGATTAGCAATCCAATTGATGACGCGATTTCCCAAGTGCCTGGGTATCGATCGATCGGATACTCCCGCTGAACTAACTAGGTAGGTAGGGAGACATGTGTATTATACAAAGTATTGTTCCATTGTTCTATTGTTTCATCGTCCTCGTGGCCACGCCATTCCATCGCATTGTTCGTTGTTTCATTTTCGTTCAACAGGGAAGGAAACCAACCCAACCTAGACTGTCGCAGACGAAAGCTGTCCGGACGTCTGCCATATCATTCGCCAATGCGGCGTGGCGCCTTTTTTCATCTGACACCACACACCACATTGCATAGGTTGTCGTATCGCTATTCGCCCGCCGCCGGGTACACACACACACGCAGAATACCTACCTACTGCATTGCATTTCATGTGTTGTTTGTTTCAAGTTCTGAAACAAGGGATTGGGGGCGAAAGAAATTTCTTTGGTTGCCTTGCCTTGCCTTGCGTTCCCTTTTCTTACTAAAATTCTGCTTCGTGGGATTGGATTGGAGGAATGGATGGTGAGGTGATATTTGCATTTTCGCGCTGCTGCAGTACGCCCTATAATATATGTATGTATGTATGTACTTGCTTACATACCTACCTCAGGATAAAGTAGGTATTTCGTGTATATGACGGCTTCGTTTAGGGATTCTTATTTTGGGACTTCTTCCTTTCGTCAACTGCGATGTCGTCTCATGTAAATTGGGCATGGCCTCATGCAAGTGAATGGGTGTGTAATCGAGCGTGCAGTTTTTGTTGCCAGAGACTTACTATATGTAACTAGGTATTATATCAGGCTGTCTACGATTCTGGTCGCATACCGAAAGGAGGGGCTTTTTGACCATGTTATCTTTCCCCTTTTCGTATCGCTTATGACTTTATATGTGCAATTCCCTATTTAGGTACCTACACTGCCTACTTGACTGTTGGAACGATATCTTCAGATAGGTACTAGAGAAGAGTTGTGGCTGAATATCTCAAGACTGAACAGGTCATGCCCAGCATACATTAATATGTTCTTTCATGGAGTTGAACCGTGTCTTGGCGAGGTAGCATTGCGCAAGGCTCATAGTGTCGGAAAATAAGAGTCAAGAAGTCAACCACTCCAGTCCGTCTGTCTGTCTGTCAATTAATCCAACCTTGCACGCTTTCGCTATGGTCTTTTTTTTAATCTTTTATCACTGCCCCGTCTCATTGCGACGACAAACCATGTTGGGTTGCGCGGTGTCTCAGCCTCTGTCGAACTAGCCGATCCATACATCCATACTTACCAAGGTACTATGAAGTAAGTACCTAGGATCTGTGCACCAACGCACGCGTGCGTTGTTGTTATGCAGTGATGCTAGTATCATGCAGGGTAGGTCGTCTGAATGAGGAATGTCAAATCGTCGATCACCTCATGGCCCTTCCTTGGGCCGGTCTGGTCGGCGTCACGCCTCGCCGTTCTCGCCGCAGAGGAGCGTTATGCAAGTGCGCTGTGATGTGCACAGAGTCTGCACAGAGTATACGCGTACAGCATAAGTACAGTAGTCGAGGATTTTCCAATACAGAATAATATACAGTAACGGCTAGAGAAATAGCTCATGTAATATTAGAATGTAGGTATGTCAACTTCTTTGTTATGCATACCTAGTAGATACTATCTACTCGAGCTACTGTAGTGCGAGTCAACACCGAATCAGGGTACCTAGATATAGAATTTTCTGCACATCTTATAAGTAGTTATGCGTAGCGGAACCGTTAGCAAAGTCCAGGGTCGTGAACCGAGATGGTGCCCAGAGATCGTCCTTTTTCCCACAGTATGTACAGTCAAAGCCACGTGTCGGCCATGCGGGAATGCACTCGGTCGGAAATATTTGACTCAAGGTTACCGTACCGTACCGTACTTGGATTTTCCACGAGCCGTCTCGCTCGTACATTATGCATAAGTAGGTAGTCGTGTATAAAGGAACACTTGACTCGACCCGGACCAACTGTTTCCGCCAATGCGCCGGCGTAACGTGAACCAACGCCGAGTCCAACGGCGCCGCCACGGAGTCATCAAATGACGTAGAGAAGGGACTTCTTTCATTAGGCGATCGGGAGTTTCTTCTCCGCATAATCGCTGCGCCTCAGAATACTCAAATACATGATTATATTTTGCAATCGCACATCACATATTGGCCTGCTTTGTTTGAATATCTGGTTGAAAACACGGCAGTGCAGTCATGAAATGCTTATCATGTTGTACAGCGAAGGAAGAGAGGATTGAGGCCTCACCCGGTTCCCGCGCCAGCCAGCGATTGGATTTCCCCATTTCGCTCCAAAGTGCGATCGGCTTGCGCTATGCGAAAGGGGAAGGCCTCAGGAGTCAGTTCGCTCCGCTAGACAGACTCAGCATTCCCCCACGCCTTGAAGAGATCGCTTCCGTATGGGTGTGTGTTAGCATGTGCCGCCCCAGTTCCCGTCTCCAGTTCTTCGCCGCGACGCCCAGTTCGCCAGTGTATGCCCAGCCTTACCAAGAATCCATCTTGACCGTTAGCTGAGGGGGCGTGCACCGGTAAGAGGACCTGCTGGACGCGCGGCACTCGCACAATAAGCCTGACTATGGTCGGTATCGGTCCTGGGAGCGCCCAGGGGGTCCTGAGCTATCTTCTTGGCATAGCTCATGCCAATGTCATTTCGCTGGATTTCGCTGGATTTTGCTGGGTACCCAAGCCCCCCGGCGGGTACGGTGGACTGCATTGGATTGCCTTGCATGTCCAGTATTGGATCCCACCCCCGAAACCGAACCCGCGACAATTATACTGTACTTATGGTTGTAGTAAGTTCCAATGGAAAATGAGAATGGAAATAAGGGACCTTGGGTTCATTTCTTGGCGGATGTGTGTGCGTGCGCGTGCTTCATAAACGATGGATGCGCATGTAAGTTACTTAATGCCCCCCTCCTCCCGCCGTCGTGCGTGAGTCGAGGCGCTTTTCGCGATAGCTCTTCTCCTACCCATCATGACGCGCATCTTGCAATGGCTTCTCACGGTACTTGCTTTGGTGGTCGTCGATGCGCGGGCTGGAGCCTATGATGTTTTCAGCACCTCTCTTCCATATGAGTTGGGCCTTTATGGATGTGAGTTGTGAATCGATTTCTTTCTTTTTTCGTTTACTGCAATCTCCTTATCTTCTTCACCTTTTACGACTCCTGACCTTATCGTCGGTGGAAAAAATCTCTCAGGATCTGCCTTCGGGCCTCCAGCCTGGGGTGGAAAAATCTCCGACGGATAAATGCCAAGATCAATAAGCTGACTAAGTAATGAATAGTATACCCGTCTGGTAATTACAAGTCTGCCGATCTCTCTGCACCATTACCGAGCTTCGCTCAATGGGACGAGCAAACATGCGGCGACGGATACTATCTATTTGCGCTTAAGGGAAAGTTGGTGTCAAACAGCGCAGCGACGATTTTCGATTCGCGTGGTGAACTCGTATGGTCCGACGATTCGTATGGGGTGGTGTTTAATCTGGAAATCCAAAAATACAATGGCAAGAACTACATAACCTTCTGGTCTAGCCCTGAGGGTAGTACGCACGGGTATGGACGGGGGACATATTATATGCTGGATTCCTCGTACCAGCTCTATAGAAAATTCGAACCCGTAGGCGAAGGTCTCAGGGGAGACCTTCACGAATTTCACATCACCAAACAAGGAACGGCCCTCATAACCATATACAACCCGTTGCCAGCTGATCTGACATCCATCGGCGGTCCAGAGCAGGGTTGGGTATTAGACTGCATGTTTCAAGAGATAGATATCGCCACGGGCGACCTGCTCTTCGAATGGAGTGCCATCAAACACGTGCCCCTGACGCACGGGCTGCGATCCTTCGCTGGCGAAGATGACGGCAACACGCCCCAGACTGCATGGGACTACTTCCACATTAACAGCGTCGACGTTGACGACGACGGGAATTACGTCATCTCGGGCCGACATACCTCGAACATTTTGTGCATCAGCCCCAAAGGCGACATCCTCTGGACCCTCGGCGGACTTGCGAATGACTTCGAGGACTTAGCGGACGGCCAAGCCACTGACTTCATGTACCAGCACCACGTGCGGCTGCACGCAAACCACACGCTCAGCCTCTTCGACAACGCAGCCGCTGAGCGCGCAGGCCAATCTTCGACGCAGGACCACTCGCGCGGACTTCTGCTGCAGCTTGACACCAAGGCGATGACGGTGACGCTAGTGCAGGAGTACTTCGACCGCGCGAACCCGCGGACGGCCGTCTCGCAGGGGTCGATGCAGATGCTCGAGGACCGCGTCGTGCTGGGCTACGGCTGGTTGCCCTTCATCACCGAGTTCGCGCTCGACGGGTCCGTGCTATGCGCCATCGAGCTCGCGCCGTGGATAACAGCGCGCTGGGGCCTGATCAACACGTACCGCTCCTTCAAAGTGCCTGAGTGGACCGGAAGGCCTACGGCGCCGCCTGCCGTGTACTTCGAACCGGCGGACGGACAGGTCTACGTCTCCTGGAACGGGGCCACCGAGGTCGATAGGTGGGTGCTGCAGGGCGCGGACTGGACGGATCTCTTGGATGCGAAGGCCGGAGAGGGATTCGTTGATCTGGATATCGTCGACAAGCAGGCGTTCGAGACTGTCTTTGATGTCATGGATGATATGCCGCAGTACTTACGTGTCGCGGCCGTCGATAGGCGGGGGAAAGTGCTTCGGCATACACAGATCGTAGACCGGAAGGCCGGATATAGCGTCAGCCGCGTGCTTCGCGGCATTGTAAGCTGGGGCGCGGTTCTCCTTGTCTCGGTTCTCGCCGTGCTGTTCCTTATCGGAAAGAGGAGGCGGAAGGCCGTGCTGGCGAGCTCATCGCGTGGAGCGTCGGCATGTTGGGAGCGCGTCCTGGGGATATATAGCTCGGGGTCGACGGGGTGGATATATGAGCATTACCCCAGGGGACGATCGTGGCGGGATTGGGTCGGTGCTAAGGCGCACGAGTTGCAGGCTATGTATCATGACTGAAGAGTCAGTACAGGTTTTTTTATAGTTTTTTTTTATTCGTTAGATTATACCCAATGGATGATATTTATATTTCACAGATTCATCGGCGGGGAAATGCCTGGAGACATAAGCTCGTGTGCAAGAATACTGTTGCCTACGGAATCCACCCGGAATCCACTCCCCTATTTGCCCTTTCGGCGGTTGTACCTTATTTGGGGTATTGATAGCCGGAACAAGCATCCAAATGTTAATGCTGGGAAGCATGATCGGCTTGTTCAAGCTAGGCAGCCAGATTAACGGTACATACCTAATCGTATCTATCAGGACGCATGTCTGTCAAGAACAACTTGCTAGATGTGCTTTGAGGAACTACGATCAAGTGAACGAAATTAACCTAGCAAACTCCTTATCCTAGCATAATATTCCAACATAGCCCTAGATACCCTTAACGCCAGTCTTAAGTTAGAGCAGTTGAGATATACTTATAGCTTTCAATTTCCGAGGTGCTTGGTCGTTTTCATCCGGCGTGCTTGTTGCAACAGAAACGGGATCGAAAGCTTACCCTGACTTGAAGGATATTATATCACGTTGTTAAGGTTTTCACAAGGCCGTAGGCTCGTTCAATAAAACGAGGAATACGATGACTCGGCCACCTCAGCTCCAAGCAATTCAAGCCCCAGGAGCCCTGCGGCCTCCGTCAACTTAGCAAACGTGCCGAGTGTTGGCCCAGAATTGGGTTGTCTTGCATCTCGATTGTCCTTGTCCGCCATGGCTGCGTCTAATCAGGTTTGTGTCGGGTAAAGGGAGGAACAAACTTGATGGGCGCCTTAGATGAGCACACCTCATGGTGACAGACGATAGGTGGATTGGTTTACAGTGGGAATGGAGTTGCAATTTTCGCAGTAAGTATAGTTATCCTCGAAAGAAGAAAATCTTTACAAGGCTTCACAATCCGAATAGGAGACAGCATGTATCTTGACCCTGTCGCTGAAAAGAAAACAGCATATTTCTCGATATAGAAATAGGGAGCGGCGTCCCTCACTCCCTGACTCTCTTACGCCTCTGTAAGGACACAAACATACCTTCCCTAGCTTCCGTAAAAAAACATGGCTGCAAGGGAATGACCACTCGAGTATAAAAGTCCTCATCTATTGCCTGAAAACTCTGCCTCCACAACACACCCTCTGTTTGGTTTTTGGTGTTAAGTCGATGCTGTCCAAGACATTTGAACCTAATCTTTTATTAGCCAATTTTGTCTTTCCCCAGATTCTAATTTTCCGCCATCATGGCCTTGACTTTCATCGGCTTGCCTTCCGAACTATTGGACAAAATTATCGAGCATTCCATGCCAGAAGGCTTCGAAAGCTTGGCAGTGACTTGCAAGCTAATATACGCACATTGCATTCGATTCATCCCGCACCACAACCATCTCCGCTTGAGCTTCCGAGTGTTTGAATATAGTATAGATGAACCCCCCTGCCCGCCCAGGGAAAACCATAACTACTTTGCGTTTGAGCTCCTTAATCGCATCGCAGCTGAGCCTAGAGTCGCGCGCTACATCATAGAGGCATCGTTTTGCGATGACAGCGTTCCCGATTTCTACCCGACATCCTTTTCACCAGTCATTGACGATGGCAGCCCGCTGGTTGCACTGTTTGCCAATTCTTCTTACCTAGCAAGAGCAGGCCTGGACTGGAAAGAGTACTATGCTCTAGTCAAACAGGAAGTACAACGACCCGGCTACTCCCAGCATGCAGCTGCTTTTGTTTTGACGCTGCTGCCGAATGTCACATCTCTCGTCCTACCACAACAATGGAAGCCATCAGACAAAACCGATAGACTTCTTGAGGTTATTGTTCGCGAAGCGAGGCAGCCTAAATCCATATGGAACGAGCCCAGCCTCGCCAAACTCACCGGTTTCGAACCTAACTTAGGTGATCTTAACGAAGTGGTTCCATTTCTAGCCCTACCACATGTACGGCGCTTCTTCTCCGTACTGGGGTCGAATTGTTCTATGACGCTGGCGTCCAAAAATCAATATATTGGTTGGGGGGAAATGCTTGAGTCGGTCAGCTTTAAATTTGCCGATCTTGAACTAAAGTACGTTTCTGAGTTCTTTACGAATACACCACGTCTGAAGGAACTCCATTTATTTTTTACCGGGAGTCTGCCTGAGACTGAGGACTTCTGTGGGCTTGTCGCGGTAATCGAGAGCAAAGTCGGAAATCAGCTGGAAGAGCTGTACTTCTATGGGTTGGAGCGGGACGGATTTAAGCCCGGTCAAGCCTCATTGCATGGCTTCCAGCGACTGCTAACACTTCGATGTCCCCTCAAGCTCGCAATAAGTCGTACCAACAAGGCTTTACCTCGACCGCTCAAAGACACCGACAGTCTCAAGGGTTCTGAATCGGAAGTGATTGAACCCTCAATTAGCGATCTTATACCTGATTCAGTTACTACTCTATCGCTGCTAACAGACAACGAAGAACATTACCGGATGGCCCTCGATATACTATTCAGCGATGTGGTTGTCAAGGAGGGCTCGAAACTACCTTTTCTAAAGAAGATAAGCATATATTTTCGATGGGACGGTTCGGTAGATGTAGAAGAGGCGAAGAGGCTAGAGGCGAAAGCCTTAGAGGCGGGCGTACTGCTGCATTTACATCATTTCAACCCATCCGGATTGCCTTACAATATTGAATATGGAAACTTTTGATAGCATCTAGGATATAGGTGGGCCTTATAACCCCCACAGTGCATATTAGGGATAGTTACGGATTATGGGATCATGTGGCATTGTGTACCTATATACCCTGGGTGTACAGAGGCCACTGCACTCATACGCGCCTATTGCCAGGGTACTAATATAAAAGGTCCAATTGCCGCCCACTGAAGAGTTCTTCAGTAAAGGAGTTTCACAAGATGGAGACCGAGACTAGATCGCGAGCATTAGCCCATACGCCGTTCATTCCGATTAGGAGAACGCTTGCCAGAGTTGGCTTCAGTGACAATAACGACCTTGGCAATTTGACTGTCAGGGCCAATGTCCTTCTCGGTGAAAGATGGAGATGGTGGAAAGAACTGACTACAAAACCCCAGGGAGATATTATACAGCAAGGCAAGAGATGTAAGTTGAGTCACTAGGACGCGGTCCACGAATGTCGGGCTGGAGCATTAGAAGGATATAAGGTGACTAATTCATACCGTCGGCAGTCCGCAGGTATAAGCGATTTCAGATGCTCCCCGCCAGGAGCCTGCAAAAGCAAGGGCATGAAGAAATGCAGTTAGGGGCTACTCATTCTTACTACCTATATATGCGGTTAGTTATGCTCGCAGGCTCTAGCTAAGTGAGCGGTATGGTCACTCCTGACCGCTTCGCTTCGCAGCTGCACTCTATTTGCATAGTCGGGATTCAACATGGGACTGCAGATTTAAGAAAAGAAGACAAAACGTGGGTATTCTTGTTTTCTAAGAAAAATTGGCTAGGGATATATATATTCTCCTTAGAGTGGGAGTTATCTATTAGATATGGAGAGAGAGTAATGTGGTGATGTCCCAATTCCTATAAATATTGGCCAATTACGCTCTTGTCTTGTCGGGCGTATCCAGCAGATTATCGTTCCTATTTAAATGAGGGTGCAACTGTATACTGCTGTTTCGTCTTGGAACTTCCAGGTATTATATCATCATGAGTATTATATCTAATGAAACCAGCAGCAGCATCACTTTGCACCACATTTTTCTCCCCTTGTGTTATAATCCCAGGAATGATTGAGGACACACTCTGATCAGAATCGGGTTCAATGTGATTGACAGCATTCTCTTCAGGAGGTTTAGGATTTGTTGTGTCTTTACCATTACCTGGAATCGACCAACTGACCTTTGCAGTCCCTAGGTACTTAGGTAATGGAGACGCCCCATTCATATCCTGGAGTTGGACGGGAGAGCTTAACATAGCGCCATATGTGGCACGGAGAATAGTTGAAAAGTCGCTACTATAGCTAGCATTGTTGGGAAGGATATCCGCAATACCTACGGCTAGCGCTAACGTCGTCGCCAGGATAGCGGCGCCATAGGCGATCCAGAGGCTAGCAGGCGAATAGGAGTAGACTGAGTTGAGGGTGGTGAAAGTGACGTTAACAGGGGGAGGGGCAAAAGGAGAGACGAGGTTCGGTCTGGTTTGAAGTTAAATTAGTTATAGAAGGAGATAGGAATAAGTTTAATCAAATAAGCAAACTCTTACTGCAAGAGATCCGAGCTCATTAGGCTAATAGTAATATTTCTGAACAGTTCTTCCATTGCGCGAGGTAGAGATGATCGAGGTGATACCTTCTCGATGTTGGAAAGCAGGGCACCGTGCGATGTTTTGTTTAATAAATATTGATTCTGGAGTGTTGATTCCTTCCGAGAGTCCTTCACAGCTTGTAGGAGGTATTGGAGTTCAGGTGCGTGTATTAGACTAGTTGCGAATATACTTGTATCAACTTCTGCAGTTTGGTCCCAACCACTTATCGATACTGAGCCGACCGCTAGGCGACGGAACCCATCTAGAATCCCTGTGTATGATAGCCTTTGCAGAAGATTAGTATCGAATATACAAGGACCCTCTGCTAGTGGCTCGTATTCCTCAAGCCGGTCGCAATTATTGAGATGGTCGGACGGGGAAAACCCGGCACCTAGGTCATTTGCCGGTCCGAACATCTGGAACACAGTCGGAACGGCTTCTGAATGGTCAACCTCAAAGGCGATATTTTGTATTCCGGACTGATAGGCGAAATCGACATGATAAGAGGCGTTGTATAGATCGCATTGAAAAAAGGAAGCATTTTCAAGGCGCTGCCAGGGTGGATGATGTGGGTTGCCATCCACAAATCCACAGGGGTCTGTAGCAATTAAAGGAAGCAAGGTAATATAAATTGGTGTGAAGGGCCCTCTATTATCGCCCTTGACGAATTCGTCATCCCCATACATGCCGCTCTGGAAGGGAAGCGACGTTGTGTTCCTAGTATATACCACTGGTTCCTCGCTATAAGGACCAGGGTTCCAGCACAGGTAAGTGCTTGCACCGCCGTTACAGTTGTCGCTATTGTTGAGAAAGCTCACAATGTTGGGTTCAACGTGGCTTCGCACACTATCGTCCATAGTCCCGCAGTTCAGCGAAGGCCCGTAGAAATCTATAGCCCAACTCGAGTTTTCGGCAGGGGGCTTGATAGGTAGAATGCTGCCCTGTGCTGCTACCGCAATAGCAACCTTCTCAACCTCGACACTAAGGCCGTTATACAGGAATTGGGGAATTCCGGAATCCCAAATGGTGTAGAACGGTATCCCTGCGACGTAATTGAAACTCGTAAAGTCCACATTAGGCACATTTCGCATGGCTGTATAATTTCTCGAGACTAAGGCAACGGATAGTGTGCCTGGTGGTATAACGAATGCGATAGGCAGTGACCTGCCTTCTAGTAAACATGCGTACTATGACGATAGGGTAAATATAGATTTATTACCAAGATATTAAAGCAACTAATAATAGCAGTGGATACCTTCGCCAGACTGATCCCTTTCTAAAAGCGAAGATATTCGACAAACCAGAGAACATGATATCTAGATCCGCTAGTGTTTTGCTTATTGGGTGCTTAGCCGCCCTCCAAAAGATCTGGACATATGCTATTGAGGTGGCGAATATGAAAAAGGCTCGCGCGACAAAGGCAAAAGATGTGCCTACAGCGGTAGTGATCTGCTGACTTGAGATGCCGAACCTTAGTATAGATTGATGGATGTCTGTAGGAGAGCTATTTAGACTATTATAATAAAAATGGTGCCCTAACGAAACGGTAACTCTAGAGAGCCAGGAACCTATCATTAGCGCTGGCATGAACCAATCTATCTTTGATGGAATGCCCATTTTCTTTAATAGATCAGGTCGAGAATATTGGGCGAGTTGAATGACGCTAGATAATGTTGTCGTCCCCTTCACTGACATGTGCAAACTCGCCTCACTATATAAACACCGTAAAACAGACATGGAGGCTGACTAAGCTTTCATGTCGCAGCATTCATTATCTCCTCGATTGTTACATAGCCGGCGTGGCGCGGCCACTCGGAGGCTATGTGTAGCAAGCGAAATCCCGCTAAACACTCTGAGACAGCCCCTGATCCTACAGCTCCATACCCCTTGGTGACCTTGGTGAGGACCGGGATTTCAACATTGTTAGCAAAAGACTGGGGGAAAAAGTTCAATCCCCGACTTCTTTATGCGTAAGCGCCAAGGTCAATCTACTCAGGAGTTGTATGATCGAATGAATTTTATGGGATAGTTTATATATATATGCTTTATTAAACTTGACTATTCACCCCTTTATCCTAGATCCTTCATTGTCAGGTGAGAGCATAGCACTAGGGAAGAAGTTTCAAGAGTTGGAAGGTTCAGGAATCAATTGACTACCTATTGAGCTCCATATTACTATCTCCCTACTTGACTGCAACAAGGTTTCTACCCACTCTGGGACAACTACTCCTGGCGCTCGTTAAAGAAAAAGGGATGGTTTTGATTGTTTTAAGTACCTGCATGTATAAGCTAGGCGATACAACGCTGTCAGCAATTGACTATTTCTGCGAGAGTTAATTGGCCACCACCAGAGATTGTAATGTGACACAGTTTTCTTTGTTAATGCATCCGAGATAACATCGCCTCTTTACGTTGCTATTTTTGGCATGTTGAGATATGGTTGGAAAGAGCCGTCTGCCTTGCTTCAAGGCAGTGTAACTACACCTGCAATACTTGATCTTATGAAAATGCCATGTTGGCAAAAGGACACATCGAAATGATTCAATGAGCCTCTATATCATTCCGGAATTGTACCCTTATAGCCAAGCCTGAAAGTAATATGCCGATACTGAATACTTGATCTCCAATAGAGAGATAAACTATTTATATTAAATAGGTCCTGTATTACACCTTATTAAAAATGTTACAATTATAGGTTCAGGGTATAGCTATATTAATGCTATAGATAAAGATAAAAGATTTAAGTTAAAGAGAAAAGGAAAAAGAAACTTAAGTTAAAACATAAATATATATATGCTATTTAAACTTAGCCCTGTAAATCTTTATAACATTAAATATATATATAGGTAAACCTTAACATAAGCGATGTAAAATCTTGCTGAATTCTTAAATAAGTAAAAGTCTATAAATGTGAATGCCGATTAAGTCAATAGCTATTTAGGGTATAACCTCTCTATGAACCCGTTCCGAAATGAAACTTAGAAGATTATGCGTTACCCTCAATAACCTCAATCTGATCATCATCTCCAGGCAGCTTCACAACATCGCTCTTCGTGAGTTCACGAAAGTACTCCTCGTCGGTCCCTCCACCCAAGTCGCTTGTGCACACCTTGCCACCCCCCAAACCATAAAGCTCCCGGAACGACATAATCAGCGGCCGCCATTTATCCGGGTCGACTCTATTCGGATATCCCTCCACGCGGAGATTTTTAAGGATATGGATACGCAGGACGCGGACTTCGATGGCTAATAGGAGACCGCTACGATCCGGCAGGTCCTTGCGAAGCTCATTCACCTGAACCACCTGGCACTCCATCTGTACTGGACATTCGGAAATCCGAAGTGGAGCGACGAAGCTCGAGGGCTGTGGATGGAGTCCGGCTCGCGCCCATTTATCTTTGACGAAGGTGTAACCGCCTGAGACTCTCCAGCCGGGAACGGGGTTTATCCCGGTGGTGTGGGCTAGCTTGTTGATATACTCGCCCATGGAGTCGCTAGCTAGATTGAGGACACATTCTTTCGTGCGGAGAATGTTTTGTGCCGTCTTGGAATCGGCTGCGAGACCGAGCACGCAGGAATGTCCTAGCCACCATGCGGAAGACATGGGCGCAATGTTGCATGTTTTGTCTTCGTTCTCGGATGTGATTAGAACTACTGGCGTGCCCCAGTATAGAATGGCGGGAGAGATGATTGTGTGCTCGTTTGACGACATGGTTGCAAAGGCTAATGAGTCTTAGGACTTAGGGAGAGATTGGTAGGGAGAGTTGTAGATTGGTGGGTTGTTGGTAAATGTGTAGCGCTGTGTGAAGCTTATTATTTGACAAAAGGATCTGTGTTAACTTTTATACAAGAATGTTCAATCCATGAGCAGCATTTGAAGTAATGTCGTCGCCGCGGAGTTCTCATTTTCGCGTTCCGGTGACGAGTCACACATCATCTCATCGAACAGACTACGGCATGAAATGCATTTGAGTCTATTCCCAAGCAGGAAAAAAATATCTGGAAGCATTTTTATTTCCCCTATGACGCGATGTATCAAAGTGGAATTGTATGACTACTTCTTGCTGTGGAAGTCGAGCGAATTGGGCACCTGATTGGCTACTTCTAAAGCAATGCTGACAATGACTCCACTGAAACATGAGATTGTTCCGAATTCTATCCCCGATACTAACTTAAATCCGTTTCCGATCATCTTCAAGTCTTTAGTAGAGTGTTGTATCTCCGAGGAACTTGGCCAAGCTTTCTCTGTTAGGAAATCTAAATATGTCTATTAGGTGTTGCAGATGTTGGAGAGTACTTTTCCAGCATCGTATCCCTCATATATATTGTTCTTAATATCAATTTACTGTTGATCGGATCTACCGTAGGTGGTCTCGTAGTTCCTAGCTACTTGGTTAATATAGTTCAGTCAGACAAAGTTTAATCTGTTAATTAATTACCTTGAGTCGTTCTTGTGACACCCCTGAACTAGATGCCTGCGTTGATAGCAGTGCTGTCACGAGATCTTTTTTACTGTCTTGAACATCGATAACGTACTATACCTCTCAGCGGTGTATAATATCATGTGGGAGGATTTCTACTTACATCCTCTATCGTGTCTTTGATAGTGAAGCGTACTGTTGTAACCTCTTTGGTTTGCCCGATTCGGTGAATTCGTGCAAGAGCTTGCTCCTCTATCGCCGGGTTCCATTGAGGCTCCATAAGATACGCTCTGCTTGCTGACGTCAAATTCAACCTAATTATCTATGAGCTGACTGAAGATAGCCCGATTCTTCGAGCTTAAGCCTACGTACCCAACTGCGCCACATGATAGAGTTATCAATAAGACCTGGTATCTTTGCTTGGAGAAGTCTTCGAAAGTTTCGACTCGTTTCCTGAAGTTGACATCTCCGTCGATTCGAGCATAAGTTATGCCTTCATAGCCAAGGGCCGTGGCGGCGAGATCTATAGTTGCTTTCCAAAAAGAGAAAATAACACTAGAAAGGCTAGTGTTTAGCATCGTAAAGGATATTCTCGAAAGCCAGAGTATGCTTACCTTTGCGTATTAGGAGACACTTTCCTTAAATCGTCCACCAAGGCTCGTATTTTGGTTGGAAACTGGCGACTGTGTCTGTCATAGGGAATACTCGCGCTGATTGCGGTTGTGGAGTTCCCGAGGTGCACCATGGACATAGCACACATCTCCTTGCATGGGCACAGTGGACGGTACCCGACTTGAGACAATATTGGCTCGTAACATTTACCACACAATAAATGTAAACACTTGGACAAAAAAGCTCGAATTGGTCGATCAGATGAAATGGAACCATAATCCAACGTTGATCCACACCCACGACATTCCGTGGATAACCCGAGAGATGTGAATTGTCGAAAGGCCAAAGCCGCCGTATTTTCATTCCATTGCGCTTCCGCAACGTACTTGATCTTTTCATCGTCGACTTTGTCTGTTTTTGGAAGCATGCCAAAGTTACAGATTTGCCTTAGTGTCTCAATCTTCTTAAGAGCATTGCGATAGCCTCCCTGAACGGGAGTAGACTGTAAAAAGTCTTCAATGCATTGTATAGCCCTATCTTTCGCAGCTTTGTATGAGTTCCGCTCTTCAGAAGTGAAATCAAGCTCGTATCTCAAGTCTTGACGTTTTGGAAGTGTGATGTGATGTATAGAGCGTCGTAGCATGATAAAATTCAGAAGTCTTTTTAAGCGGTGAATGGCTTCTGTCTCTTTTCCATCTTGCCACATATGGATGATGTGTTCGTCAAAAATGTCCTTATTTGAATAAGGATATATGCGAATGAATAGTAGCAGACTGTGTAGTTCGGAGAGTCGATTCTGTATGGGCGTTCCAGTGACAGCCCATCGACAATTTGCTGGAATGGCATATGCTGCTTGTGTGGTTATTGCAGACACACTCTTGATCCAATGTGCTGTTTTCTCAATTAATTATAACCCATGCAGTAGTGACAGCCTGCCATATACGAACCTTCATCTAGGATTACGCGGTGCCAGTGGTAAGAAAAGAAAAAACTGGATGTCTTCTTCACCCTCCATTCGGCACTAAGTGTCTGATACGTTGTCAAGACAACGTCCAAGTTCTTCAGGTCTGCAGGATCTGTAATTTTCGTGGATCCGTGGTGGCATCGCCACGAAATTGCGTCGATTCGAACATGTCTAGTTGAAGTATGGTTAACCTTTAGGAATAAGATATTCATAAATCTGGTAACATACTTAGAAAACTCGGCCTTCCAGTGATTTAGAACTTTGCCATGTCAGTCAAAGGTCACTCATTAATGAACATGAACCTGCTTACCGCTAGCTGGAGCCACTACAAGCGTGGTTTTTGTTTTGCCTGACTGACAATCCCCCGTGTCAGTGCTGTGGGAAGGTATATCATGGGCGATGAGTGATATCATGCTAAGAGATTTCCCGGAACCCATGGTGTCGGCAATGATACCTCCACGGAATACCGGTGGTGACTGATCATGGAGGGACTGGTCAATGTTATTAAGATACTTCCTATACTTCCATTAGAATGATGATACATGCACTTCAACCGATTATAACTCACATATTATGATTCACGTCATGCTGAAAAGACCAGACATCCATCTTGGCTTGAGATAAGTTCCATCCCTGCTCTCGACGGGCCATGAATGTCAGAGCTTGTTTCTGGTGACTAGCCACAGTTATTATTACAAGACTAACAACTATGAAGCGACCCCTACTGACGTTTGAAGCGGCGTTAGAAGGTACTGCGAGCCTTCCGTTTCGTCTATACCATCTGAAGAGACAAATTCACTGAGAATATCCACGGGCGTCAATTGGGCTTTAGTTACTTGTTGGTACTGAGAGGCCCCCAACAGCGACGTCCGGGCTCCGGGGTAATTGTACAATTTCTGCGGGTTCGAATACGGCAAATCTTTTGTGGCATGTATAGGATCTTGCAAGTAAAGCTCAAGACTGCCTAGAGTCTCCTTTATATCTGAAGCAAGGTTTGGGGTGCCGTAAAGTATCGCCGTTGCTTGCTGTGTAGTGCCTAATCTTTTTGGATGGTCTTTCAACTCAAGACGTAACTCGACACTCACATTCTCGTTACGGAAGAGCTCGAGCAGTTCATTGTCTCTTTTCTGTAGAGAGGCCAAGGGAATTGGAGAAGCCATAGAAAACAAAGTTCCATCGTCGCTGCGCCGTAGGTTGCCGTAGACACCTGGTACTGTAGAAATCTGTTTTACGTCAAAGACGAGCTGAATCCATGTCAAATGAAGACATTTAATCTAGCGACTGTTCTCACCTACCATCCCGAAACATATTGTATCGTCACTTTCGCGGGGATCGTCTGCAAGTAGCAGACTAATGGGGATAATGCCCTTTTGGGTCTTCTGACGCTTCGACATAGGTTCCGTCATTGTCCAACATGATATAATAAAGCGGCCGAGTAAGTATCCGTAGTTCAGTTGGAAGTTACGAGAGATGAAAGCATAAAGATCACAAGTAAGATCGAAGCATGCGCGACCGTAGATTCAAAGAGGGCTGTGCCCTTCAGGGCTGACTTGTATGGCGGCGCGCATCGCGTTAGGCATACTGGCTAATATAGTTACATTGGTGGCGGTGCACAGCCCCAACTGCAGCTTAGGCAGTATATGAACGGCCACTATCCCCTGCAATTCTCAGTTCCGTCCTGAAAGATATGTAATATTGAGCTCGGGCGTTGGACAACCCTTGATTTGTCTTTTACTACTGCTTCATCCCACTGCCATGGCCCAGGTAGTCTTACAACGGGCTTGCGATCGCTTCCGTAATGAATTATCATCGGAAGATGCTAACTTGATCATCACGACACGCAGATTTGATGAGGTCAAGAATGCAGTTCTACAGGTCGAACAACAACTCGCTGCTAGACAAGAACTCCGAAACTTTGACCGTCTGGCCCCTTTCCTTGATACGATAGAGACGTACTCCAAGGCGCTCGAGGTAGCCTGCAATGGCACGCCGTATCTTCCCTGGATATGGGTATTCTAACCCTTGCTCATTCTGGATTATCAAAAGCCTGTCCCGCTAATAATGTCCTTAGGCCCCCATCAAGTTGATCATTCAGGTGAGATCTATATAGCAGACCTCACCCAATACGTGATGCACAGTTTTAGTTTTTAACTTTACGTAGGCTGTTCACGAGTCTGTGCATGCTCTAGATAAGATTCTGGTGGCATATGGCAACATCGCCACCAGCATGCCTCGGCTCTCTCGTTTCGCCGGATCATTCCCCAATGATGAACAATTTCAGCAGCTGATAGCATTTCTATTTGAGGACATCATCGAGTTTCATCGGAAAGCCTATGCACTGATAAGAATGCCAGGTGATTATTCTTACCCCTAGCCGCACATGAGGTAATCAATTACTTATCGAGGGTTCAACAGGTTGGAAATTCTTCTTCTCTTCTGCATGGGGTCGTTTCGAGCACCGTTTCAGCGGCCTACTTGAACGAATGGCACGAATAGGCGACCTGATCGAGCGTGAAGCGGTTGCGCTGGACATTTTCCATGCTGCTGAGTGGAGGAAAACAGAAGGTGAAAATGCATATAAACGTGAACGCCAGAGGCACGCAGAACAACGTCAAGCTGTATTGGATTGGCTTACGCCTAATGATATTGAAGAGGCGAAGCTCGATGTGCTAAACGGCCGCTGTTATGAAGGGACATCATCTTGGATCACACAAAATCACAAATTCAGAACATGGTTACAGCGAGGGCGTGGCAACTCCGTGTTATGGCTACATGGGAAACCTGGCTCAGGTATTTAGAGCCTTACACTGCTTCCAGAAGTCATGCACCATAACATCTAACAGTTATTCATAGGGAAATCAGTAATTAGCTCGCAAGTCATACGTTTTCTACGTATCAATCAACGTCCGGTGTGCTTCTTCATTTGCGATTACCATACGCCTGGAGAGAGCGCCATTACTCAAATTCTCAGAACTATATGCGCACAGATCGTAAGGTCATCTGAATACTGCGTGCCATATCTTTATGAGGAGTTCTTGAGCCAGGCAAAAATCCTTTCGGTCAATGTTCTTAAAAGCCTGCTTCCACAGTTAATCCAACATTTTGACGACTTACGTATTATTATCGATGGAATAGACGAGCTTTCTACATCAGTTCACCGACCTCTAATCAAAGAACTACTGTTTCTCACTGGACACCGCCAGGAAAAATGTAGATTATTGATTGTCAGTCAAGATCTGCCCAGTATAAGTTCGGAGCTGTCTAGAATACCTCGACTGTCTCTGAACGAGGAGAGGAGTTCTATTGAGAAGGATCTTTCGTTAATAGTCCAAGCCAGACTTCAGGAAATCGATGACACGTATCAAGGAGCCTTAGGAGTTGATACCATTCTTTCTATCAAGAATGACATCCTAGCTAAAGCCGAAGGTAGGAAACTGCTATTGAGCTGCTACGTTTAGTCGTTAATATCATGATATAGGGATGTTCCTTTGGGTTCATTTGATTCTAGAGCTTTTGAGCACTGCTTCAAATCTGAGCGAGCTTCGAATGCAAATCGACAACTTGCCGGCAGACCTAGCCGAGGCGTATGTACATATTACTACTAAAATAGTACGAGCTAACTGTGATTTATCACCAGATACAAGAAGATTCTGCACAACATTAGTAATAGATGTTCGTCTAACGATTTCTCCAAGATAAAGCGGATCTTTTCTTGGATCATGTACCGTAAAGGACGACATCCATTGCGTAAATGTCAACTACGGGTCGCAATGATTCTCAACTCTGACTGCCAGATCATGACTCGAGAAACCAGACCCTTCCCAAACGCTACTGACATCTGTAAACCCTTTGTCGAGGATGGCCCAGGCGGATCTTTAATATTTGTACATTCATCCGTCCCACAGTATGTGATACAACAGTCGCTGTTCACTGACATGAACTAACACGAATATTTAGATTCCTTCTTGATCAGAGCAGCGGCCCATTCATGCAGGCTCCAGAATCACATCTCTCACTAGCCTCAGCTTGCTTAAGCCAAATAACCCAATCACTTGAAATTCTATGCCCAGATAATCGGAACCCCTCGCCAGCTCGGTATGCTGCCACCGTTGGTGGTTTCTATGCGCTCCTGCCGTACGCATCCATGTACTGGATGGACCACGTACTAGATTGTTTGGATGGTGCCCAATTCGATGAGATCTTGGATCAAATTAAACGACTGTGCCAGAAATTACGACAGTTCACATCTCTCAGCTCCCATTCGAACGAGATTCTGGAGGCGACAGATGATCTCGACCCTCGTTTAACTACAATAATTTCCAGAGAAGAGGCCGCACTTATTCGACAATCCTGGCCTATGAAGCAACAAGAAGCCTTGACTTCAGGTACATTCAGTATTTCTATACCTTGTGTAAAATTTACAATCAGTCTAAACTTTAGCTAGATCAACACTCCCAGCCCCAGCATCTCCACGAGGCCGTAAAGCACTATCACGAAACTGTTCATTTCTTGATGAGCCAAGGACAAGTTCATGGCATCTTGCAGCAAGAACTGCTAGGATTCAAAGAAGAATTTGGGCCAACAGCATTTGTTTGCAACCATCACGGGTGTGAGCGTGTGGCCGTTGGGTTTTCTTCGAAGGCTGAACTCGCAGACCACCAAGCACACCACAATGGCGATCTGAAATGCTCTGTTCATGGCTGTGCTTATAATGATGTTGGTTTCAGAACTACCAAGGACCTTCAAGCTCATCGAAGGAAACGCCATGGAGCCGCGTTGACCAAGCGTGTGCCAAAGAGGTTTCGAGAAGCTGATCCAGCACCAATATTGATACCCGATGATGTCGCTAAGTCTCCCATAGAAGATATCAATGCAGTTGCTAGTGGAAACAATTTTTATAAGGAGACACCTCCACCACCGCAAATTCCGGCAGCTCACGAATTGCCTCGCTCACAACTTACTGTTCATAATAATTCAGCGATGGATAAAGTGCATCACCAATACCAAATGCAATTAAAACTCCGCGAACAAGAGAACAAGAAGCGGTTGATGATGGCAAGGCAAGAACAAAACGACAGGGCGCCAGCTTCATTAGTGGACATGGGGTACCTGAGTGCGCAAAGAGACTTAATGCTGTTAGAGCAGCAGAACAAGAAGCGGTTGATGATGGAAAGGCAAGAACAAAACGACATGGCGCCAGTTTCATTAGTGGACATGGAGTACCCGAGTGCGCAAATAGAATTAGGGCTATTGGAGCAGCAGAACAAGAAGCGGTTGTTAATGGTGGCACGTTCTTCTACAGACGCTGAACCACCGCGTACTTTAGCAGCTTCTCCAGGGCACAGTGAACCAATTCTAACTGTTAATAATTCATTGGACACTGCAACTCACCAGGTGGCATCACCGAATGCAGCGCGACGGGACTACGGAATGCAGTTAATGCGTTTCCGGGAGCAGCAGAATAAGAAGCGATTGATGATGGCAAGACGAGAATAAGAAGATATGTTCTCATCACCTACTACGAATCTTGAGTCAAACAATAAGTCCCAACCTAGGAGAATGTCAAACGGTAGCAGGATCGATAATGACATGTTGTCAGCCATATCAAAAGGGAAAAAGCAAGGGGAAAAGCAAGTCAGCTTCCCGCCTTCACACTGGACGATATTCGACCACCAAAGGAACCCCGGGGAGGCTAATGCAAGTTCTATGGAGGAGCAGAGCAAGAAATTACTAATGAATGGAAGACAAGCACAAATATAAGATGCTATAGACCTCCAGTAATCTCCACTCAAGGAAATTTGAAGGGAAGACTTATTCGAGTCCTAGATGTAATTGCTCATAGAGGTACAGCATGATAAAATTAAAAAAAAAGGCTGAAAATCATAAGGCAAAAACAAGACATGTTGCTGATACCCACGACGGACCCTTTGTCTCAATGGGAAAACAAATCATGCCGAGAGTGTGAAGACTTGCAGTACGCGACACCGTATTTAGCCCCTCATCAGAACCGATGCGATTGTGTATTAATCAAAAGTTGGGTTGGCGGGGATCGAGGGCTTCACAGCACAGCTCAGCGACTGTTCATATAACAGCGTGTTGAGCGTAAGAAACGTAATGATAGGACTAGCATCACTGTTCAGCGTACGCGTGACAAGATATCTTCAATACTCTTAGTTATCCTTCGACATCCTCTCTCGGGAGCTGAGGATTCCGCGCTCGACCGCGTATAATCCACAATTCCAACTATCCATTGCGTACCGCCGAATTACCCAAGGGACGAGCACATTCCACGAGGACTACTGACTGAACGCTGCGAAGGCCACGTTACCCAGCATGATTTTACCGAAGACGTTGACGATAAGGTTGCGTTTATCCTGTACTTCTAGCGCAGTCACAGAGACTTCAGTTTGACAACATAAAGAATTGCGTTCCCTAAATCTTCGCAAATTAGCCAGCTTCCAACACCGTCCCATTACCTATGAGAATATATGGTCCGCTGCAAGGCCAACAACATGTGACAACCTGTACATTACCCACCGGTATGAAACGAGACATGGGGAGCGTTTCAAGGTAAATTAGTCCTTACCTCCGGCAACGATGGATATTGAGCATAATTATCTACTACCGCAACTATCCCGAGCGGATGAAGCCGTGCCTACTTACTTACTTAAGTATTGGACCCAGCCCTAAGTTACACAAGGAAGCCCAGTTAAAGCATACCATGAGCCGATGTGCGTACTTAACAATTCCCACCCGTCGTGCTAAATTCCGCTCCCGATTGCGAGGAAAGTGGAATGATCTAACCTGATGTGCTGACAAGTTGACGACTACCGTCAGCCATCATGCAACGCAAGAGGGTAAAGAAGCCGCGCAACCACGGGCAAATTAATTGATAAAGAATCGATCAACTCCTAGTCAGCAATCTGTGCATGTAGATAATAATAATAACAACCCATACCTATAGTTGATAAACTCCATACTTAGGACCAGATAGGACCCATCTCGGAGGCCCGTTATTGCTCGGCATTGAAGCCGTCGGTAAACCGCCGAGAATACACTAAGTACTTGGACATATCGAGACCGCTGACCGTGAGATCTACAAACATGTAATAAATTACCTAGATACTTTAACTCAAGCAGATACAGTGAAAGAAGACCTCACGATGACCGGCAGAGTCGCAGTTGGGATCGCAGATTGAGTTGCAGCGATAGTCATGTACAACCACGACGCCGGAAATGCGGCTATTCTTCTACACAGCCCCGTGCTATTACCGTCGCCATCCATCCCTGCAGAGCGTAACATGTGCATACATAGTAGATTCGGGATATGTAGTGCAAATAGTCTAGTCTACCGGTACGTCCCAAGCAATACCGAAGCGATCCCAGCGCCAGGGCGGGGGAATACTGTACATAGTATATTGCTGTTGTGGTACAGGGAAGGAAGGGAGGGAGTCTGATGCCTATCTGGCTTGTGGGGGAAAGTAAATACACTAGTCACAAGAAATGGACGACGGTAGATATAAGCATTGCTCGAACGATGGGTCCTAGCTAAGCTTCGAATAGGTGGAGTTGGACGCCATGCATCGATATAGGAAACTCGATGCGAGTTGGGTACTTGGGTGAAATAAAGAGAGAGATATGTAGTGGACCAGCGATCAGGCCAGATAAACGGCAAGTAGACCTTATACTTACATGATAAATTCCGCCTGAATAGGTCCATAGGGCTAACAGGTGTTCTAAGTATGAGCGTAGCATCATCGAGATACACAAGACCTCTTGGCACCGCGGCACCATCTGGCCCGGAAACCCATTGCGAAATCAAGCATTATTCGCCGTCGAATATGACTGGGAATGTTGGCTTCCGGAAGAAGCGCATGTTTGGATTTCGGTACGGCGCGACGATAACGGTTTGATATTTTCGCGCAGCGATTTGGCGTTAGAAACTATCATCTACTGTATGATCTGTGTGGCCGTTTGAAGGAGCAAAGTTTTGTTGAAGTATTCCTAGTTTACCTAAGTATTCGGGTTCCTCACCTGTGTTATTCAGCAGGTACCTAGGTATCTACCTGTGCAATATCTTCAAGTAGGTACCTATGCAAAATCATCGCGAAGCTATGGTCTTGTCTAGCACGGCGAGGCGGTCATAAAGCGACATTTCCGGGAATCTGTTACAAGAAATTCAAATAAGCTGTAGGTTGAGGCGAAGATGAGTGTGTGTATACCCTTGCTTTTCTTTATAGGCATTTCAAATGTAAATATATAATTACTAATAAGACCGGATTTTGCATCTGTGGACACAACAAGAGATACAGAGCTAGCTAGCTCAGTGGAAGAGCGCCGGGCTCATAACCCGGAGGTCGATTGATCGAAACAATCGCTAGCTACTATTTTGCATTTCTTTTACCTCCTTTTTCCCTTCTCCCAAATACTCTTCATCTTTACTTTTTTCTCTCTGATCATTTCCCTTCATTTTCCACCCCAGTCTAGTCTAGGCAAATTTCCCTTTTTTTACCCTTCAAGTTAGCCGAAGAAGTCAAAGTAGAATTACTAGGTATGCAAGTGGTCTAAATACTCTCTCGGTGGATACCGCCTGCGCTATCCATTTCCATTCCGACGTCTCCAAGTGTTCGAGCAGGGGGTCACGCTACGGGTTACCTAGACTGGGTAAAAAGAGCGGATTTGTTCCAGAGAAATTCGTTGGTATGAAGTTAGGTATTTGGGGCAAGGGTGCAGTTTTGCAAAGTCTCGCTTAAGCGGCCGCTGTCCCGAATTCTCGTCACGCGACGCATTCCCCAGTTATATTTTTATGCCAACCCTTTTGGTTTTGCAGGTGGGTTAGTTAGCAATTTGCGAGAGACAGAAAAAAAAAGAAAAAAAATCACGACGGGGACAAAGACAGGGTCACCCATCCGAATCCTCTGAGATAAGCGACATCCCTATACTTTGCAAGTGCGATGTACGGGTGTCTGTGTGTGTCTTGTGCTTATGTGGTTCGATGAGTGGGCGACCCTCGTCTGTGATCTACACTTTCTTTCGCCATTTGCAGTTGGCTCGCAATTGGGGGGGGATGAATGAACATCTCGATCATCGTCTCTCACCGTGGAGCAAAGGGTGGATGTTATTAATCGAAGGTTAGAGTTTAGTGTACCAAGATATATAATTTCCGAATCTCACCTATTAGATTCGCATTATTGAATACAAAAAAATTGTAAGGATGGTTTGTAAGTAGTCGGTGTGAGTGAGATCTTTTGCCTTGTTTTGCCTCACCGTCATAATCTGCCTACAAGTAAGTACAAGTAGCTCTGCCACGTCTCTGCTCTGCCTCGCCATCGTCGCCGCGGGCAGGCAGACAGACAGTGTACGTGTGCACTAGATGATGTGTCTAGTCTAGCAGTATACATCACCAAAACATTGATGGCGGTTCTACGAAACAAGTGATTGGACTCGATGGAAGAGAAATACCTACATATAACACATTAGACCTTGTCTACCTACACCATCTGCTACACCTACTCTGTTGGGGCAAATCTGACTGCCTCCTACATACTCAGCTCAATGCTCCTCTACGTCGTAGTGGTGGGCATGACCACCACGTGTCTGCGAGTGAAACCCCACTGCTGGGAAACACCCAGCTCCCAACTGTTGTTGGCATGATACAGAATATGTTGGCGATGTTGGCGATGTTGATAGGGAGATGCGTGATGAGACTAGTATTCGTTGTGAAGGAGCCTGACGAGTAGGACGAAGGCGTTGTTGCGGTCGGGGATTCTCATTGGATCTTGTCGGACTTCAAACTTCTTTCTTTCTGTTTTCTGTCTGTCCCCTGCAGCAGCAACTGTCGGTGTGTCCCGGCACAAGCCGTGTGGCGTTCTCATCGCGTGCTCGCTTGTTCTCTCCCTGGGACCGACTGTCGGGTGTCCGGCGGTGTTAATATTGTCCTAAATACATTCACGCCTGGGTAGGCAGTTGTTGATCCAGACTTAGCTATTGACACAACCTCCACCCGATGCCTACTGTAGTGTACGAACGAGTCCGTGTAGGTAGATGACACGGCATCTCAATTGGGAATGTCGTCCCGGTGGTGTTCCAGGGTGCGACGAACCCAGATCGACTCGCCTCTTTCTCTCTCCTGGTGACCGGGACACTCCAGTCTTGGGAGTAAGGGTCCAACGTGAGCAAAACTCCGACAGGTGCCCTGTTGACTGGAACTTGGGTACTGCTGGGGGTGGTTGTAGGGCCTGGTAGGTAGGAGGTACTTTACCAACGGTTGAGGTGACGAGATACTTACCTGTACAGGTAAGTGGGCACTTGGCCAGGGTGCTGAATAAGTACAGAGCAGATACAGAGGTACGCGTGTACATGAATGAATACCTAGCTGTACTTAGAACCCATCAGTAGGGCTAGAGGGTACCGGGATGTACCTGTCAGAGATGTACCTGAATTAGATGACTTTGAGTCAAGCACTTTACAGGCTGAAGTGCCAGTGGCTTACACTAGCAGCCAACTTGTCCGACGCACCAGCGAGTTTCTCATGGTGAATGGTCGATATGTTGGAATACGGTAGAAAAACTTTGCAGGGACAATCCCATCTGTCGATTATTATGTAAACACCCAGATCTGTGTCGCGTGGCCATGGCACTAAAAGACGACGGAAACATTTAGTGTATCAGCTGTGTGTTATTAATAGCGGGACGGTGATTGACTATATTGACTCTATCATGACGACTGATGATATTTCCTCCCTCGGTGGCGTGTTTTCTCTTTGAATACCGGTAGTCCAGTTCTTAGGACTTTGATTAGTGGTGGTGGTTACATAGATACATACTTACTCCGTACTTACCGACCTCAAGTACTTACTGCCCTGGTGCCTGGTGATCTGTCCAAGGAATGTATCTACTGTACTTCCAATACGTAAGTACACCTACCTACCCTCCCGGCCTATACGAACCATCCCCGTCCCCATAACGACCTCACTAAGATATGACCTGTCTCTCGAATAGGTAGACCGCCTTCACTGCGCACCAGATAAGTAGGAGATGAGTGAATAGTAATACAGGTAGCTATTATACCTCTTAAGAGAAGTAGGTAGGTGCCGACTTGGAGGTATGGGAAGGCCGGTTCCTCCCGCTCTTTGTACAACCTGTATGTTGTGTATTATTGTTGAGACCCGGTGGTTCCTGAATATAGCATCATCATCACCACCATTATGGCCATTATTAACGCTACGTACATGTGTATTCGGTACCTGGTCATTCGTTCATTCGCTCCTCGGGTCCCACGCAACATGTTGCTGCAGCTTCCTTGTACCTGGCCTCTGTTCAACCTCTGTTCAGACTCTGTTCAGCCTACCTACACTCGCCTACCTACTTAATGCCCGATGCATTGTTCATGGATCTTCCTTCGCCTCTCTTTGTACTAGACAGTACTATTACCTGACGGGGGTTCAGCCATACAGCAATTTCCTCGCTTACCTCGGCCGTCAATCTTCACTTCCCCTCGCTTCCTTCGTGTTCTTTAGACTACTAACTTACTGTAGTTCGTATGTAAGACTGGGAATTCATCGGCATCGTACACTACCGACCGACTTATTTACGCTCTAAGGATGTACAGTACTTCTAGAACATGGCTAGGACTAATCTAGAGTATACCGAGATGCTAGGTAATAAGGTATACGCTAATGTAGCTACTTAATGTACAAGCTGAGAGGGGGCCCCCTGGTCGGCCCTGGTCTGCCCTGGCCAGAGCCCACTGTCACAAGCCAACATCATGCCAGATAACCGTCACATCAGGCCATTCACATCCCCATGATCAAACCTTGCATACAGGCAAACACCATGTCGGTATTTGCATCATTTGGATCAGTTGGATCATTTGGATCGCATATTGCCCCATACCGCTAGCTCCAATCCATCATTATCCTCATTTTGCTCTATTCCTCTTTTTATCCTCCCTGTATCCTCTTTTCACGCTGTCGATGCCTGTACCCGGCCTGTCTTGTACGAGATGGGTAAATATACTAACTGCAACGGTAGAAGGGCGGGTGACGGCGGGGGAAGGAGATGAAAGAGCATTTTAAGAATAGCGGAGAGAAACAAGAAAAAAAAAAGAGAGAGAGAGAGAGAAGAAAAAAAATTAAAAATTTCATACAGTATACTAGAAAGAGCGGAAATAAAAAATGTGATAGTAGAAAATGGATAGCTATAAGACAGATGAGGTAAGTAAGAATAAGAGGATAAAAGTCGGGAAGGATCGATGACATAGTAGTTCTCCTAACTTCGCACCTGCACTCTCAACTCGACTCGACCTGACCCGACCCGACTCGTCTCGTCTCGACCTCGGATCATAATCGTGCAATTTTGACTTTATACCCTTTCCCTCCCTCCATTGCTCTCACTCGAATCCTGTCCAACCACACCTGAACCCATCCCTCGTTTATTCACTCCCGATCTCGCTCGGCTCAACTCGTGCCACCCCGGGTACTAATACTACTATAATACTACCGAGACCTACTCCCAGAGCATTTCCTGAACTATATACCCCGGACTTTTGGACTTTTCTTACATACACACACTCAGCATTGGCATCATCATCGTCGTCGTCATCGCCATCATCCTCACCACTACTACCCCTCAGCAAGGTGTAACAAAGTGAGGACCACGAGGATCAACCAACCGAACAGCGAACAACAAGAAACGAACAACGAACAACAGCCGGTCAGGTCACTATTAGTCCCTCCTGCAATGCTTACGCGGCAAGAGGCCGAGCTGGTCAACGAGACCATCCCAGCTCTGCGACAACATGGCGAGCACATCTCGACTGTCTTCTACAAGAGCATGCTGCGTGATCACCCCCAACTCAACCACTACTTCAACAGCGTCAACATGCACACTGGCCGACAGCCCCGAGCTTTGACAGCCCTCATCTTGGCCTTTGCTTCCAACATTGTGAACATTAGCGAGCTGACCGAGAAGCTCGAGCGGGTTGCTCAGAAGCATGCTTCGCTCATCATCCGTCCAGAGCACTACGAGATCGTAGGCAAGTATCTACTTCGCGCCTTCTCCGCCGTCCTCGGCCCTGCCATGACTCCCGAGGTCAATGCCGCCTGGACCAAAGCCTACTGGTTAATGGCCAAGAGTAAGAACCCCGCCCCGTCTCATTTCCCGTCTCACATCTTCCTCATATGCTCTTTTTTCATGGCTCATCTTCATATCCATACAATACGGCCACGCCCACTACTTCGTCGCTAACCTTTCGTAGTGCTCACTGGCCGCGAACAAATCATTTACAAGGAATTCGGGTCATGGACTAGCTGGCGCACCTTCATCATCTCCGCAAAGACGCCAGAGACGAACGAGGGTGACATCGTTTCATTCAACCTCAAGCCTGTCGATGGTCAGCCATTGCCGCCATTTAACCCGGGCCTATACGTAACGATCCGCGTCAAGATCAAGGGGCTCAAGTACTTCCAGCTTCGCCAATACTCTCTTAGCGATGCTCCGAACCCGGAGAGCTATCGTATTACCATCAAGAGAGATGTAGGCGCCGGCCCGGACACGCAGGCGGACCCGAGACAGTATAGTGGATTTGAGGAAGGTCCTCCACTCTCGTCTGCTGCGAGTAGTGCATCAGATAGCAGCATTGGCAGTATTCGTCCGCATCGCCCGGGTCTTGTGTCCAATGTGCTTATCGATGACTTCCAGGTCGGCGACACCCTCGATCTAACCCATCCCGTCGGCGAATACTTCGTCGATGCCAATGACCCTAACACTAACCCTCTCATCCTTATCTCTGCTGGTGTCGGTTGCGCGCCGTTATATCCCATGCTGAAGGTGGTGGCAGAGCAAGGGGTTGGTCGGCCAGTATCTTGGATCCAGGCTTCCCGTCATGACGCTCCCTTCCGCGAGAAGGTGGAGAAGATAGCACAAGCATACCCCAACGTAAGATGCAAATTCTTCCGATCGCGTCTCGCCGATGGCGATGTCATATCATTAGCATCTCGCTTCCAGGAAGACTTCATAGGTCTGAATTGGGAGGACCTGTGGCTAACCAACAACCTGGCCGAGTATTACGTCTGCGGGCCTGAGAAATTCATGAGCGAAATCGGCAACCACTTGCTCAAGAACCGGGTTGAGCCCGCGAGGATCAAATACGAGCTTTACAGCGTTGGAACTTTCGAGATGAAGAGATGAATGCATGACGAAACGACCAACACGAAAAAACACACACAAAATGAAACAATGAAACTTGATAGAAAGTCAAAAGCAATTATAACCACGGTGTTAGGTCTAGAAGGCAACGGATGGGAAAGGACATAGATCACAAACTCCATTCAACAAACAGCTTATTTTCTTTTTCCTTTTTTTCGCTTGGGACTAGGGAGCTTTTCATGGGACGGGGAAAAAACGGTATAGATTGGGTGACGACGGCGGCGACGTCGGACAACCGGAGCCAAACCACCAACCAGTAGTAGGAGGCTTTTTTGCTCCATCATATCAGCATATGGCTGTGTAGCAATATTAAATAATGCACAATGATTATACTTTACAATATTTCGAAAAATGGCGTGTTCTGAGATAAGAACGTGAGGCTATCTAAGATCATACCGGCTCCTACTGCACGAGCAGGCCTCCTAGACCTGTTGTTGGATGCTGTGCAGGTATGCATGCATTACGGTGTCGATACCCGAGTATCCTTCACATGTTATTTATAACTAGGTAGTCCGTCCTGTCTGTCGGTATACAGCGACCGTCGACCGACCGAACTCCGGGGATACGTACGTAGGTCTCTGGCCCGAGATTGCAAATCTCTGGGCCCAAGGAACAGAATAAGCTTTTTTTGAATCGTTAATTTACTTAAAAATATTTTATTTATTTTTATCGTTGGTTAATCACCATCCTGAAATGAGCTGTCATGCTTCGCTCACTCTACTTTAACAGCCAAGGTAACTTGTTTCTGGGGTTTCCTGGGATGCGTGTGTGTGTGTGTGTGTCTGTGTGTGTCCCGGTTGTGTGGTAATGCAACCTTCCTAATCTAACTGGGGTAGGTAGGGTAGGGTACCTAGGTTAGGTCTGTGCTCGCCCTGGCCTGCCCTGGTCGGGTTTGGGGTGGGTGGTGATGTTTCGGATTTATGGGATTGAAACGAGAGGTGACTGCCTAAAGTCATGTAATGTAATAGAATAAATAAACTAACCTAGGAGGGGGGAATGGGTTAGGGCGGGATTGGGGACGATGGCGTGTTGAATGTTTGGTATTTATTTTGTATGGATGATGTCTATATAGGTTTGTGCGGAAATATCATGTAGACCATTCTGCATGTATGTTGGATGTTGTTAATGTTGTAAGTCAGTATGTGAGAATGTGAGAATGTTACCTGTTGTGAGCAATGGGTTTGGCATGGCTTTGTGAGTGAGCTAGAACTCATGCCGCCTTCAATCAAGCATCGCATTCTATTTTGTTCAGATTATTCTGGAGGAATAGCTCGAACTCAGGATGAATGAATATAACATGATCCGAGATACAACTGTTCCGAAAAGAATACAATTGAAGTGAGACCCATTACAATATTAATCTGGTGTACAAGTGCTGTGTCTATTTTCCCTTTCCAATACATGTGGATGGATGGTGATCAAGTGATTCCCCAATTCTAGTCTCGCTTCCAAAGCTATTTCCTGAACGCCTAGTATGCATGCATGCTTTTATCCTATTTTTCCGTGTCAGAACGATCCTGTCCTTAAAACAGCCGTAGATTCCAGCCTGTTTTACTTACCAGTGCCCAAATAACCATGTAGAAATGACAATCTTATCGTACACACCACGCACCTCGCTTGTGACAAGCACTAGCCAGTCTAATCCCAACCGAATTTTTCCAAATGTCACTATCCTGGTATAATACAAGATGGGGGAAAAGGGGGCTAAACAAGGAAACTACAGCGGACCGGTGAAATTCCGCTCTTCCTGCTCCCAGCCGACAAGAGGCCAGCCGTTCGGCAGCGTCGAATAAGGCGGGAGGACGTATCGTCCTTCGCAGCCACTGTCCTTGCAGGAGGAAATATCGCAGAGGCCGAAGACGTTGCAGTAGCAGTCGGCTGCCGAGGGGCAATGCACGGCTTCTTTGCCGAAGATGACTAAATTCATGACAAGCGATGGTCAGAAATCAATACTGTCCTCAGAAGGTAGGTACGTAGGTGGTTCAAGCAAGAGAGGAAGGGGCTGATGGGGAAAACTTAAAAAAAGATAAGAACACCTGACAGATATAAGATACTCACTATGCCAGGCAAACTCAAACACCCTCCCGTTCAACGCATCATCTAACTCGGTATTCAACAACCACTCCCTCCACCGCACATACTCCTCCCTCGTCCTCGACCGAATCGTATCCCTCGTGACGCCAAACTGCGAGCAGCAGCTCACGGCCACCACCTCCGGGACATCTGTGCCGGGGAGCAATTCCTCGAACGCTTGCTTATAGATGTGTTTCGCCTGGATCTTCTCCGCGTTGTCCCTCTCCTCGCCGTCGACGGCAGGCCGTATCTCCGCCGGACACCCGATCGTCCACACGCACCGCAGGTTGACGTACCCTTGCTCCCGGAGATACGGGAGCCGGAAGTTCTGCAGCGTGGGCAGCGCGTCGTAGTCCGGGTCGTCGTTGTGCCACGCGAACCGGCTCGCGTGCACGAAGAGCGTCGCGTGCGGCAGCGTGTCGTACCGGTCGATGATGTACGTCAGGTACACCATTGCCTCGCGCCCTTTGTTGCGCGGCACCGTGAGCGGCGCGAGCGGGTCGTCGGCGACGTAGATGTTTTTGTGCCATGAGGGTAGGTACGTGTGGAACCAGGTCGTGTCTTCGGCTTTCACGCTCGCGACGACGAGTTCGAGGTGGTGGTCTGATTTTGAGGGCGCCATTTCGCCGCCGCCGCTCTTTGCTGAGCTGTCTCCCTCGCTACTGCTGGGTTTGCTGGGCTCGAGGACAACGACGGTGGTGGGGTTCGACGATGCATTTTCGTGATCGGACTGTTGGCGCTCTGGCTGCTCGACATCTGCCTGGGATATTTCGTCGCGGTTTAGGGGCCCGATTAGTCTCTCGCGGTGGTGTAGCCCCAAGAGCAGGAATATCGTCGTCACGACGATGGTCGTGATGAGCAACCTCCTTGAACTACGTATCGACATGACGGGCGGTCGGTGGTGGTGGTCGGCGTATTGGATCGAATTGTTTTGTTTGTTCGTTGGACTCGGGCGCCTCGCGCGGTCGCGGGTTGAAGCGTCTTGATCAACGCATCTAGGGGATGAAAGATTGGGGAGAGATCTTTACAGATTGATTCCAATCTGGATGTTCGCACCTCTTCAGTCTACATAGTCGTAGGCTAGTAACACTTATCCATGTCAGGTTCCTCATGGCAGGCTAGCTTAGCGCGAGGCCCATGATACCTTCATTCACTTTCAGCTGCCCGGAAAAACTCCCAGAGCGGGCCCCAAAGGCCACGCCTAGCGCGAGTACTTGCCAAGAAGAGTCTTAAAGGGGTTAAGTTGTCCTACCTAGCACCTTATGGCGTAATCCGACCTAGGCTTGGCTTGCATGCTGCTTTTGCTCAGGTAGCACCGTGAACCAAACAGTGATGCATAGTTTTATCAAACCACGGGGTCTGCATGTACATCTTTGAGGCACTAAATATACGTTGAGGCTCTTTGGAATCATAATCTTTGTTATGTAGGGGATCACCATGCGTTAGTTATTTATGTTATTATTCATGTAAGTACCACCTTGAAGGCGTGTGGTGTAGTTTGGGAACATCCCGGGCTCTCATTATCTGGCACCCGGAGTCGTCGGTTCGACCCCGACCATGCCTAACATCCTTTTTTTTCTCTAACCTAATCCGGTCAGTGTCCATACACGCCTCATTTTGCCATACAAATTGGTCTAGATTGAGACAACGAATGAAATTTGACAGTCGGGCCCTTTTTTGCTAGGTGTCTACTGGCAGCTAACTGCGTGGGAAGATTATTACACACATGCACCACTTTCGAAATCAGCATTCACAGCATTCCATCTATCTGCACTTACTAGCCCTACAAGTGAGGCTTTTGAATGTGTATAATAACAGGATATTGTCATCTGAAGTGGTGTTTTGAAGGCTGTAATGATTGCAAGTGGGTTGTAAGTAGGTGGTATCAAAATCTCATGCCCGAAAAACCAGGGCGATGCCCTTCTGCCCATAGCCCCTGCCGGTCTTGTATTGCAACTCCGCAATGGACTGCAGCGGAGATGTTCGTGAGGCGACGCAGATGAGGAAGGCAATGTTCGTAAGTGTTGCAACAACGAAAACATAGTTCAGCCATCTTGCGGCTTCTCGACGTTTGATATGAAGTGTTATGAGTCTGAAAAGCTGCATAACAATAGAGACAATGGCGATTAGCAACAAATATGCGATGCTTTTCATGAGCTTGGGTGTGATGGCGAATTTAATCCATCGCAAAACTACTAGTCCTCGATCGCATTGTTACCGTTCGACGCGTCAAACCAAACGTGCGAGACATCCTAATGAGAATCACAAACAGCAACGTGATTCTGCTACTAACATAAAGAAGGGGGGGGGGGGGGGGGGGGGGGGGGGGGGCGGGGGGGGGGGGGGGGGGGGGGGGGGGCGGG